TTTTTTAAAAAACAGACCTTCCTGGTTTCTTTCCAGCCAGCAGAGCAGAAAGTGTTTTTTAAACTCCAGCAATTGCACATCAAAATATTCTAGAATGAACTGTGAGCATCTGTATTCTAGGTTCAAAAACAAAACAAAGCCTTTCAGTGTTTATTTTAAGGCTGCATTCAAGCAGTACTTTCGTCCATTTCCCCAGTGTTTCCTTATCTGACCCCCCCCTCCCCCAGATTTATGTGATTTTTCACAGGGCATAAAAGCCAGTTTTGGAAATCGAGGGAAATCCAATGGGAGTTTAACACTGATTTCCATGTTAACTGCTTCCAGGAAAAATCCATTTGCAATCTTGATAACCTGGAAAACCATGGGACATATTTTGGGGCAGTATCTTGGCATATTGGGACATAGGTGGCGCTGTGGGTTAAACCACAGAGCCTAGGATTTGCCGATCGGAAGGTCGGTGGTTTGAATCCCCGCGACGGGGTGAGCTCCCGTTGCTCGGTCCCTGCTCCTGCCAACCTAGCAGTTCGAAAGCACGTCAAAGTGCAAGTAGATAAATAGGTACCGCTCTGGCGGGAAGGTAAATGGTGTTTCCGTGTGCTGCTCTGGTTTACCAGAAGCGGCTTAGTCATGCTGGCCACATGACCCGGAAGCTGCACGCCGGTTCCCTCGGCCAATAAAGCGAGATGAGCACCGCAACCCCAGAGTCGGCCACGACTGGACCTAATGGTCAGGGGTCCCTTTACCTTTTATCCTGGCATACAATTCTTTCTCACCATTTTCATGGGAGAATGGAAATGCACATGTGTATGAAGGATGCGGGTGGTGAGGTGTCCAATGACATCTGTTTAGCTGCACTATGACCACTGGGGCAAATTAAATTTAGTATGACATTGTGGTATAGTGATAAAAAAAGCCACTGTTGCATAAGGTAACAGGCAATGCAGTGTAAAAGGGATGCTAGAGACAGGGACACAATCACTAGCATTATAACCAGGAAAACTACCACAATAATCCCCATGCTGGAATGCACCCTTTTACAAATTCAGTCATTCACCAGAACGTGGGAAATGTACATTAAGGCACCTGATCTACTTAAAGGCACCTGACCTAACACCATATAAGCAACAAAGACACACCCAGTTTGCTACGCCCCCTTTCCACGGCTGCATTTGAAAGAGATGGGAGATTCATTGTAACTGAGCACAATACACGAAACTGTAGAATGCTCTAACTTCTACTCCTCATAAACAGTAAGGTACTTTAACTGCCCATTCCCATGCTCTTCGGTACATAAGTGTATTTTTAAGAGCACTAACTTGTCTCTTAATTGAGGATTTTAAAAAACCATCTAATGCAACAAGCTCCAGATGTGCTGGTACAGACAAGATGGTACTAAGGCATCTGAAGTGTCAGTCTTAAACTTTCATTAGTGAATCTTTGGCCTGGGTCAGTGGCGTAGCGTGGGGGGTGCAGGGGGGCCGGCCACACCGGGCGCAACATCTGGGGGGGCGCTCGCACTCGCAGCTCTCTGCCCCTACCGGGTTAGGGGGCGCAAATTACTTGCCTTGCCCCGGGTGCTGACAACCCACGCTACGCCACTGGCCTGGGTTGGCAAGAAAGGTCCAGCTCTCACTTCCAAATGAAGATGCCATCACTGCTTGGTAATTATTTTCTGTTGTGGCTGGCATTTGTGGTTGATTTAGTATTGAATAAAACTGAATTGTGTCATCCATTTTGTGGATACAGTTCAGCATTGTGGAGTAGTGGCTCTCCAGCTTCATCTGATGAGTCTCCTTCAGTCCTACCTGGGGACACCAGAAATGGAAGCTGGGATCTTCTGCACACAAAGCATGTTCTGTGTATACAGATGTTAGAGAAGTTTGATCCAGTTCACATTTAAAGGCCAATCTACCCAATTCACACTTTCCAAAGCAACATGTGAGCTAAAGCACAGTCATCCTTTGAAATTCACACCTCTCCAGATGTTGTTATGCCATTCTCCAGCCAAGTAATGTGTACAAAAATGCATGTGCAAAGTGTGCATAAAGATGCAGATATTAGGGCAAATGGCTTACACAAATGCTTTGCAAAAATGTGTGTATTGGGCAAAAATGCATTTGAATGTAGGTGCTGGGAGACATTTGCAATAAGATGCTGATGTATTTTCAATGTAGAGATCTGAATTTAAGATTTTGAAAAATTAGAAACTTAAACTGACAGATTTGCCTATCCTTAGTCACGTGGTCTGTTAAATCCTCAACCTTGCTCTTGTCAGTGTCTGCACGTTTTAGAAGGCACAATGTTAACAAATTATAACAGTGCTTTTGCTCCCATCCTTTATAGCCTTGCTAGGCCCTTTAAAGCTCTGTGCATTTTTTATTGAAGCTTTGCACCTGATAGATGTTAGTGACGGAAAGTAGAGGAAATATTGTGCTAGCAACTAAAAGACCACCCCTACTTCTTCACCTGATTGTGAGGCGCTGATACTAAAATAGAAAAGTGCTGAAATACTCAGACGTGTAACCAAAAAATGACTTCAGATTTGCTATGAAAAAGGCACTAGCTATTTCACCTTAATCTAGTAAAACTAAAGAGCTGTAAAAGCATTTAAAACTCTCTCTTGCTTATTTTCAATTTTCAATTTACTTATCCTAATCTCAATATGACCAATAACTCATAACACATTCCATATGTATATCGATATCTATAAGATAGCAAGATACTCAGCAAGCAGGTAGTCCCAGACTCTCAAAGCTCTAATTTTTAATTGGAACTCCATTTGACTGCTGTAGTTCCAGGACTTCTATCTGAGCATTAATCTGATTTCAGAAGTGGCAATTTCCAACTAATGATGGTGGTTGGGGTTTTTTTTTGTTTTTTTTTTACGACTATGCCCTTACACTGATTTATGCAAACGGCAACAGAGATTTTAGAAATAGTCTAAATTAGCTTCAAACTGATTTCAGTGCAGCAATTCAATTACATTAAGTCAAAAGGGGGTTCCAAAGTGATGCATAATCATCAAAGCACAGGTTTCACGAGGCTCGCTTAAGTGACAAAACAATCAGCAATGGCAAATCCATCATCTCTTCCTATAATGACATAGCCCAGCTTTTGTAAACTTTGTGGAAGTGATGAATATTTTGAAAAAAATGCCAGGTATTTTGACTGGTGGCACCGAGGAACCACCACCTATAGAAAGCAGGAAGTTACCCATGGGCAGAAAGACCTAGCTTCATTTAAAGCTGGTAATATGTAAATAGCCAAAGATGCTTCCCAGTCAACTTGGATATGCAGAAAAAGGCTGGTGAAGTTATTTTAGCACATGAGATGGAAAAACCTACAAATGCATCACCTCTCCCTAGTAAGAACAAGCAATACAATAAGAATAAATTAGATGGCTTAACAATTTGTTGTCCTTTAATAATTAATAACAATAACAATAATAATAATAAACAACTTTTATTGGTCTCCTGCCCTCCCCGCCTGAGACTGGGCTCAGGTCGGCTAACATCAAATATATAACATTGGTATAAAGTCAAACAATAATTAAATTACCTCCTAAAAACAAGTCAGGATCAAATTAAAATCTCGGCCCAGTATACCTGTAGGAGCGTCTCTACCCCCATAATTCTGCCAGGATGCTGAGGTCCAGTGCCGAGGACCTTCTGTTGGTTCCCTTGCTGTGAGAAGAAAAGCTACAGGGAAGCTGTGAGAAGCAAAGCTACAGGGAACCAGGCAGAGGGACTTCTCGGTAGTGGCGCCCGCCCTGTGGAATGCCCTCCCATCAGATGTCAAAGAGATAAACAACTACCTGACATTTAGAAGACATCTGAAGGCAGCCCAGTTCAGGGAAGTTTTTAATGTGTGACATTTTAATGTATTTTTAATCTTTGTTGGAATGCTGGGAGGCCTCTTTCATACTAGTTCTTATACAAAAAGAGAAGGGGAGTCAGGCTGAGCCTGGCGGAACAACTCCGCCTTGCAGGCCCTGCGGAAAGATGTCAAATCTCACAGGGCCCTAATCTCTTGTGGCAGAGTGTTCCACCAGGCTTAAACAATTTGTTGCCCTTTCACAATATGCAGATTTCTTCTAGGGAACTGTTGACAACTCTGACTCCATCTTTGACACAACTATTAAATGGGCAGGAGACTTCTCCTCAACACCACATGCTGGAATCCACAGGAAGGGAGAGTACTGTTGCACTCATATCTTGCTTGTGGACTTCCCACAGGCATCCGGTTGGCCATTGTGAGAACACAGGAAGTTGGACTAAATGGGCCATTTGCCAGATTGAGCAGGCTCTTCTTACATTCTTTATTTTTCCTCTTGTCACCCTCTCAGTGTTGCACACAGAATGTTTATTTCAGCTCAGCAGGCTTTTGCTAGCAATGAACCTGATCAAATGAGAGGATCTGAGTTCACAACAGACCTTTTTTTCCCCCCTTCCAAAAAGAAAAAGAATATCAGGGGAAAATTGCTCCCTTCTATTTGGGGTTGACAGACTGTTCTCTTAAACTGAAAAGATTGTTAGACATTACCGAGACACAGGCCATCCCTTTTGATTGTAGCACAGATGAAATATCTTCAGCTGCAGCAAAACGGCTAACAGTCTAAGGATCGGTGAAATCCCCGAGGTGGGAAACTCAGCGGGGGGAAAAGCCACAGGAAGAAAAATCCAACGTTGGAAGAAAATTGAATGAGTTTCTTAGATGGAAAAGCAGCCAGCACACAATCACTTAGCAGAAGGGAAAGTTTTCAGGAGCATTTGAGATTAAGCAGTGTCAGGTCACATTACCTTTTACATCTTGCTAAAGAATCTTTGGAAGGCAGTTCATAGGGTTTCATTAATTTTTCTTACCCAAGTTGGAAATGGTGTAAGCGTTGCTGACAACGGAAAAAATGGCTGCTCTTTGTAATTAAGGCATTGGTCCTCCACTTAGAGGCACTGATTTATTTCTTGGTTCTGCCACAACTGTGGTGTCACTAAATCTCTGCCTCAGTTGCCTCCCTGAAATATGAAGATAAATTCATTAGGTGTTTTCTAAAAGGCTATATGGGCTATATGCACATAGGGAAGGACAGAGAGGAAACATTTAAAAACAAACACACCTGAGATTGGAGAGTGACGTGTAATGCAGAGTAATAGATTCTTTACTGGGATTGAAGTAATTTGTAAAATATTGTACCAATGCTGTATTGCCTAAATATACCCAATAAAACCTGTTGAAGTAGGCTGTTGATTCTCCAGCCTATGGACTACTAATGCTTCCAAGCCATTATCAAACATCTGCATTAGCTGTCCCAGACAACATCAGTTCAAGCCAGGTATAGGGATCCTTTGGTCATCCAGATGTTGCAGAACTACCCAGCAAGCATGGCTAATGGCCAGGGATAATGGAAATTGTAATTTAGCAAGATCTGGAGGGCCAAAGATTTCCTGCATCTGGTTTAAGCACACAACTGAGTTTGCTGGTTTTTGTTGTAGCATCCCATAGATACTCTGTAGGAAGCATTCAGGCAACCAGTCTTTGTTCCAATGTTTTGTTTTGTTTTTTGCACCAGGGATTCCAGTGGAACACCGTTGTCCCAAGGGGTTTCAGCAAGTGATGGCCTTGAATGACTGTCTTTTTTAATCAAGCTGAGTTTGTGACAGCAGATGGTACCAAGCTTGGAATGCATCACATGATGGGTCTATTCAGAAAATCTCATTCCATTCAATGCGGGAGGGGTGCATGAAGAGAGATGTGCTTGAATTTAGTCACATAAAGCTGCACAGAAGAAGCTGATCCACATCTGAGTGTCTGGTTGCAATCACTGCCACAGCAACAGAAACAGACATCAACAGAAGTCCAGCTACAGCATTGTAAGGGGAAGTGAAACATCCTTTGCAAAGTTATGCATGAAAATGCTGCACTTGCTATATTCTTGCTACATTGACACTTTGCTCCCTTGAGGCACGAAAGTTGTGCTAAATGAGTCTCTCGTACATCCTTTCCCCACAAAAGTAGCATGGCATGTTTCCCTTACCAGATTCCTCACTAATAACAAGGAAAGAACACTTAGGCAATATTCTTATATTGTCTGACATTATTTTCCAACAACTGCATTTCATCGCACCCTTCTTTCTCCTCATTATCTCTTCATTTGTTTTGCATAGTTATGAAATAATGTGTAAGTGAAATGTCTATGAAGCAATGAAAAAAGCAAGTATAAGAAAATGATTTTCTATTTAATAAGTTCTGGTTACAAGGAATGAGAAAAACACAAATCCACATTTAATGCCAGACTTTACACTGTGTTGAACTCAGGCACAGTGAATTATTTGCCTACTGGTGGGGAGCTGTGAATAAATTTAATAAAATAAATAAATCCAAAGAATTCCAAAGGAACCTGTGAGAATTTCCATATTCCTAGCAAATTATCTAAGGAGGCTTTTCACATGTTCCTGGTAGGTCCCAATAGTTTGTCAGTATTTGACAAAGTCTTAGCTGTTAAGATTTTTATCCTCATCCATTAGAGGGAGAAGAGTGAGGAGAACTTATGCTGACCCAAACTCAAGGTTGGGCCCAGGAGACAGATGAGCAACCAATGGCCCTCTGGATATTTTTAGACTCTAGCACCCATCTGCTCAGTGATATGAAGGCATAAAATACACCACAGGGAGGTATCCTATCAATTCTCTCTCCCCCACCCCAATTTTTGCAATGTGTTTCCAGGCCAAAGTTGATACAGACAATGACCTCAGAATTGAAAAACTGAAGAACAGTGCCACATCATGTATGTTAAGGAGCATTCTCTGTCACTGACATCACCAGCAACTGGAAAAAGAAAGCATATTTTTCTTACAAAATTGTAAAGGAGATATAATAAATTCTGCAGGGCCATCTCAAACTAGGGTTGAGATTTTAATTGACGAGAGCATAGCCTTCCATTGATTTGGAAGAGTTTGATTATCCAGCTCCTTGTTCCATTCTGCACACATGGGTGTTGTATAACATTTAGTTTTATCCACAAGTCAATGGTTAAAAACTATAGTTGGCTTGAGTAGTGTAGGGAAGTAGACCCCCTAATTAATATGAGGAGGGGGCAGTTTAGAAGCACTGCAGGCAGCATGACCAAATTAAGGGTTGTATCCAACAAAGTAATCCTGTTAGCTCAAGGACTTCTAATGCAGAGGTTTTCAACCTTTTAAAGTCCACAGCTCTCTTGACCAACTACATTCTTTCTGTGGCAACCCTGTGGGGCTCAGGAGCCCAGTTATGTTACCCCTTTCCTGCAGAGCCGGCAGCCTCTCATGCTTTTTTGAACACCCTCCCTTGTGGAGTGTTCCCTCAGCCTCATCTCTTCTCCTTGGGAGTCTTCTGGGCAGCCGCTGCTGCAGCCCCTGGTCTCTGAGTTGCCTCCCTGCCCAAAAGAGAGGTGCCTCCTCACACTGGCCCACAGGGGCTTGGGACTTGTCTGTCCATTCCCAGCAGCAAGGGCTGATGGACTGTCTGGCTGGGCTCCCTTCCCCACTTGCTTGCTTACTCTGAGGCTGCCTCACTCAGCTCGTGGCAACCAGCTCTCCCAGCCAACTCCAGAGGCACCATTAACCTACGGAGTTTGTAGCCAGGGCTTCTGCAACAAGCAGCTGTGCAATCCTTTGGGAGGCAGAGGCACAAGAGGGCATCAGGGGAGGAAGGGGAGGAAAGAGGGACAGATGTCAGTGTTGCCCATGGCACCCTTGACCATCATTCAAGCCACCCAGGGTGCCACGGCACACTGGTTCGAAACCCCTGTGCCAATGAGAAAACTTCATTGGATACAATCCAAAGAAACTAATACTCTTTTCAACTGTAAATAATATCACTGGGAGGTATCAGGTGATCTGTATGTTTCTTGAAAGCAAGAGAAGGGGACAAAATTACTTTCCTTGTCTGTTTATTGATCCAAAGTGAGAATTTGATTATCTGCCCTAGTCTTTTACTAAACTGTGAGACCAGCAATTTTTTAGTTCTGGATTATGCCAAAGTGTTATTTCCCTTGCACCGATGGAAGGCTCAATAATGTGTTGGCAGTCTAGGATACGGGGGTGGAGGGTATCAGATGTTTATCAGAAAAGTTGTGAATATACCTGAAACTAAGGGTTGTCTACCCCATCAATGTAGAAAGGGCTGTTCTAATATTGTCTAGGCTGATGTTGATATGAGGATTCTGGCTGTGACATTTATGTACTTGGGAAAGGAGAAAAGCTCTATAAAGAGTTTGGGGAAGTTAAAATCTTCTTAGATCAAAGCTGAGGTTTATATAATGAAAATGTGGGGTGCTCTACTGCACCATATAAGGCCTTACAAAAACTTATTGATATGTGTAAACTAGGAACCTGAGATGTATATTGGTAAGCCATGTAAAAAAACAAGCATTATACCACATTCATTTTCATAACATTAATCTTACCCCAGATGTTTACAGATTACATAGCCCACCTATCCAAGTCATCTTTTATTGCAGCAAGGTGTGAGCCATTCTTTGACCTTGTTTCCTAGATATATTAGGCCTCTGGTTTGGATGCTGAAGCCCCACAAACATAAAAGAGGTGAAGAGGTATATGTCAATTCTGATTGAAAAGGTGTGTGTTAGTTCTGGCATTAATTCTGATCTCCAAAGGCTATCAAATTTGTGAATCAAATCAGTTAAAGCTATGACTGAAGTTGTCAGGGTCATCAACAAATACTATGGCATCATTAGCACAGAGGGCAATATCAGAGTCTTTAAATTTTATTCCTTTCTTTAATTGTGAGGTTTTGCTGAATTGCACAAGAAAGGGATTCTGATGCCAACTTAAATAATAAAGAAGAGAGGACAGCCCTGTCTGGTGCCTTGGTATAGGCTGAAAGGCTTTAATATTATCCCTTTAGTAATGTTGGGAGGCTTAGAAGCAGAACCGAGAATATCTATTTCTTTCATACTCACAACTCTATTGTAGCAGCAAACTGGGGATTCCGTGGATCTAATTTTAGAACAGACATCCCAAACAAAGCCTCATGAAATAATCATATTATGAACTGCACAGGTGGCTTCCTGTTCCACACCTTAACCTACAACTCTCCATGAAGTCTTCCTTTGTCCTCACATTATATGTGACTGTCTTAGGTGCTCCTTTAATAGGCTTCAATAAAATGTAGAGTAGGGCGGAGGAAGAAATTTGATTCGGTTTCCATTTACAAGTGAACCTGTCAAATTATCACTTAAGAAAGTACTGAAACACAGGCATCCTCTGAAATTTTCACTTACTTGAATTTTGTGGTGCAGTTCTGCAACCAAACCGTATTTTTAAAAGTCCATAAAATAGGGGAAAGTATGCGTAATATACTTAGTAAAAATAATATACAAAAACACCTTGTATTAGGGGAAATTTCATGCAAAAGGGTATATTAGGACATGAGCATTCAAATGCTGATGAATTTTCATTATTATTATCATTATTTTAATCCCACAGATTGTAGAAAAACTGAATTTAAGAACTGGAAAACTGGAAAATTCAGAACTGAATTTAAGACTGGAAAACATCAGGAATGGAAATAACCAAATGAACTGATCCATCCATCGCTACTGTAGCATAATACTTTGCTCTGACAGCATAAAATGTGAGGATCTATGCTAGTCCAACTGAGAGTAAACCTATTGAAGTTCATATACATTACTTACTTAGGTTCATTAACTTCAGTGGACCTACTATGAGTGGGACTTAATTGAATACAACCCTGAGATTCCCCTGCTCCAGCATAGAGAAAGAAGTGAATGGGGGGGGGAGCTGTGCCCCTGGCACCCCTTAATTTTAGCAATGCAGATGGCAGGATCTGCTGCAAGTGCTTGTCTATGTGGAACAAGTGGTGTGAGTCAACAAAACCCCGCAGCATATCATCTGTTTTAGAGAGTGAAATCACAACACTGCACACAATAAAAACATATGGAAAATATGGGTATCTATACAGTTCCACTGAAAACTGCCTCCTCTCTAGTATGCTGCAGTGTTAATTGTTGCCTGTCTTCTTTGCCCCTCAGGATGCTGCCTCCGTTTAGAAAACAGACAGCAAACAGATGGAGAGCTGCTGGAGTTGAACCCGAACACAGATAAACAACAGATACAGACTTTACGAAAGCTCAAAGGTGAGTGACCTATGCATTTGCCACAATTCTGTTAAAAATGTGTAAATGAATGTTACATGTAAAGGGTAAACACACTAGCTTGGACTGAATTGGAATTTATGATTAATCCTTAGGTTCCATTGATTACAAAAATATAGCATGATTGTTGTTGACACTTCTTGCAAATGCTTCTTGCATAGCTCTTTACTTTTTTGCTCTCTTTTGTCATGTTGGCCTCATGGATGAAGGAATGGAGTTGTTGTATGAAGCCACAGTGATAAGGCATGGGTAGGCAAACAAAGGCCCAGGGGCCGGATCCGGCCCAATTGCCTTCTAAATCTGGCCCACAGTCGGTCCGGGAATCAGCGTGGTTTTACATGAGTAGAATGTGTCCTTTTATTTAAAATTCATCTCTGGATTATTTGTAGCACCTGCCTGGTGCTTTTATTTAAAACACATCTCTGGGTTATTTGTGGGGCATAGGAATTCGTTCTCCCCCCCCAAAAAAAATATAGTCTGCCCCCCCACAAGGTCTGAGGGACAGTGGACCAGCCCCCTGCTGAAAAAGTTTGCTGACCCCTGGTGATAAGGCATCTCTGCTGCTCACCACAGTGAATGACAGAATTAGACTCCTACCTCTTGTGTCTGTCCATTTATGTCATCTCATTTTTAATAGAACTGCACCCTATAGATTCAAAAGAGTGATAAAGAGAGGTTGTGGATAAATAGAGGTTGTGAATGCCAAGCTTGATCTAGTTGCATGGTTGGGATAAAAGGCAGATGTGGGAGAAATATGCCTGTTATAGGAGCTAGATGTACCACAGGGTACTGTAGCAGACAGAAATATGAATACATTCAGAAAGAAACTAGCCTAGGTGAACTGAAAAATGAACAGTTTTTGGTTTTGTTTCATTCTTTCCAGTAGCAAATAACAGCAAGTATGATGCCATTATATAAATAGACGAGGTAGCCACATATAGATTCCACATAAAAGTCACCCCATATAGGTCTGGCCACCCTATCTCACAAAATAAAATATCAGAATTGGAAAATGTATGCCTTTTATTTAAAATATTTATACACCACTCTGCACTGTGCAAATTCCAGGGCAAATTGTAAGTCTGTACAAAAAAACTTGCTACCTACATCTCCATTGCCCTTCGCACATCCAAGGGCAGTTGTCTCGCAGCAGACAAGGCTCCTATCCCCATGGGGTGTGTGCTTTTGAACCCGGAGTACATGAAACCTTCCAACAGCAGACAGTCACTCTTGAACACGCAACATGATGGGAATTGTGTGTGTGTGTGTGTGTGTGTGTGTGTGTGTGTGTGCAGCTAGTAATCTCATTCAAAGTCTCCCCTAACTGCATGTTAATTTGGGCCCCACTGTATCTGATACACTGTTCATATATTCCTTCCAATCTAGGACCAGATGTCCTGCTCCCTTTTTCTTCTACACAGCAGGATGTGGGAGCAAGTTGTGATTGGGCTGGTGTGCCATTTGACTCTTGTGGGCTGCTGGTGAATTGGCACACAACAGGTGCCAGCTACAGCCTCTTCGCAAACATTTATCGTATTCTTTTTGCTTTTGTAGTTATTACATAATCTTTCTTCTCTTCTTTGGCAATCACTTGTAGCCGAGTAAGATTATCTTCCATAAACACAGTTTTAAAAGTGAGTTCATAAGTGACTGCGGAGGCCAATTCTGGATCCACATGTCCTTCCATAGTGGGGACATAGGTTTCCGGGTGGGAGTTGATCATGGTGAGGGTTTGCCAAACATGCCTTGCTCTTAGCTCATTTCTCCCTTTCATCCTGAGTTCAAGTGCAGGTGCCCAGGCAGTCGACATGAAGGTTTGATCACTTCAGTGAAATTCATGTATGAAATATCCACTCAGGCTCCACCTGTGCTATACTTTGAAAGCAGCACCACACCACAATAGCTAAGACAACAGCAGCAGCAGCTTCCAAAATTGTCACTGTGATCACACAATAATCACCAAGAAGTTGCAGGAACGGATGGATCCATCATGTTCTGCATATTGCCATTGACAGGGATCTTGATTATGAGGAGGCTTGTAAGGGCACTTACAAGTCCCCCTCAGACCTGCAGGCTAAACATGCCAAGGTCAGGGGAGAAGCAGGCACAGCCAGTGAGACTGGGGACAAGTTCTATGTGTGGACCCCCGTCCTTCTACATGCTTTTGCCCTTGGGTGTCTAGGTTGAGTGCCTAAAAGAGAGCCAGTGTGGTGTAGTGGTGTAGCGGTAGACTCGTAATCTGGTGAACCAGGTTCGCGTCTCCACTCCTCCACATGCAGCTGCTGGGTGACCTTGGGCTAGTCACACTTCTCTGAAGTCTCTCAGCCCCACTCACCTCACAGAGTGTTTGTTGTGGGGGAGGAAGGGAAAGGAGATTGTTAGCTGCTTTGAGACTCCTTAGGGTAGTGATAAAGCAGGATATCAAATCCAAACTCTTCTTCTTCTTCTCAATCTTTTATTTTAAACAAGGGCTGTCGAAGTAGGAAATGAGGCCAGCATCAATTCCACACATGACTTGCCTGCAAGTTGCTTTTCAAACCCATGGAAAGATATGTATTTATTATTATTAATATGCATATTTATTTAATTTACAGGTGTGTATCTCATGTTTCCACTGAAAAATTCTTTCGGCAGCTTACAACAGATTGCAAATAAAACAATCAAACAAACAAACAAACAAACAAACAAAGCACTCACACAATATTAGCACAACCCAACAGCCCTCAGACCAGCATGGTGTTTTCCAAAGTCCAACAGTGCCAGCCAGCATAGCTAACATTTGGGGATGGGGGGAGTTTCCGTTCAAATTATTTGAAGGGCTCCATATTGATTTTCCATGCCTCAGCCCTTCTGGCTTAAAACATTTCTGAAGCTCATAAACAGAAAAAGTGGAAACAAACTCCACATAGGAAACCCTCCAAGCTACTATCTGTGAATTCTTATAAAACAAAGGTATGTTTATCTACAGCTCTTGCTTCTCAAGTGTCATTTCAAGGTTTAATCTATTGAGCCATGAGGACAATGTTTTCCTTTATGTGCTTTATTTTAAGGTTACAAAAGAAGGAAAGCTCATCACTTTCTTTCTGGATCTGAAGGGTAAACAGCACATTTGGGGGGGATATTAAGAGTTAGCCTCAAATAAATCTGAAGCCACACAGCTACTGCCCACACCATCTTTTTACTGTTGAGTGATAACAATGCTTAGCTTTTCATGACTGGCCCATCTCCTGAGACACAGCTAGTGCTGCTGCTTTGGCGTAACTACATGAGAACAGGGATAGACAAGAATTTCATTTGGTTCATATTTTCAAAGTGAAACTGATCTAATTTGCACCTCCCAGACTGACACAGGGATCACATTAATTATCCTTCAGATTTCACACTTCTCTGAATTTGACAATAAAGTTTTTGGCTGAACAAAGGGTACCCAAAAGCAATAAATAAATAACTTTAGAAATGTTTATATGGAGTCAAATAAGTAGTTTGTGATTAAATATGTAATTACATATGTGTTTAAGTGTGGATTTTTGTATTTTAAAAATGCAGATAGATGTGCAAACAGGATGGAGAGGAGGAGTTATGAACAAACACATATGAAAATGATACAGGCCAGAACTAGACAGATATGTCCATTCCTGTATGAACATGGAAGAAAGTTTTCCTTTCAATAGGGGCACACCTCTGAGAGAAGTCTGGGGGAGGGGAGCAAATATTTGAGAATGATCATCAAAGTAAGTATAAACAAGGGAACAGAAATCTTTCCTGGGAAATACCAGCCACAAGCAAAGCAAACGCAGTGTGTAGCACTTGTATTCAAGCAAGTCTAAGGGAAGTGTCTGATTAGAGAACTCTGAAAAATGACATGCTCCCGATTTCACACTGCAAACTTTTTTGTGTCAAGATGACTCAGAGAAGAAGAGCCATGTATGGAAGCAGGCAAACAGCCCTGTATCATTTGCCGCCCCAGGAATCATGGGTGCAAATTTGTTACATCAGGACCCTCAGGAACAAGACTCTCTGGCAATATTAAATTTATCAAGTGTTTTTAATGTATGAACACTAGCCAGCAACAGCTGACATCTTAAGTTGTATATTTGGAGGGGCTACAGGAAAATCACCTCCCAGCCCTATTACCACTCTTTGTGCAAAGGTCTGGTGCAGATTGTGAGCATGCTGGGCTGAATACTCAGTGCTCCCAATTGTGTGGAGGACAGGATCAGTGTTTACTACAGTGGTACCTCGGGTTACAGACACTTCAGGTTACAGACTCCGCTAACCCAGAAATATTACCTTGGGTTAAGAACTTTGCTTCAGGATGAGAACAGAAATCGTGCAGCAGCGGTGCAGCGGCAGCAGGAGGCCCCATTAGCTAAAGTGGTGCTTCAGGTTAAGAACAGTTTCAGGTTAAGAACAGACCTCCAGAACGAATTAAGTTCTTAACCTGAGGTACCACTGTATAAGGATTAGACCAGGCTTCCTCAACCTTGGCCCTCCAGATGTTTTGAGACTACAATTACCAGCATCCCTGACCACTTGTCCTGCTAGTTAGGGATCATGGGAGTTGTAGGCCAAAAACATCTGGAGGGCTGAGGTTGAGGAAACCTGGATTAGACCTTCCTACCCAATGCCCCAATGCAGGAAGGCTGAGGATGGAAAAGATGCATTTATCTGCCTGAAATCTGCCTGGTTTGGACTTTAAGGACACTCAAACTCAGGACAAAAAGGAGAAACAAGGTAAGAGAAAGGCACGTTTGGCAAACCCTCATCATGATCAACTCTCACAAGGAAACCTATGTCCCCACTGTGGATGGATGTGTAGATCCAGAATTGGTCTCCATAGTCACTTACAGACTCACTGTTAAGACCGTGTTCATGGAAGACAATCTTACTCAGCTATGAGTGATCACCAATGGAGGAGGAGGTTTGTTTAATCCATTAAGTCTGGAAACTAATGGGTTATTACCAGTGCTTTTTTCCTAAAAAAATGTTTAGGGGTACTCTCATTTTCCTACTCATATTGAAAGATTGCCCCTTGAGGCCAAACTTAGATTCATAAAATGTTTAGGGGTATGTGTAGCCCTGCGTCCTCCCCAGAAAAAAAAAGCACTGGTTATTACATACATTTAAGTTTTTTTTAAAAAAAAGATTTTAAAATATTTATGCATATCTAGGGAGTCTCTCCAGTATGTAAAAACCACTGCCTTATTTGTTTGATGGCCCATTTTGCTTTTAAACTGGATTGGGGTATCAAGCATGAGGGTTGACTGACTGGAACACTGAACAGGATCTCTCTACATAACAATTGTTTGTTGCAGGTCCCACTCGTATTCAATATCACTCACTTTTACTGTTTTTACTAGAATTGTTTCTGCTTCTGCTGTAGCCTGCATGCATCACCAGCACCGTGATGCATCACCAGCACATAGTTTCCTGAGTGCTGCCGATCAGAAACTAGGACCAAAGCACATTGTGAACAGCTTTGAGGAGAGGAGCACTCACTAACTTAGCCTCATAAGCATCTGGTTGGCCACTGCAAGAACAGGTCTTTGATCCTCTTCTTATGCTACCTCTCTCCACCCTGATCTTAGCTAATTCCATGTCCATTCAGATATAGATGGAGCCTAGACCACAGTTCATATCTGCCTATTCCCTGCTTCCCCAGTTGCAAAGAGTCCACTTGCTAACCTTGATGCATGATGGGGTGGAAATCATCAGAAAAGATTACATGGCCAAGGATTTCTACATCAGTAAGAATTTTTTTTTTTGGGGGGGGGGATAATCTACTATAGATGGAAGGTTTTATAACTGTATTTTAGCTCTCAAGGTCTGTTAAAATATATATTCTATTGCTTACTTTTATTGAGCCATTAAAGATTTCCATAGAGGAATCAAGCATACTCATAAGATCCGGAGGTTCTTTCATATATCAGCAATGAGCTTTCTTCCTTATACATTTCTAAATTCTACATTATCCTTCTGAAAAGTAATATCTTGAGACAACATAAGTCAGATGTAGAGATCTGATATTCTTTCCTGAATTCTCTGTTGACACATCTCTTAAAATACAAGAACTGGATCAGGCACCCTCTAGTCCTTTGATACTTTTTTCTTGTCCTTTAATATGATATGAAAAATCACTCCCAAGTCCTTTTAAATGCATGTTCCCCTTAGAATCCTGAAATGTAATTAATCTGCATGAGGTGTCTTGTCAAAGTGCTTTATGTAACGGTGTGTTCTGGTATAATCATAAAGCATCTAATATCATCTCTAGGTGAACATATATTTCAGCCTTCCAGATGTAGCCTTTGGGGGTTTCTTTAGAAATCCTGTACCCGGGGACCGGGGGGGAGGGGGAGGTCGAAATAACGTAATGAGACCTTAGTCTTAGAATGCTACTCTTCCAACATGAAACCAAACATCACACATTCTCTCTCCAACTTATTATTGCCTATTTTTTGGAAAAATTCCTTGGACCTACATTTTCAGACTTGAAGCAAATGCCGTTTCCTCAAATTTCATTGAATGTTGTACTATTTGATTAATTTCTAGTTATATTTTATTAGCTAACATGCCCAATAAGTACGGACTTTAAGAATAGCCATGTTCATTATTTGTCTAATTCACTACCACCCTAAACCATGAATCTAGATTCTTGCGTAGCTCTTGCTCCTTGAGTGTAAGGATCTGTGTCTCTGTTACAGCAAACTCACATAAGTCTTCACACCAGAAGTTAACAAAGCTCAGTACCACAACATAAGAACCTACTGGATCAGGCCAATGGCCCATCTAGTCCAGGATCCTTTTCTCAGAGTGCCCCTCCCGAAAGCCACCACTGCCCATCTAACAGCTGCCCAGGTCAGAAATGTGTTAGTTTCTATCTCTCTCAGTTTCCTGTTTTCCAGTTTTCAGTTCTCCACATTTCTACATTAGTTCATGATCTTAAAAAAAACCAAAATCCTCATGAAAATTCATCTGTATTTTAGTGCGAATTTCTCCTAATGTACACATTTGTGTCTACAATGTTCCCTAATATACACATTTTTGCATGCTATTTTCACTAATAAATGTATTTTTGTACACTTTTTAGTATATGCATTTGTGTACACGTTGCTTGGCTGGAGAATTGCATCACAAAACTTGGATAAGCAGAAGTTTTGAAAGATGGCTGTGTTTCATTTCACGCATTGTTTCAGAAAGTGTGAATTACCAAGTCCAAAAGGATCAATTTCATTTGGGCCCTGTGCCAGTTAATAGCCTAAGGGAAGCCAGTTCCTAGTATAAAATTCACAGAAAAAAGCACACAAACATGCTGTAATAAATGACTATTTGTGAATCAAAGAGCATAACAGAAGTACAAATATTGGGAGCTGCAAAGATTTTCTTTGTTCTTCATTCACCAGTCATTGATCTGGCTTATTACAGTTTTGAAATTCTGTCCGTTTTTGGATCTCATATGTCTTCTAATCTCTTCAGTTTTAAGGACATCATGCTTTTTATTACATTTCTTATATTTCCAACTCCTTCCACCCTACCCCATTTGACTCCATCTGCTTATTCTTGCTTTATTCCTAACTCTTGCTCTTCAAAAATCTGCTACATGAATAAAACACCCTGTTATCACCATTATGATTTGTTCTTCTAGCTCTGGGACTTTTATAAAGACCTCAAAACTTAAATAAACAAGGTCTTTAAGATATTGCTTATTCAGTTTGGTGCCACCTACAGGTTGTGGTGACTTGAATGAGGCCCCTTGAATTAGGGAGGACCATAGCTCAGTGGCAGAGCCCCTGTTTTGCATGGAGAAGGTCTCAGTTTCAATCTCTGGCCTCTCTAGGCAGGGCTGGGAGAGAATCCTGTTTGGAATCCTGGATATTCACTGCCAGCCAGAGTTGACAGTACTGACCTAGACAGATTAATGGTCCAAGTGCTGAGTCTGATGTCCAACGGACACCAGACACAAGCTGGAATCCAGATGTAACATGAGCAAAATGACTTAAATATTGGAAAAATCGGGATTCATAAAAGGAAGCACAGTGTTAAAAAATGGTACATAAAGTACTCGCAACAGACAGGTAAGATGAAACATGACAGAAAAGTGAACAAAGAAAATAGAGCCACAGTAACAGCAAAAGGCAAACAAGAAAGCTGACAGCAGGGAACTCTTGCGGAATGCTAATGAGATCAATATAAAAAGAAACACAAGAGCCAATGGAATGAAGCAATTAGATGCAAGGATGGGAGAGGCAGAGACGTGACAATGGCAGCTGAGATTTTGGCAGATCTTATATCAATAGGTCCTGTTGCTGGTACAATGTCAGGTCCATGCACAAAAGGAGCCAAGCAGAGAAGGCTACTGGGAAGCTTAATTTCTTTGAAAAGCCAGTCACTAAGAGCTGGTTCACATATGCATGTGCATCCCATGATTCTTTTCTCAACACTCGACTGGTGGCAGCTGAATGAGTCGACTCACTACATTGAGATATATGGTGCTTAGCTGAATAAAGTTTATATGAATTCTCTCTGTTGGGTTAGATCTTTCATAGTTCATCTACAATAATTCATCACATGGATCCTGTAGTCCTCTGATGACAAAGATGCAGGTGTAAATTAGACAGTGCTGTTATATCATCTCATGTTTGGAACCAGACTTTTTTTATGGGAATGCTTAATGCTTACTACAAACATTTCTTTACAAGCCGTTCTTTTTCTGTCACTGTGATGCTTAAAATATTGCATTAGATAATCAATTCACAACGCAAAAGAGATTCATTGCTCTTCCTGTGAATATTCTGTTTGCACTGGCTTGATGGCTCCTACTCTGAACACCCCCCTGCCGTCCATCTTTCAATGGATGCCAAGATTGGATATCCATCCACTCTTCTATTCTGAGCAGAGAAGAGATGCAAAGTCCTTCTCTCTTTGAGTGTGGCTGTGGCTGATATAGGTGCCTATATTCCCATTGTGGTTCTGTCTCTTTTATGCTTATTTATGCCACACCCCACGACAGTCAGAATGTGTTCTGCCATGCCCTCATGGCAGCCATTTTGTGTTTGGGACCCACCCCACAATACAATCTCAAAATTTCAAATGTACCTAGTGTTCCTAAGATCTATTTATTTTCAGACACACAGCATTGGACGATTAATTCTCCTACATTATGCTTTTGCTGCTGTAATGAGCTTCACCATGCTAAACGAAGCCCAATTAACCCCACTTAACTACAACTGTTCATTTATACCTTTAAAAACAAAAGAAAACCACGAAACAACTTGTGAAAATTCCAAAATATCGCTCTTACAAAACCCTTCAAGAATAGTTGAAATATGTCAACTATTCTTAATGGCCTAATGCTAGTTAGGCCTGAATTGTTTAACCATGTTCTAATAGCCGTACACAGTGCCCAAAGAGAAAGATTCATGCTGCTTGAGAAATAGATTCGTTTAAAACAGTTGCAGTCGGAGCCAATACAGATTCAGATGTATTGTTCAGTAGAAATGAGACTCTGGGGCAATGTGAACTCAGCAGGAACAGAAGACTGCCACTGTTGATTAATATTCCTGTGAGGAACCATTTTGGTGACTGTTCAGAAGTCCCACTGTATTCAGTAGGGCTTATTCCCTAGTTCATAGGTTTCAAACTGCAGCCTGAGATAACACAAAAAACCAGAAGTGGCTTCCTGGCAGAGACAGAGCCACTGAACCAACTTCTTGGCAGGTGAGCCACTGTGTCTTACTGGGCGGTGCAAAGTGGCAGGGAGGTTGGCACAGTGCAAATGCACTGCCAGAACCAACATGGCACTCCTGCTGGTGTGTTTCCACCCTGTCGACTTCACCACCATCTCATCCCTCACTCTCCAGGTGAGCAACAGTGACACCCACCTGCCAGGAACCTAGGGCAGTGGCTCTGCCCCACCTGGCAAGCTGCATCTGCGATAAAAATAGATCACGTCAGAGACTATAGGCTCTGTTGTTATTTTTAGTGAGATTTATTATTCTGTAATAAAAATGGCTATTCCTAGCTGGCCTCATCCTTAAGATGTGACAATAAACTTGGCTTCCTACATTTGTTTGGCTTTTGCTATTACAATGCTAATTTTTAGCTGCTAATCCCGCCTACCAGAATGAAATTCAAAAAAGGAGTGACCCAGAAACTTCAAACAGACTTATTCCACTGTCAGTCTTGTGATTACCCTTGTATAATGTTCCATTATAAACAGGAATGGGTTTAAAGAATTCTAAAAAAGAATTATGCTAGCCTAAACAAGAGAATGTCAGAACTAGAAAATATAGTTGGAGGGGGGGAATGTTGCTTACATGGCAAACAGCCAGTGGAGGAATTAATACTGCACAGCTGACCAGCAAAATTTATCTCACTTACCCAGACTGAATTGTAACTTCAGTGAGGAAAGTAACGCTGAAACGGAACCTAAAATATCTTCCGCTGGAATGAAAATGCCACGTTGATAAGAAAAAAGCAAGATAAGAATTTGGAGCGTGAATGCAAATGGCACTGCATTGAGTTTTCCAATGGGCTTGTTGGACCTGCTTTTGATAATATTCTCCAGCTTATTAAAATTTCCTAATTTGCTTTTGTAGATTTCCCCCCCTAAAATATGTAGCCTGAGCCTACATGAATCAATCTTATCTCTCTATCTTGTTGATTTCAGCGTTTTATTATATCATTCTTAACTCAATAAAATCTAAATTATGTACATGTAGATTAGGTCTGCCTTGCAGGATCCAAGGTTGACTTCACAGAGTTCTCAAATTACTCCATAATTTGAAGCAATAAACTAGATGTACAAATTTAGCATTATTTTTTTTCTTTTGCAATTTTTTAATTGTTTGTTTTTGTGGCCTCACTTGCATATGTAGGTTTTTAAGCACACTTTACTTACAATAGATTCAAAATAATGTTTGTACAGCTTAATTCTAAAAATATTTCTATAAGGAAAGAGAAACTGTGTGACACGTTGTATGCTTTTGCAAATCAGTGCAGCAAAAGATGGGGCAGCATTTTCCTATAATCAATACTAGATGTTCTGTGAGTGTAATCTTTGATAATACTGCATGATAATACTGATAGGTTAATTGATATTAATATATCTATACTGCTCTTGCTTATAGAGCAGCCACGTTACTGTTATACCTGAAACACACATTACTCGGGATGATATATTACAGTATCACTGCATACCAACTGCTGGGAATTACAGATTTGCTCTGCCCTGGTCCTGGCTTGCTGGCTTCCCAGAGGCATCTAGTTGGCCACTGTGAGAACAAGATGCTGGAGTAGGTGGGCCTTTGACCTGATCCAACAAGGCTGTTTTTTATGGTCACCTTTCTAGCCTACTAGATCTGATGGACTTCTTAGTTTCTTCTATCTTCTAATCATGTATCCAAGTATAAGGAGGCCCCCCGTCCCCCACATTACATCCATCACATTTGCCATAGTAGTCTTTCACAAATAGTCAGTGTGAGAATCCTAACCCTGTTTGGGAACCTAGTATGGTGAGTAGCAGCATTTTATTGTGTTGTAGCACTTTCAACAGTCATGGCTCCGCCCACAGAAACCTGGGAAGTGCCGCTTGTTAATGATGTTTAGAATTCTTAGAAGACCCCTATTTATCTCGTACAGCCACAATTCCCTAGTTTTCTGGGAAGAGGGACTGGTTGTTAAACCACTCTGCAAACTGCAGCCCTGTGAGGGGAATAGCAGTCTTCTGCCAACTCTCAGCGCCCTTAACAAGCTACACTTCCCAGCACTCTTTGAGAGAAGCCATGGCTGTTTAAAGTGCAGCATTAAATCTATAGGGCGGGTGGGCACTTTGTTATTTATAAGGAAATCTGAGAGGACTCTTACTTTTCAACAATATAGCTTGAATAGTTTCCATGGTATCTTGACCTGGACCCAAGCAATGAACCTGACGAGATAACTAGGGTGATAATTATTATAGATTGGTTTTATATCCAATGTTCATTTATTTTGTAAAATCCGATTCACAACAAAGTTGCTGAATAAGGCTAATCCTTGTGCTAGCTAATTTTCAGATAAACCTTTCAAGGTGGCATTGGCAAGGAAAGGTCAAAGGAAAATAAGCATCTGTCTTCGTCCTCAGCCCACTTGGGTTAATGTGGGAAGCAAGCTTTGCTTCCGTGCCTGATTCACAAAGAAAACAAAGCAGCCATCATCAAAACACATCCAGCTTCCCCATGGGCTCCTCTTGAGGTTAATGTTCACAGAGATTGAAGCCAGAGCTGTTAGACCAGTATGAGATGGCAATTTAACACAGGTGCCGGGTTCTGCACCTGAGAGAAGAGAAGAGAGAGGATAGTCTTAAGAATGATGATAGTAATAAGCCTCTTGGCAGAAATTTGTCACACCTGCACCTGGATGAGGCTGCTGCGTGGACTAAGCTGGAATGTTCCCTGGCAGAACTTTGCATTCTGCTGGAGAGATCATTGATCTTGCTATTGGCCAGATAACCCTTTGTAACTTTTTTGATTTTACAATGTTTTTAAAAATAGTGAGCCAGACGGAGGAAACAATGGATAAAATATGGCTCATTATCTTTCCTGTTAAAGGCAGCAACAAGTGTGAATGTGGAACATTTGGGGATTATTGTTATTATTTTTTTAAAAAACCAATTTCAGTTCCTAGCCTGCCAGCCTCACTCTTTTAGATTTTATTCTGTGTGCAGAGCTTGCCTGCCTCCAGTTGCACATGGAACTTTCTTCTTTTATGAATGAAAGGAGAAGGCGATCTTAGAGACAACATTTCTCATTTAGATTGAATGGAGAGGTCTGACAAATCACCAGGGCCAGTCAGAGACATTTTGTTGCCTGGGGCAAAAGGACAACATGGCACCCTCTCATTTAGCATGTCGAATACAGCTGGATTGGCAGCTGAATGATACATCAACACTGGGAAGAGGGCATCCTCCTCCACAGCACCTGGGCATCATCAAGGGTGCAAGACTGGCTTATTTATGGGACTGCTAGCCTGTCCCTCAATATGTGCCACCTGAAGGAACTGCCTCACTCATACAACTGGCCTCTCAATTCACCAAATACAGTGTTTCTGTGCCATACTTTATTATGGCCTTTATATGGGTGCTGGTCACAGTAATATCTCACGTTATCTGATGTGGTTCTTTAACTTCTCCTTAATTTATTTGACTCTTGTGTTCATTCCTTTCCTTATCATTTCATACAGCTCTCACTTGTTACTTTTTTTCTGAGAGAAGGGGAGGAGAAAATGGAACTTTTTTTCTTCCTTCCTTAGCATCTCAGAGCTCTTATTATGATACAAAAATACGATCTTCAACTTTACAGATGATTCTAAATTGGGAGAGAATAAAAACAAATGAGGAATAATTAGGTATTACAGCCAGATATAAAAGGATTTAGATAATTTCATATTTATGGAACAGCAGATAGCAAATGCAGGGCTGAGCAAATAAATTGAGAGTAATTAGGCTTACAACACAGAATCACAAGCAAGAATCTGCATTAATGGAAAGGAGCTGTGCATTATACTGGCCGAACAAAGAGCCAGATGGGATATCCTTCTTTTATTTGTCAGTGCATTTCTCTGTTGAACTGTTCATTGCTTGCATAGGGAGATGGCATTCTTCAGAGAGATGTCAAGATATGTATGTTCTCATAGGACAGAGAAAAACCAAGGAAGGTCAGGTCTAAGGCTGTGCATGGACATGGATCATACATTATGCATACATACAAGTAGGTTCTGCAAAATGTTGCAGTGTGGACTGTTCACGATGCCAGTCATGCCCTTTCCCACAATATTCTATTCAATTTCCACTCTCCATGTTTCACATTTCCCTACATCAAGCGTGAGTTGGCATTCCATAGACACTGAAAATGTTTGATCCTCCCTGAGCTATTTTATGTCCGCTCCTTCCACTTAGAGAGAAGAGTTTGGATTTGATATCCCGCTTTATCACTACCCGAAGGAGTCTCAAAGCGGCTAACATTCTCCTTTCCCTTCCTCCCCCACAACAAACACTCTGTGAGGTGAGTGGGGCTGAGAGACTTCAGAGAAGTGTGACTAGCCCAAGGTCACCCAGCAGCTGCATGTGGAGGAGCAGAGACGCGAACCCGGTTCCCCAGATTACGAGACCACTGCTCTTAACCACTACACCACACTGGCTCTTTTACACCACACTAGAGCTTTTTTCTAAAGATTTTTTTCATACTTCTGCAAACCTTGGGATTTCTGGAGCTTCTCACTTGTGCATAGGTGGCAATATACATAATGACCCACATACTGAGGATGAGCTTGCCAATAGTACCCACCAGTCTGTGATCAGGGAAGGGTGAAGCTGTTGGAAGTTGTGAAAATGGGGATGAGGTACTACTATTCCCAATGAACTTTCACCTACCTGGCAGACAGAAAATGAGATGCATCCTTCACTCCATTGGTACAACCTTGGATCATTTATTGCTGCTGCTTCAGTGCTTTCAGAGTGATACACTGGGACTCTATATTAGATGCTTCCTGGAAATCAGATGGAAGAAGCAAAGTGGTGCACTCTGCTGTGCAAGCTGGAACACTAGGCTGTGCAAGAACTGCAGTGGGGCTCATTCTACACATGCCACCTACTGGAACATATGGCTATCCATTAGGTCATTGATTTCAGAACTGTCTCCAATGACTTGCAACAGCTGTTCAGGGGTTCAAACCTGTGCATTTTCCAGCCCTAAGAGGAAATGTCGAGGGTTGAACCTTGGACCTTCTGCATGCACAGCAGATGTTCTACCACTGAGCTATGCAACTTCCCCAAAAAATTAATATAAGAAGCATAAGGATGTTATGCCAAGTTAGATCATGGGTCCATCTAGCCCACTGAGCTCCCAGGGTAGCAGGCAGGTGTTTTTCTAAGCAATACTTGGAGACACCAGGTTGTAAACCTGGGGCATTCTACGCTGAGCTACAGTTCCCTTGTTTCCAAATTCACCATGAAATTACAGTGCCCATCTAGTCCAGCATCCTGTTTTCATAATGGCCAACCAGATGCCTGTGGGAATTGCAAAAGCAGGATCTAAATAAATAAATAAATATTAATAATAATAATAATAATAATTATTATTATTATTATTTATACCCCGCACATCTGGCTGGGTTTCCCCAGCCACTCTGGGCGGCTTCCAACAAAATATTAAAATACAGTAATGCATCAAACATTAAAAGCTTCCCTAAACAGGGCTGCCTTCAGATGTCTTCTAAAAGTCTGGTTGTTGTTGTTCTCTTTGACATCTGGTGGGAGGGCGTTCCACAGGAAGGGCGCCACTACCAAGAAGGCCCTCTGCCTGGTTCCCTGTAACTTGGCTTCTCGCAGTGAGGGAACCGCCAGAAGGCCCTTGGTGCTGGACCTCAGTGTCCGGGTAGAATGATGGGGGTGGAGACACTCCTTCAGGTATACTGGGCCGAGGTTATTTAGGGCTTTAAAGGTCAGCACCAACACTTTGAATTGTGCTCGGAAATGTATTCTTCCCACCTGTGATCCCCATGTGCACAGAATGGAAGATGACAGGATCCACAAGCACATGCTTTATGGGGAGCTGGATTCAGGCACCAGGCTTGCTGGCAGACTAACTCTGTGTTATCAAGATGTCTGCAAACATGACATGAAGGCTGGCAACATCAACCCCGCCATGTGGAAATCCCTTGCATACGACCTCTGTGCTTGGAGACAAACAGGTCATGTATCCACAGCAGTGATGAGAGGGGAAATGGCTGCTGGGAGGAGCACAGAGAAAGGAAATGTTATGGTGCATCTGCAGCAGCACAACCAGATGCCTTCATCTGCCCCAGCTGCAACAAAGCATGTCTATCCTGCCTCAGTCTCTACAGCCACAGCAGGCAGGCACTCCAATGGTTTGAAACAAAGGCACACTCCTCCATTGTCTCCTGAGACCAAATGGATGCCAGCAATAGGATGTCCCAAGTTGTAGTATTATGAGAGATGGGGGAATTTTTTCCCTATCCACTTGCTCCACAAGCCTAATATATAATTGGAGTACCATGTTTCATTGTTCCGCATAACTCAATACCATGCTGCTCTGGTAACACTCGAACAGAATAAATGTATATGATGGACAGAGCACACAGACAGATAGTATAAGCAGGAACCACTTGCGAGCAATAAATTGTTTTGGAGATTAACATTGTGTGGAAGAAAACAGTAGCTGAATTATTTGTGAAATGATACAGGGTGGACCAGGCTGTATTTCCCCCTGAAGTCTTGCATGACATACAAGTGTACCTATTTTTGCTGGAAGCTAAATTTATCTCTGTATTTGTTCAGAAAACATTTTGGCTGTTTTTCTACAAGCTTTCAGTCATTTTGGCAGCCTTCCTGGCCTAGAAACACAGACTTACCCCCAGTTTGGGACACCACTTCTTTGTTTTCAAGGGAGGTTGTGTGTGTGTGTGTGTGTGTGTGTGAGTGAGAGAGAGAGAGAGAGAGAGAGAGAGAGAGAGTGGGGGGGGAGAGGGAGAGGGAGTGAAGGGCCTTATGAGGGTGAAGGGTAATCTTCCCTCTCAAAGGCATAAAGTGATAAGTACCCTTTACTTGTTTTTAAATAAATAGCTATCCATATAACATGGCTCTTGATGCGTCACAACATGGTTAAAGTAGTGGCAACCCAAAGCATGCTATTCATGCGATGCTTTAATTTTTTTTAACCCCAAGTGCACATCTTTAGAAAATCAATATATCGATGCCTTGTGCCGTTGCCCTTCTATACAATAGTCAGTTTATATTCTAGAAGAAATGTTCATAGGGAAATACAATAGTGGAGACAGCGGCTATTGCAAAATGCTTTTGGGGATTCAAATAACAGTTGGTTTGGAAAACACAGTGGCCCTGATCCACGTAACTTTGCAAGTGTCTGTGTGCACCACTTCGCCACTGATGAAGGGTCTTTGCCGAGTCATCTCTATGGCCAGGTGAGAGTTGGGGAAGCTTTTTGTGACAACACTGAAGTGTCCATTTATTTATTTATTACATTTATATCTCCGCTTTCCTTCCAGAAGTTTAAGGTCCTTCTCCCATTCCCCATCCTGATTTTATATTCACAACAACCCCATTGGGCTTGGGTTGAGAAGGGTGGCTGGCCAAAAATCACCCAGAGAGCTTCGTGGCTGAATGGGGATTTGAAGTCAGGTCTCACCAATGCTAATCCAACAGCTGCAGCACAGTTTATGCAAAAAAAAAAAAAAAACAAAACCCATCCCCCACACCTGGAAGGTTGGTTGGGGTTGCAAAACATTCCTGTCAAAGTGCTGGATAGTGATGTTGATTAAAAGAAAAACAGTGACATTGATCACAATAAAGGAGGGGCCTGTTGATTTCAGGATTCTTAAACTGAGCCACTCTGAGAGTCTAAAAGGTCACCCACAATTTTTGCTCCAGTTTCCTATTCCCATTACATTTCCAAAATGTAAATAAGGCAAAATGGAAAGTGGGGTTTCCAGATGAAGCAATCAAAACAAGTGAGAAAATGCCCCACCCCCACAGCATGCTTTAGGGTACCAGAAAGGACAAATAGCACAAAGGACCAAATTCCGAGACTAACGACAAAATGACGCAGAGATGAAGAAAGATGAGTGCATTGTGGAAAAAGCCCTTCAGACTGTTGAACTCCATGTAACGTTTCAATGAATAAAGCAAATGCTATGTCAAACATTATTGCTTGAGGATTAAAGTGAAACTCCAGAGAGAGAGCACGTTATGACTGCGTAAGACATCACTTACTTTCATCTGCACAGCTGGATTAATATTAATTCCGGTGCTTTGCACAGTGTACATAGGCCACCTCTCTCTCTCTCTCTCTCTCTCTCTCTCTCTCTCTCTCTCTCGTAGCTATTGCAGCAAGGTCATGCTATTCCCAAAGGTAGCCAAAAGTCCAGAGTTGGCATGAATCAATTTATCAGTCCTATTGTGTTCTTCTGGATTGTTTCATAAACTGCCCAGCTCAGGCTTTATTGCTTATTTTTTGATGACCGCAAGTGCTCAGACCAGGGGTTGCCTAGCTTTTTAGGCACCTAGACACTTTGGGGTTTTTGAGTGAGGCCCATTGATACCCTGTCCCAGTTTCCTGAGAGTAGTCCACCAACAAGAGACAGAATGTGAGTGAGAGAGAGCACACACTTCACTTTTCCAAGGGATCTTGGTAGATTCTGAGCCTTGAAAAGCGTATAGAGAGCTGAAAGAGGAAGCAGGCGGGAGTGTCACACTTCCAAGTTCCTTTCCCACTTTGAAAGGGAGAAATAGGGTAACTGCCCTTCCTACCTCATGACCAGGTGTGGGAGAGAGGGGCTCAGAGGCTTCATGTTTAAGACCATTCCATTAACTCAATGCTACAACATCATTAGTAAAAGTAATGCTATTAGTTTCTACTATCCTGTTTTAGGCTGATTATTCTTCTCCAGACTGCCCTCCCTAACTTTTCTATTCAAATGTTTTCAAACAGGCTTTTGGCTCCCTTTAGCTATCAAGAAAATAGAAGAACAGATTTAAAAGCTATAATTTTGCTAATGTATATAAAATGCTTTGTTCCACTTTCCAAGCAATGTCAAAATGTGCCACTAAATGTACAGAAAGAATAAAATAGCATGTGGAGAACTAGTATATAAAAGCAAGTTTCAGACTAATGTTACATTCAGAGATGAGAGTGTTATGGATGGTATTCTTTATGGAACATTGAGACTCAGAGGTGATAGCCGACTGTACTTTGCAGAATTTATATCACAGGGAGGATGCTTTATAAATAGTATCCTAAGGGCAAAATAAATGGAGTAGAAAGGCTTAAGAACTTACATCAGAAGAAATGCTTAATTCACCCCCCACCCCTGCACAATGGATGGCAATTGAAAATAGTAACCTAGTGAAGCGAGAAGTACCAGATTGGTTAAATCCTCTCTCAGAGGAGGAGGATCACCATGTATGAGGCAAAACTCATAAATATGTGACTTACACTCCATTCCACAGCATTCTTGAAACTGTATATTTTAGGGATGGAGAAGAATATCATTATGTCCACATTTTTTAAGTGAAGCAACCAAATTCATACCTACCAGACAAATATGGATCAAAACACAATTGGATTTTTCACTTCTCCAACTTTTGTGATACCATTCTCACCTCAAAAGCTGTATGATATAGGGCATAATAAGTTTCACTGAGATAAAACATGTATTTAAATTCTTGCTTAAATGCGTGCTCTCTCTCTCTCTCTCTCTGTCTATCATCTGTGAGATACATAATGTGTAAAGAAGAAAAAGGAAGGACTAATGAATTAATATATGAAGAACTGACATACCAGGAATAGACTGTCAATCTCTAGTCTATTTTACTATAATCTAATAACATTTTTAAAAATATACCTGTCCATTCCAGGCAAACCATTCGGGCTGGTTCACACATTAGGTGTATCCAGATATCCCTTTGAACAGGCAACCAAGTCCTCCTGAGACACAATCTCCTGCTTGCAGTTTCCAGAACTGTAACATCTGAAAACAAGCTGCCACATTTGTGAAAATCTCTTGAAAACACTGCTTTGTCTGTGGAGAGCTTACTGACACCCTGTATGTATGAAACACAATTTGTTTTTACATTAGTGGAATATAGAACTGTTGGAAAATAAAGGAATACAGCATTAAGCAAGAATGGAAGAATCTTCAATAATAGTGGAGGGGGCAGGGCTGGAGAACTGATAAGATCGTAAGAAGAGTCCTACTAGCTCAGACAAAAGCACCATCTAGCCCAGCATCGTCTTCCCACAATGGCCAACCAGATGTCTATGGGAAGCCCACAAGCAGCACGAGGGCAATGACACTCTCCTGCTCATGTTCCCCAGCAACGAGAATATCCAGAGGCTTACTGCCTCTAGTGCTCAAGGCAAGATCATGGCTAGTAGCCATTGATAATCTTATTCATCACTGATTTGTCTCAGCTTCCTTTAAAGCCATTCCTGTTCACTCTCACTACACCTTATAACAGCAAATTCCATGGTTTAACTATGCAGCATGTTCAACTATTGCCAACCATAGGAGGGATGAGTATGAGTATTGGCACCAAAAGGTGTGGTACCCTGCACTCATGGAAAAGCTGATACAGACACTTAGAGTGTGGTTATTCGAAGACAGACAAATTTGTTAAAATTCTGTATGCTTTTCTTAGTTTTGTTAACACGACAAAATACAGTAGGAACCCTCCTCTATATTAAGCAAGAATTCAGAAAGCTTAAACTCATTATATACATTCCATAGGCTTGGACTTCCTTTTCATGATTACGATTGTTTTTGGATAGTAATAATATTAAATATGTGCTTTTTCTTCTTCCACTTATGGTTTAGGGGGAATCTACATGGCAGGAGCATCCATTGTCCTTGAAGTTATTATTAATGGTTTTGGTTATGTTGTTTTTGTGCATTGCAAGCAATGGTTTCTTTTATGTGCTACTTGGTGTACAATGTAAAACAAACATCGTTTGCTTCTCTTTCTATGTTTTCAAAATAAATAAAGCCTTTTAAAAATAATAACAAAAAGCTATGCAGCACCAATGAGTCACACCAACAAAGCTGTAATGTCAGTGTGGTGCAAAACCATCCAAACATTTGACTAAGGCACCGCCCCCTGATTTGGCTGTTGCAGTTATGTGGTTAGCATATGATCTGTTGTCACACTAAGTTGTATCTCAGTGAAATATTGTTGTATTGTATTTTTTAAAATGTTGCCATTCACTGTAAGACTGTATGGACAGAGTAGGTTGTTTAAATGAATAAAAATAAATAAAACTGACCTGCTGCATGAAAAAATACTTCCTTTTATCTGCTCTTTGACTCCTTCCACCCAGCTTTATTGGGTGATTCTAAGTCCTAGTATTATGGAGCAGAGAGAGAAAGAAATGTAGGATGAGTTCAGTAAGGATGTTAATGCTATGTCCCCTTTTCTTTCCATGAAATTTTTGAGAGTAGGCTAGGTTAGCTCCTCCACTCTATGCTCTTTGCAGTCATGGCACCACAAGACTTTTCCTTCTAAAATATCATCTGTGTCACTGCTAATGGATTTTCCCCTCTATGTGCTGCACTACCTACATTAAATATCCAGGCATGAAAACAAGATAACAAAGGATGAGATGCCATTTGTTAAAGGCACCAGCCATTTAGCAAAATGTTCAATGGAATAATAGCAATAAACAATATCTTTCAATAAATTTTCTAACTGAAAGGCTTCTGATTGCCCCTGCCTCTGAAAACAGTCTTTATCTAAGTAAACACAATTCTCTTTTAAAACCAAACAGCCCTTTAGTAACCATTATTTTCCTGTCAATCATGGGATTACACAGCTATGTAATTGCAATGTCACTGGAGTTATCTGGTTGCCACTGCTGTTTCCAATAGAATAATAGTTTGCATTTTCTCAGCGCCTATGACATTGCACAGAAAAAGAATCACACATCACATTGCCGTGGGAACATAGATTAATATTCCCCCAAACCATCTGAGGAACTGCACCTGCGAAAGATGGATTATATGGAGCTGCAGTAGCTGAAGATAAATATTCTTGTTTCGGTTTGCACATCCATTGCCAGGGCATCTGTCTAGGATCATTCAGTCTAAAAGCAGCAAGGAATTCTGGCAGAGGTTAAGTGACTTCATATTAAAAGATGACAGCTGGTGAGGATGAACTTTAACAAAATCCCTGATACTTCCATGGCCCCAAATGGACGTATTTTGTTTGTCTATCTACTGGAAAGTCTCAAATCAATTAACACTAGATTTCTATTACAGGCCTTAACTCCTAAATGCTATGAATCCATTTGGAAGATGAGAGAGGGTGAGGGACGGAGAGATAAAGGGATGTGGGGACATTTATTGGAGTTAGCTATCACCAAAGGTTTTTGAGTTCTTCACTAATAAAGTCACAGGGCCAAATTTAAGGCCAGGGCGAAGGGGCCGGAGAGACCCCCTTGGCCTAAGTGCGCCCATAACAGTAACTTCTCTCCCAGTTAGATGATGCTTGCAAATGACATGACCTAACTAACACGACCCATTTAGCTGTCCACAAGGTGCTTTTAGAAGAAAAGTCCCCAAGCCATGCCTGTGACAGATGGACCTTGGGTCCTTCTCCTTGAAACCCAGAAGCCAATCAGGTCTGGGTGGAGTGTCCGCTAATCAGGAGTGAGTAAAAAGTTAAACCCGACAGCTAAACTATCAGATGGGGCTTAGATTGGGCATGGAAAAGGCTTCATTAGGGATTAGCTGAGCGGTTAGGAGTTTGCTAGGCAGGACAGTTCAAATTACTGTATTTCCTTGAGGGGAAACAAAAGATTGTAGAAGGGGGCTGGAAATAATTTAATGGTTTAGTAGACCACATAGCCATTCTAGGAAGAATTGGATTAATTAGAAACAGGTTTACAGTGGAAGTTTTAAGTAAAGTTCTTAATTACTTTTTAAAAGTGATTTTGATGGAAACTAAGTGCTGTGCGCTATCAGGGTAACAATTAAGATTGTAACCCTCATTGAGTGTGTATACATAAAATTTCATTTTTGTCTCCAATGTGTCTCATCCCTTTTAACCTCTAGTTGAGGGATTAGGGGGTCACAGGTTTCCCTTTCACTTTATTAAGAGTCCTTGCTGCTGGATATTATCCACCCCAGGCAACCCAGGTTTAGTGATCTGGCAGAGAATTGTGTAGCATGTAAAATAACTCAGCAAACAAGCTGGCAATGATTTTCCAGCTCGTGATTTATCAGACAGGCAAAACTGGACAAATTTCAAGACCAAGTTCAAAGTACTGCACATTAATATCCAAGCATCCCCAACCTACTAAAAGCTAACACAAAACTGTATCTGAAAGGGGGCATGTTTGTGATTGTTTGACTTCACCTAAAAGTAAAACTTAGCAAGGAGCAGATAGTGAGATATGTGAGACATGAAGAAAATTGATGAAATGATGCAATAGCTTGATTAGACAGTGTACATTTAGCTACAGCTTAAAATGGGAGAATATATATATATATATTTCACATCTTAATTTCTATTTCAGCTATAAGGAGACATAAGACGTACAAATTTTCCTAGTCACCTGCATGCTCACACACACAGTATAAAGATTATGAGAGCGACTAATGCTTCTCTCTGCTGGAATTAGTGTAACAGCAAAGCTTGCTTGAATGACAGTGCAGATATCAGCTGAAATTTTTCTGGAAAATTAATACCAAAAATGAATGCAACCTCAGAGCTTTTGGACCACACTGCATATTTTAGTCCTTTCAAGCCTATGACGGTTCTTCGGAAAACAGGACTGTGCACCAGATTTGACTGAGTCCCAAGCCAAACGGTGATTATTCAGAGGGACTTGGGCATCGGACGAGTTGGGTACAGAGAGCTACAGATAACTTCAGGTCAGGCTGGATGGCCGAGAATATTCTCTGGCTCTTAGTGGGCAGGGCATCAGGCAGGAGGAGAGGTAGACATCAGCTGGGAAAGGCTTGCCCTGAGCACTGGCTGCATTTCTGGGAGAAAGTAAGAGCCCCTCCTGACTCTTCCTTGCTGTCTGGTGCAGGGCACTCATTGGCAAGGGAATTCTCTGCAGAAAGGTCACTCTCAGAGAAGCTACTTGCAAAGGAGCACCCATCAGAATTGACCCCCTGCTCTATTGTAGGTCAGAAGTGGGCTAGAACAATGCTTTTATATTTTGATTGATTCAGTGAGATTCCTTCCTGGTCAATCACTACCACTTCAGGCCCCATGAATGTACATCTGAAATGTATATTATTTTGCCCCCCAAATATATCATCAAACTACACTAGCTTACACTGAATTGCATTTGCCTTTTGATGGCCCGTTCACTCAGTTTTGAGAGATCCTTTTGAAACTCTTCACAATCATTTTACTGTTGTAAGCAAATTAAGTGTCATCAACCGACTTGGCTACTGCTCACCCCTAACTCTAGATCATTTATGTTGAGACAAAATATATGGGTCCCAATCATAATCCTTGGGGGACCCCACTTTTAACATCCATTGGGTGAACTGTCCATTTATTCGTATTCTCTGCTCCCTGTTTCTTAATCAGTTACTCATTCACAAGGATTTTTTCTTACCCAGTGACTTCTAAGCTTACTCAAGAGGTACTTGGTCTAAATTAGCTGTTGCAGTAGCCATCTCCTATACCTGTTGGGACAATAAAATTATGGATCTAATTTTTCCTCACCAGATTCTCCCATGGGTATTCTAGGCTCCTTTCCTTTCCTTTCACTACATGGCCAAACAGTACAGTTATAAATGTGGCTCTTTATTGTAAAATATGGTTAAATCACCAGTGAGTTCTTTCTTGGTCGACAGAGCACTATATATATTTTTGAGTTAATGCAATGGTGTTTGCAAAAACAGAAATAATAGTTGGAGCGTGCAGCAGTAGAACATTGAGTTTTCCTTCCATAAGTTAAAGGAGCGCCATAGATTGCTGTTTGTGTCAGCCTGGTTTTAATCACGTTAAAATGCTAATTGTGAATGACACTCTGTTTTGTATGTGGGTGAGAAATGACTACAGGAAAAGGCATTGCTTTGAATACCAAGATGTCTCCATGCCCAGTGAGTCATCTAATCCTATGATGAGTTAGAACAAGGCAGGCAGCACAACACACAGCAGCTGAAATTAAGCTAAATGGAATACAATACCTTTTGATTAGGCACTAATATGTGATTGAAATGGGCACAGCTGCATATACACCATTAGCATGGGGACCATAAAAAAAACATTTTGAATGCCTTTTTTTTCTTTCTTCCCCACAATCCTCGCCGCAAGGCAAACACTGCACGATGCATTTGTACTAATCAGCCAGGAAGTTAAAAGTCTGACAACATTTGCATATGTCTCTTCACTACACTCCGTCGTGTCATATATTTGGCCTTCTTCGTTTCAGCCAGCCAACATCCAAAATGCTATGAGAAGATTTTCAATGCCAAGATGAAAGAGGTGCTATTAAACTGCCATCTCTTTTCCAAGGCATTTTTAAAAATTATTTTCTTTTAAATATGTCCTACCTGCCCTTCACTGACAAAACAATCCCATAGTGTGTTACATTAAAATCAAATGCAGGATACACCTTCAGACAAAATGGAGCATGTTAAAAACACAGCACAGCACAACACAACACAGCAGCAATCCTCACATAAAAGATGGGGCAATTAAGTAAGTTTTCAGCTGGCAGTGAAAATTTATAAGAATCAACGGCAGTGATAAAATTCTGGCAAATTTTCATGAATACATTAAAAAAAACAACAACCTGCAAATTGTTGTGGAAATATGGAGAACTGAATTTAAGATTGGAAAAATGAGAATCTGGGAGAAACCAACATTGACAGATTAGCCCATCCTACCATGACGGTAAAATATTTTTGAAGACAGATGTATTGCCTTCTTGGTAAAGCTGTGTAGGATTGCACCATAGTTTGAAGACAGAAATCCATCAGTGCTACTTACACTTCTAATAACTGATTTTGGTGAAATTCACTGATTTGACTGGTTGAAATCAGACATTCTGAACCAAGCCACAAAGCTGACAGCTGTGATAATAATAAATAATAATTTTATTATTTATACCCCGCCCATCTGACTGGGTTCCCGCAGCTGCTCTGGGCAGCTTACAACATATATAAAAGAGTAAAATATCAAACATTGAAAACATTTTCAACAAATGGCTACTTTTCTTTTTATTTATATATTAAAATAGTAAGCCACTTTTATTTGATGAAACCAAAGCCACTAATAGTAGCACTTGCTTTAGAGAGCCACAAAAATATCAAAAACAGCACATGAAAATAGTACTGCAGCAGAGAAAACAAGCACTCAGCAAAAGAAGCAGCCTAGCCCATTTCATCAGCAGAAGCAGAAGCAATAACCAGCGTCAGCCACCTCTGTTTAAATGAGAGTTCCATAAGCACTGGTGGAAGTTTCAAACTTTTTTTTTAAGCAATGACAGGAGAATATGGAATAATTACAGCCCAGCGCTTTCATCTCATTTTCAGCTATCCAAAAGCAAGAATCCTCTGGCACACGTCCTTCTTGCAGCTAACAATGGGTAAGTGCCACTGAACTTACCGCATCCAGTTGCCAGTCATAGCCCACAGGTAGAATGACCCAAGCATTGGATCATATACTACTTCAAAAGGGAGAATTAACCTAAGTTACAATTTCACAGGAACCTAATAAAATGAAATCCTGCTAAGATTAGTAGTAACAAGCAGAGAGCATGCTAACTTTGCAAAGTGATTATAATTCCCTTCTGTGATTCTTATTAGCGGTAATATTTAGACTGCCAAGAGAGAAGAAATAATGGCATTGTTCATAGTAGTTGCAAATTAGCCTTCTTACTGCTGTGTTAAAGGTTGGAATTCAATACAATAGTTGGGGCAAGGAATTGTTCTCCCAAGCTTACTTGTACCCCCACCTTGTACACCACTCAGTTGTAAAAATACAATCTCAAAGTGGTTTACAAAAAGATAAAGCAAGAAAATCAAGAAAATATTACAATATTCTAAAACATACAAAAAGTTAAAATACTAACACAGGTCAAAATTCACACCAGCCTTCTAAGCATCTTGGTGGTGGTTGTTGTTGTTGTTGTTGTTGTTGTTGTTGTTGTTGTTGTTTAGTCGTTTAGTCATGTCTGACTCTTCGTGACCCCATGGACCAGAGCACGCCAGGCACTCCTGTCTTCCACTGCCTCCCGCAGTTTGGTCAGACTCATGTTTGTAGCTTCGAGAACACTGTCCAACCATCTCGTCCTCTGTCGTCCCCTTCTCCTTGTTCCCTCCATCTTTCCCAATATCAGGGTCTTTTCCAGGGAGTCTTCTCTTCTCATGAGGTGGCCAAAGTATTGGAGCCTCAGCTTCAGGATCTGTCCTTCCAGTGAGCACTCAGGGCTGATTTCCTTAAGAATGGATACGTTTGATCTTCTTGCAGTCCATGGGACTCTCAAGAGCAGAGCAAGACTCTCAAGCATCTTGGTAGGCTTGTCTAAACAGAAATCTTTTTAGCAGGTGCCGAACAGAATACAATGAACATGCCTGCTTGATAGCAATAGGAATGGAGTTCCAAAGTGTAGTGCTGTCACACTAAATGATTAAGTTTAGTGGAACCAGCCTCCTGGCGGCAGCATCACTACCATAATGAGGTGGGGAGGTGATGGACCAGGGCTGTGTAGGTGCAAAAGCAGGAACACCAGCTTGGTTCCACTCATGCTGCCATGCAGCCCTGCCTCCTCTGCTGCCCTGCCCCACTCCTCTTCCATCAAGGTAAGCAGCAACACAACAAGGGTGGTTCCTCAACACCACCACACCATGCTGGCCACTTCTGGCTGGCTCCCTGTAGAGACAGCATCACCCTGTAGCTGCCTTATATAGGAACTGTCCAAGGTCCTGTTCTTGTCTGCCCTTTGACTTTGACATGCCCCATGGAACACCCAAGCGAATATTCTTCAATAATAATTATTTAAGTTCAGTGGTTTGTTGCCGAGATTGGGGAAGCCTTGTTTGTTGGAGTGAGTGGGGAAATGTGTGAGCATTTCAGTAAGGATGCTTTTCAGCTGCTTCTATTTTGTTTCCTTTTTGAGTGTGTGGCAATGAGAACTAAAAAAAATACCGCAGACAATGGAAACAAGACTCTGGAAAACTCCCCCCGAGGCTTTAAGTTCAAGACATTTCCCCCCTCAAAGGCCAAATGGAGAAGTTTTGAGGATGAGCAGTGCCTTCTAGCAAACCCTCTAGGTAGTTTGGCAGGAACTTCTGCTTGGCTGACAGTCAAGATGACGCTAAAGAGATGAGGGAAAGTCTTCAGTGTCTCTTCCAAGCATTACTATGGTCTGATCTGTGGCTCCTCAATTGTGCCTGAAAGCACTCCATTATGCAGGTCCCTGAGGGCCACCAAAGCCACTTCCCTTTTATGGAACTGGCTCTGTTACAGGTGCTACGTAATACTCATTCTGCATTTGTAAGAAATCAGTCTTTTACTTTGGAACTTCCTGCCTATTGACATCAGGCATGTGCCTCCATAGTCTTCTTTTTGGAAGCTGCTAAAAACACAGTATCATAGAATCCAAGAATTGCAGAGCTGGAAGAGACCCCAAGCGCCATCTATTCTAACCCCCTGCAGTGTAGGAATCTTGTGCACATTTTTGCTTAGATGCACCTACCTAGATAAGTTTACATATGTTTTAATCTGTGTTTTTAATTATTTGAATGATTTAAATAAATGTTTTTACCAATAATTTTATTGTTTTACTCTTTTTGTAAACCACATTGAGGTTTTATTACAAGCAAGCAAGTTATAAATCTCGGGGGGGGGGGGGGAGGCAAGCAACCTTCCAAACAGTGAGGCAGGCAGCCCCATGTAGGGTGCATTACAACAAAACACGCACAGGATTGCACTGCAATGTTATTCATGCCTTTGTAACCCCATTACCTTATTAAATTCACCCTGTTGCCTAGAGCAGGAAGAAACATGGACGGTATCAAAGAATACCACTGTGGATTCTAGCATAAATTTTTAATTCAGTTATTATTCTGATTAATTTAAGTCCACCCAAAATTCACTGAATAGGGTTCAAAGCGTTTGGCTGGAAGTTTCTGTTAGATCTTGTGCAGCTTTGCTTCAGGCTTCAGCTTGCTTCAAATCAAGGTGATACCTGAAAACAGCACCAGTAAAAGCTGTGAAGTTTCATCACACACCTTCCTTTCAAAGATATGTGAATTTTAACAAACTTCTTCACAGGCCTTGGTTGTTCCCCCATGTGCAACAAAAGCAGGGAAGTTCTGTGCTTTAGTCTGAAACTTTACAGTATCTCTTTCATCAAACCTTCAGAAGTAGTAATTTGAACATTGTGATGAGTTGCATCCAAACTAAATTATATTTAGGTACCATTGAAATTAATGAGGTTTAAGCTAGCTATGGTTGACTTTTCAGACTGATTTCAATGGGACCTAAGAGCAACATGAAATCCTAACCATACCTAGTCAGGAATAGGTTCTACTGAATTCCATAGGGCTTACTCCCAGGTTTAGAGTGTCAACCTTAGTCTAGATCCATGCCCATATCTAGCAGTGCAAACGAGTTGACCTAAGACTCATTGCAAAGGGCCTAATCCTAATAATTTGGGGAGGGTGTGTGTGTTACATATAGTGGAGAAGCTGATAACTTCAGTCCCTGTCTGAAGTTTGTTTTCCACCTCCAAGTAGCTTCCAGGATGTGTTGGAAAACAGAGGTGAGCAACATCACACAGCAGGTGAGTGGAGAGAAAGTAAAGCCACTGGGTGAAACATGGTGGATTACCAATTGGTTAATCAACATGCTTTGTATATCCATGTTCTTTCTCAGAGGAAAATGCTAAACATGAATCCAGAAGAAAAACAGTTGACACCTACTTCTAAGAAATAGCATATGAAATGGCAGCCGCTGCAGTCTGTTGATGGGATTTACACAACTGAATCCATCCATAAACATAATATAAATACATAAATCAATTCAGAAAAAAGCAAGTACTTGAACATCCAAAGTTTGAAGTCCTTGTCATTTGATCCAAAGGGTGCTTTTGAATGGTTCACTATGTACAGAAAACAAAGTGAATTTGGATGTAAATTGTTCGTTCCCTGAACACTGCAAAACAAGCAATGCATTTTGTGATATGCATGAAAATCAACTCCCTTTTTCCATCCAAGGGAAAGCCATGCCCAATACATTCTGTCAACACAGATTAAGATTATATTACAACTAGAACTGCTGTAATTGGGTCAGATTAATTTGTAATATATATACCTTCAAGCAATATTATTTTTATACAATCAAGACAAAAAAGGAGTGGTTGAGATAAAAAAAGCTAAAGATGTGGCTAAAGATTCCCTCTCCTGTGATCCCCGTGATGATCAGCCCCACACTGCTGTTTAGCTTTTCCCTAAGATTAGTAGCAGCTTGCGGGTGGGGTGGGTGTGACTTCCATCAGAATTGTGGGAAGGGGAGGATACATCTCTATTTTCCCTGCAAGGCCTCTCCTCTTTCCAGAGGGGAAGGGTTGTGAGTGGGAGCTGGTTCCCGCGTCGGCAGGGGGGAGTAGTTGGCCTCCTGTGTCAGCTCTGTCCAGCTGCCGCTCCAAGCCCTTTCAGCTAGCCAATAGGGCTGGTGTGTGGGCAGGGTTTGGCCGCATTTAAGCGGCCGCGGCAGCGCTGGGCCTCCATTCGTTTCCTGTTTTCAATGGATCACCCTCCCTCCCTCCCTCCAGGTCATTTCTTTGCTTTTGACCTTCTGTGAACATTGGCTGGTTGCCGTGGTTGCCCAGGGGGCCTGGTAGGAATTGTTATCCATTTGGCAAATTGCCACCAGCCTCTTGGCTTTTCGCCTACCTTGTAGCAAATTGTCACAACTTTCTGGTATTGGTGGTTAGGCATTGGAATATGTGTAGTGTGTTGGAGGGCAGGTTGTGGCCATCACCTACCCCTCATCTTGTTTGGCTATTCTGTTAAAGGGATCCAGTGGTTGTATCTGATGATCTGCTGGTGGCTAGGGCCATGGCACGACCCCTGGTGACATCAGGGGAAGCTTCCAGTTGTATTTGCATCAATAAGCTCCTCCCACTAGTTGTTAATCCTCAAATGACTCTCCGCTGAGCAGGATGGAATCATGTATAGATTGTTTGATCCAATGCCTAACCCAATACCACTCACATGCTGTAACCAATAAAGTTGTGGCCTTATTTAACCCATTAACCTAAAATACCGTGTCCTTGTGTCTTATTTATCTCTACGTGGGTGGCGGGTCCTCGACTCACAATCTCCCTTACTGGGGAACAGCTAGGAGTGTTTAAAAGGGGGCTGCACTGCAGGAAAAAACGTCCCCTTGAGGGAAAAGTGGGGAATAAACAAACAATTGCATTTGTCTTGTGTCCACCCACCCAACCACTACTTCCTGCTCCTTGGCTACTCAGTGGACGTTTATGTTATCGGACAATGTATTAAGCAGTGGGCTAGAAGCTGGCCGGGGAGCATAGATTGCACATTCATGAACAGGAAATCAGTTTTAAAGAAACAAAATAAAATTCTAACATAATGTTTAAGGTGTTCCGCCACACTTCTAGTTATATTGCCCACTCAAAAGGTTCCTGCTCTACAATGCTTCCTCTTTCCCTCTCCTCATGGAGTGCCCCTCACAGTATTTTACTGCCATGTTTTCAATGTACCCATCATATGACCATGAGGTTAAACTCAAATTTGCTGACACACACATGTGGTAGCGGATGTGGATCTCCAGCCAACTGCAGCATTGAGCGTGTCACATCCTTATGTGTTACAAGATACTTGTCTCTCATTCAAATGTTAAAGTGCTTCATCATTAAGTACACAGTGGTCCCACTTGAAACCTTTCTGTGGCTTCAAATTTGAGATAGGCTTCACTTTCCAGAAAACAGATGACTCTGCAGCACACAACTGGTACTGATTTGAGAACAGTTCTAACCTCAAAAGTCAGGATTCAGCTGAACGTGAGATTGTGACTATTTTTCACATTGGGCTGCGAAGGGAAGAAATGCCTTTCTGAACATTCAGCCTTTAAAAATCATATAATTTTTCTTCCTAAAATGTTAAGGCTCTCCTTATACCACAGATCACATTTGAATTCCAGTAACTATGAAGCAAAAATTAACAAGTTTTTCTAGGTCAGTGCACTAAAGAGAAATGCAAGTTTAATCCTCTTTCTTTATATAGCAGGTGTGGCAATTCACCTGGGACTTCTCTGCATTTTCTGTTGACACTTTTCTGCCACTGTTATCAAAGCTTCAGCTTCCAAACTCTTATTTCCAACCATCTACCTGTCACCAGCTTATGTTCATTCCATAATAATCTGACAGCCCATAGATAGCTACAGCAGGCATCTAAGCAAAGACTTCTGTCGGATACAGAAACAATTATATTCAACTCCAGGATATAGAACATTAAAAAATAACAACACACGTGCATGTTTATTTTAAAACAAACATAATTTTTAAATGCTAAGAAATAGAATTGCCTTTCTTTGCTGTTAAGGGTATTTTCTCCTGTGCGAGCTAGTGTGGTGTAGTGGTTAAAGTGTTGAACTAAGACAAGGGAGACCAGAGTTTGAATCCTCACTCAGCCATGAAGCTCAAAGGGTGACTCTTGGCCTAATCCAGGGCTGGCCCAATACATTTTGGCACCTGAGGTAAAACACAAAATGGCACCGCTCCTCCCCACCACCAGGGAAGAAAGGGTGAGTGGAGACCTACATCAGGAACAAGGGAGGAATCAAATCAACCTTACCCAATAGTTGAACCGGGAATCAAAGGCCATGGGGGGCACTCTGAATCATGCTGGGTTTGATTCCCAACAATCCTATTCCCACCAAGCTATCATAACTCATGAGTACAATCAGTCTGCTATTCACTTACAGGCATTTTAAAAAATGAAAGAAAAATATATTTTTCTGATATAGAAGATAAGGTTCCTCTTTCCTGGTAAACTTTCCCTTCCCTCAGGCTGAAATCCATGGTTTCTCTTTCACAGGAAGCCTTTGCGATCATATTGCAAGCAGTTTGATTTGTCAGAATGCAAACAGACATCGAGACAACCACATCAATAGCTATTGATGCCCTCTCTGTGCAGGCAGGTGTGCTAACTTAGCTTGCCTCAAACAGGTAACATTATTTTCTTGAACACTCTGAAGTCCATCTGATTTCTTATTTTCCTTCCTTTCTATCCCTCCATCCCTCTCTTTGTTTCCAGTGAATAGCATCTGCATCCACAGTTTTGAGGTAGGTATTTTTAAGCAGAAGCTAATTGTTCCATTCCAAAAGTGGAGCACATTGAAAAGAACTCTGTGGTGACGCAAGTGTGTGGCAAGGACGTTCCATCCACTAAGAATATTTCATCATTGGTCATTCTCATCAGCTTTGTTTGATAGTTGTTTGGAAGCCACCCAATGGCCCTTTTTAAAGAGAACACTCATTCAATATCCCAATCTATTGGACTTTGCAGCTTTAGGCAAGACCCGAAGAGGCACAAAATGCCTTCAGATCCAATATGAACCCTCTCGACATCAGCTGCTCACCTTTGCTGCCTTTCCGGTGCATAACCATTATCACTGCTCACACCAACAGCATGATTGCCATTTTACCATATTGGTCAGGAGAGCATACCCTCCCCAACAGCAACTTGAATTTGAATTAAACACACCTTTCTTTCTATACTGAGGCTATTTTATATGCACGGCATGCAGGAGCAGTGCTTCTGAGATGGCAGAGGTGGTAGGGGGAAGTGGCAGTGACAAAGCGGAGAACTGGGAGCACCAGTGCTTCACCCTTTATCGCTGCCATTTCAGATTGATTGCGCACATAATGTTTTTGATATCTCTGTGACAGAGTGGTGGAGGCAGCAAAGGTAAGCTACAAAGGAGATGCAAGCAACTGTGCAAGGAGCAAGACCATCTGCTGACTCAAAGAAATTGGTTTTGCAGCACTTCTTGTAGCAGAGGAGTTTATTGTATCCATTAGTATTGTAAACTTCAGGAAGAATTTTCGGACAGTGACAGCTGTTCAACAGTGGAACGGACTCACTCAGAAGGTGGTGGACTCTCCTTCCTTGCAGGGGCGTAGGAAGGGGGTGCGGGGGTGTGGTCTGCCCCGGGTGCCATCTCTGAGGGGGGTGACAAAAAGGCAGGAGGATCGCGCCGCCGCCACGCATGGATTGCCCCGCCCCCATGCAGCGCATCACCCCGCCCTCCCCTGGGTGCACGGCATGGCTGCCGCTCCAGGCACCCATGAAGCCAGCTCCGCCACTGCTTCCTTGGTGGGTTTTAAGCAGAGGTTGGATGACTACCTGTCATGTATGACTGAGTTGAGATTCCTGCGGTTGAACCAGATGACCCTTGAGATCCCTTCCAACTCTTCAATTCTGTGATTTCAAAAAAGTACCATATATCTATAATGGAAAGATCATCAAACATGTAACCATCCCTCCCCTTTTCTAGAGTGTTAGGATACAATCCTAAACACACTCACTAGGGAGTAAGCCCCATGGAACACTGTGGGACATGTTTGCACAGCATGAATGACTCTTGCTTCCATTTACATGAGTATGAAGAACATATTTTCCCAGTAATTCAGTGCCAGTGTTTAGTGCACGCACGTTCCACAAAGCAGAGGAAATCTATGCATTTTTAAAAATTCCATGCATCCTTATGCAATTTTCCAAAACATAATGAGTATGGTTTTTTTTTTTAATAGACCTCTCACATATTTGTTAATGTAAGATTTTATAAATGGTAAAAATACTGGTTTGGTAGTTGGGTGGAAGACAGGCATCTTTGTATGCATTTTATTGATACTTGATTTCCTCTGAGGAGGCAGCACATTTGAATGAGTATTTCATTATCTGCAATACCTTACAGGGCCATAAGGTTGATCATTTGTGTTTTCTACTTGAGGAAAATGAAGTTTTCACTGATCCCAAATACTGTTGTCATGGTAAGCAAACTAACCTCATGCAACTCTTTTTTTCAGTGCACAAGTTCAAACACTCTGCATGATCCAGAAACTCCATCTGAAAAATGTGCATATGCTCAGTAATTAAAATAAAATGTCATGGAAATACGTATTTCATAAGTGTTACATTAAGAATTGCTTAATATGCACCATGACAGAAAGTTCTCTCACAAATTTAAAGCAAGCATAATATGAAACAGGTCTACTAACAAGAGCCTTTCTTAATCCTGAATTAGACTTATGTCTGAACTATTAACCTTTTACCACCTTTAATTTAGACTCAATTAGCATTGATTTTAAAACCTAATACTATAATACTCTATAACAAGAATAATGGACTTTTCTTTTTACTGCAAAGTAGGTCCATATACTTCATAAAACTTTCATAAAACTTTCATTCTCTACTTTACTACTGCATTTTATTAACTACAATGACCTAGTTAATGTGATGCACGGTTCATAGCAAATGATTGCCCAAATAATTTTGAACAATTCTTATTATAATTCATCCAACAGCAATTCAAACTAGTCTGTGACAAAACATAGGGGAGGGCATAGGAAAAGCAAAATTGAAGTCAATACCTTTCCCAGGAATTTTAATGCCAGTTGCAAAGCACTGAATAGTAAGCATTCTAATGTTCCAAAGATTCCCTCCCAAAGGATGCCATATTCAGCAAACTGAGCTCAGCAAACACACAAGCTAAGTGCACAGGGCTATTATATGTATGATTTAATTGCCAGTGCTGCAAACTTCTATAGGCCACAATTCTCTGCATGTACAAGAGCAGGGGAGGGAACTCGCTGAATAGCAAGTGAGGCCAGGCTTAAGAAGAGACCCGGGGGCCATCTTGAGAGATGTGGAGGGTCTGAGGTTCCCATCCCCTACAAGAAAGCCTCTGCAAAATCATTGTGGATACTCTGAAGATCCATGCACATTACTAGAAACAAGCTGCATCTATAGAAGACTCCAAACCAGGAAACAAATAGTGGGCCATTTGCTCCACTGACAAATAACAAATGGCTATTTGCTGGCAGATCCTCCAAGTGCCCCTGTTTTCCAGGGATGCCCCTGATTTAGAGAAGCAGTCCCGGTTTCTGATTTGATCCTGAAATGTCCCAGTTTTCCTTAGGACATCCATATTTTCATTGGAGAAATTTTGGAGAGTACGGAATTATCTGACCCCCGAGCCATCTGAAGGCAATCCTGCATAGGGAAGTTTTAAAAAAATGTTTAATGTTTTACTACGTTTTTATATATGTTGGAAACTGCCCAGAGTGGTTGGGGCAAGCCAATAAAATGTGTGGGGTATAAATAATAAAATTATCATTATGAAATGGGACGTCCCTATTTTCATTGGAGAAATATTGAAGGGTATGTCTTGGGTGTGGACTCAGCAGAACTTTAGGATGAAAACTGGTGCCAAGGTGTTTTTGCAGGACTATGAAACAAAAATGTAGATATAGTCAGTTCACATTGGTTACATCACGATATCAGTCAATGCCATTAAAAATTGCTGGACAGATTGCAGATCTGTACCTTGATTGCACAGGTCACAGAATTTGAAATTGAAACTCCAGCCCTAAAGTCAAAAAAATCACATCTGTTTTACAGACAGTACTGAAGGTTGCAGGGGATATTTTTAGATCCAATTGTGGGCGTAAAAATCACACTGCACTGAAGAGATTTTGTTTAAGGAATAGCACTAATAGAAATATGGATCCTGTATAATTTTCAGCTGCACCATCACCTGACAGAAATTGTGGATTCCACTCTATTATATCATTAAAACTACATTTACCTTAGATATGTGGAGTTTAGGGTTCAATGGAGTGTAAGGAAAGTGTATGGCCAAGCACATTTCAGCAGTGTGCTGCAACTGTGTAATCATTACAGAATAGAGCTTGAAAGCTGACTGCAAATGGTCCTTGTGAAATGGATCTAGGAGTCTTGGTGGACCACAAGCTTAATATGAGTCAACAGTGTGATGCAGCAGCAAAAAACGCTACTGCTATTCTAGGCTGCATCAACAGAAGTATAGTGTCCAGATCAAGGGAAGTAACAGTACCACTCTATTCTGCCTTGGTCAGACCACGCTTGGAATACTGTGTCCAGTTCTGGGCACCACAATTTAAGAAGGATGTTAACAAGCTGGAACGTGTTCAGAGAATGATCAAGGGTCTGGAAACTAAGCCTTATGGGGAGCACTTGAAGGAGCTAGATATGCTTAGCCTGGAGAAGAGGAGACAGAGGAGATATGATAGCCATCTTCAAATATCTTAAGGGCTGTCACATGGAAGAGGAAAGAAGCTTGTTTTCTCCTGCTCTGGAGGGTAGGACTTGAGGCAATGGCTTCAAGTTACAAGAAAGGAAATTCCGACTAAACATTCAGAAAAACATCCTGACAGTAAGAGCTGTTTGGCAGTGGAACGGACTCCCATGACAGGTGGTGGACTCTCCTTCCTTGGAGGTTTTTAAGCAGAGGTTGGATGGCCATCTGTCATGGATGCTTTATCTGGGATTCCTGCACTGCAGGGGGTTGGACTAGATGACCCTTGGGTCCCTTCCAACTCTAAGATACTATAAAATAAAAATAAGTGCACAATATCATGAAATATATAGGTGCTTCTTTTTTTTTAAAGGGATATAAGATACAACTGCATCATCCCTATCTCTTCTCTTTCATGCTACATCATTAAACACTTTACAATTCAACTGTGTTGTTGTTTTTCTCACTGAGGAGTAAAGAATGCTAGCCTCAAGCTTATCAACCACTAACACAACCAAAACCTTGGTTTCCAGTAGCTTCAGCAATTGTGGCATTGTTATTGTTTGGCAACCCATGCATGCTGTCACAAAAAGCCATTTGTTATCACAGGAAGGGACCATGGGTGTAACCTGTAAAACTTTTTTTTTTTTTTAATGGACAGATTTCAGATGCTCCCCTCAAAAATCCCTTTTGTCATTACAATGGAGTAATGACTGATGGAAGCAGTCAATTAAAAAAAAGAAATTGATTTTCTAAAGTTGACAAATTGAGTGGGGTGTAGGAGGATCACAGAAGACCTTTTCTTCATCACAGTGTCTGTGGCCTACATGAAAATGGGGATGGCTGGTTCAGGCTGAAAGTGCACTCCCTCCTACACCAGCCAGCCTCATTTTCATGTTGTCCTCAATAGAACTGAAGCTCATCCATTCCAACCATGAAAAGCTCCTTCCTCCACATCCAGCTTCATCCCTGCTTTGCCAGCCCATTTGGTGGAAGGCATTCCTCGCCATGTCTCTTTAAGGAGGCCCTTTCCCTTTCATGACCTGTTCTCTCCTGAGGTATGAAACTTAATAGGTTCCAAACTTAATACATTCCCCTCACTTCAAAACTAACATAAAAGCTGGTTATACAAAAGACCCACCATCAAACCGTTACATTTTTATGCGGTTCATTTGATTGTTCATTCAATCAACAGTTTTATATCGAGCTCACCCTTTCCCCCCCAGGATGAGTCCTCACAAAGTGTATGAAACCAATTGTAAAATATATTTAAAAAACCAACAATTTAAAGTCTACAATTGTATTCCTGTAAAAGGAGCAGTAAACACGTCAAAAAGACATTGCAAAGAAAAGAATAAATAAAAAGTAGATTTAAAAAGTGGATGGCAAAGTGCCAAAATAACAGAACAAAGACTTCATTTCATCCCCAAGACTGGGGGTGTGGTGCTGATGGAAGAATCCTGACAATAGTTGAATTATGGTGGATTATATTTCATGCAAAAGGCAATGGTGGTGCAAGAAAAGGACCCAGAAGCTTCTCATCCTATTAAAGCATTATTTTAAAAAGAAATTCAACATTCCAATTTAGTTCAGTATAAGACATTTATTCTCACTAGTCAGATGGCTGCATACATCATGTTTTGAATTTACTACCATAACATGCCACTTATATAAAAATCATTGCCTTTTACAGTGATTTTTTATTCTTGGCTGTAGCAATGCATCCTATTTATATGCACACCAAGTACTCTTAAAATAACTCCAAGCATGTCTAAACTCAAAGAAAACCAATCCAAGGATTCCAGACAACCACCTGGTAAAATGCTAATGGCATATTTAAAACAGAACATGTTGATATATAAGGATATTTCAAATTGCCTTGTATAAGTTGGCTGTATCAGATAGATAAAGTGAATTCTAATTAAATCCACAGGAATTTTCTGGGACTCCGGAACTCCAACTTGCCCCGGTTTGCTGATGTATGGAACTATATGCTAGAGAGTTTCAGCTAAATGAATACACTGCTGCAAAGCTACTCATACTGAACCTGAAGCTCTGATTAAGCATTAGAAACCCAAGGGAATTAATTTGCAACCTCTGTAGTAAGCGCAACACTTGTGTTGAACAAATAGAAAAATCGACTGGCGTAAATGAATTTTGGTGGGTAAGCAAAATAATAATAATGAGGTGCCCATGTCAATGACACGGGTGCCTGCTGGCAGACTGCGACAGATTTAATGTCAAAAGCTTTTAGTGCTCCTCAGCACTTCACGTTTGCAATCCCATCCCTTGGCCTATAATGGGCAATTTATATGACCTTTGAGGAGTTTATTGCAAGCTTTGCTTTAAAAACAGAATTCACACCCACACATGGCGACTAGTTGTGGGCATAACTAGTTTCACCCATAAGGAGTAGAATATCCATGTGCAAGACTGTAGCACAATTGCCAGCAAGCATTAATGGCACAGTTCTGCCCTTATGTGGAGAGCTTTCCTTCCATAAAATGCCAAAGCAGAGGGTGTGATTCGGATCGATTCTGTAGTGTGGAGGGGGCTGGGGTCCCTATCCAGATTGGTGGCTCCATACCTGCAATGTGCTTTGCAAGTACAGGTCCCCTTAAAAAATAAATAAAAATAAAAATACAATTAAAAAGCTGTTTGAAAGAATGAGACAGTACTCTCTGCTGGGCAGCAGCAGTCAGGGCCTGTCCTAGGCCTGGTGGAGAGAGGCAGGAACATAACCCTCACTGTTACTTATAAGTCTCAAAAATAAGCTGGACTGAAAGGAAATTGCTTAAAGCAGTGTGTGTCACTTGTCAGTAGTAGGCAGGGCCAGAAACAGAAGCTGACAGAGCAATGAATAGAATAGCTACCTTTCTTCAGGAGGCTAGCTTCCCTTCCCCCTTCTCTATCCTCCAACCAGACTGTCCTGAATCCCTGGCCTACCTGGCAGCAAGTCCGAAGTCCTGGGGTCAAGCCACACAAGCAAAATCCAAAGTACAGGAAACACAGTCCAGGATCAATCCAAGTAGTCAAGTCTGAAGTCCAACAGTCAGGAGACAGTCCAAAGCACAGTCCCATAGAGGTCCAAGAGCACCCAAACCAAGGTCCATCAATATGGACAGTTGAAGAGACACAGCACCTCAGCTCTGCTTCCCTTTTATACCTTGCATGCTGATTGCAGCACCTGGGCTTGATGACGCATGTGACCCTCACCTGTTCCAAGCCTATTTCAGCTGAGAAATCACACCCCTCCTCCCAGAACTAGCAAGCCTCAACAGGCCAGCCAATGAGCTGGGCTGTGGGCCCTCAGCCTCCTGGAGTGCCCCGCTCACTGCCCCCTACACCTCAGAGCCCACCATGTTCCTAGAGACAGGGCCCCCTCCAGCTCTGGTGATGGATCTTGCTGCTCAGGTGCATTGGCCCCCAGCTCCTTGCCATCCTCCATCACCCTGTGAGTACTCCCTTCCCCACACCCTGCTTGCCCCAGTGTGTCCCAGTCCCACCCCTCACCGGGATCCTTTTCCCGGTTGTTCTGCCAGTTCATGACACAGACAAACAGGAATCATTGTCAGAACTCAAGAACATTCCAGCCAGGCAAAAATATTAATTTGTAGCAAGACCGGTGAGGAGCAGTAGCTTGTTGAAAGGAGGTGTAGCTACAGAAGGGCTGTGGCTTGGGGGAGGGTTCTTGCATTTGGCCCCTGCATGTAAGGTCCCCCCACTCTTGGCTTAAAGAAATGAAGTATACCACAAGGCAGGTGGGAAGGGTTTCGCTCCTCTCCATTATTTTTTCTTTAGGGAAAAAAATTAATACTGTGTTTAAAGGAGTAGCTTTTACATGCATAAGATCCATACACACTTTATCTGTAAACAGTAACCTCTTTCCAGTATAGAGACAACCCATGAATCTATCCATCCGACATACTGCATCCTGAATCAGACTGCTTCTAAATTGTACTTCAATTGGTTTTAAAGTGAATTTGTAATCATGGTTTATTCAAGTTTTCATTTTTTTTAATGCAGTGCAACACTTCTCCTTATGCCTTTGACCATTTATCAAGTCATGCGAATGAGGAGGTAAATAAGACAGTTGAGAAAGAATTTAATAAATAGATAACTGCAGAGTGTTGCAAAATCCAGTTCCAGTTTCTGTGTTAGATGTCTAGGTTCCTTTGGTCTTCAAGTTCCAAAAAGTAACTCCAAATCTCCTGAAAGCATTTTTCTTTTTGTAGTTGTTGAACAGGACTTTCTCGTGGGTTGGCAGCTGCAGAAGATCCTGCTTCCAACCTTCTATGCTTGGTGTGGCCTGGGGCTTCCAAAGTCATAAGATTATTTGCTGTGGTGGTCTAACACAACCATCTTTCCTACCCTTCTGACAGCTCCCAGTTTGATAGGTATGCAGCTGTATATAACTGATTAAACCCGAAATCCAATAATTTATCCAGAACCAAATGAACTTGCGTTTGTACTTCCTTCCAAAGGAGGCATGTCAAGTCTGCCTATGGCAGCCTGCATCAGTGTTAACATTTCTGAAGAATGTTTGGCTTTTTTTTGGTAGGCAAGATGTTCTTCAGAGCCTTGTCAAATGTCATTTTATATATTGAACATTATGCCTTCTGTTGACACTGAAAACTGATTTTTCATGCATGAGTTTTCAAAGGTTTCCAGCGTGTCTAATCAATAGTCAATTATACCCGTTTTTGCTTTGCTTGTCAAAAAATTATGTATAGTTTACGTTATCTATTGAGAAACTGAAATACCACTGAAAGGCAGAGTGCTCCCTATCAATTGATCCTATTCCTAAAATTAGGTGCTTCTTAAAATTCCAATCTGCATGTTTCCGAGAGGACAAATATGAATTATCTTTCCTTTTAATTTTTGAAAAAATATGCAGTCACTATGGTGACCATCTACAGCATTCTGGTAGCTCTGTGTATATCGGTGGACTTTGCCTGAAATTGTTCCGGTGTTTTCCCTCACACTGCATAAAATGAATTAATACTGAGGTAAGAGAACAGTGAAGTAAGTCTCCTTAAAATGCTTGCCCATAATGAGAAATGAAAACGATTTGCTACACCAAATTGGAACTTGACAATCTCATAAATTGTTCTACATCTTAGCAGGTGATGGAAAATCACTGTTATAATGAGCTGATAGAGTATTTTAAAGGGAGCCTGGGACTTAGTGCTAGTAATATGGGATACATGGACTCCAGCAGACATATACCAAATTGATCAGGTTGTAAAATTTAAGGGCCTTGAATGAAGAGCCCTTGCCATTGTTACCTATCCAGATATGAAAGAAGATACTCACCAGTATCTATGGTCTCCTATTGAAGTGGCAGCCCTTGCCTTTTCTCTAAGCCCCGTATAATTAGAATTTTATAATTTTTATCAGAAGGATCTTCATCAGAGTATGACCTTGTATAAGGGTACTTCCAGACTGTGGATATTGTAAATGAGTCATTTGGTTGTCAAATATCCAGCAATAGGCCTCTTCTAACTTACTGGATTTCCCCTGGAAATGGCGAATCCAGATCAAATTGGTGGGCAGCGAGGAACACAAGCTGGCATCTTGATCCTGAAAACTTTGCATGGGTACTGCAGAAAATCATCCATCAGCACTGGTCTCGTGGCTGTTTTTGACTTCTATGCCACCCTATCATTGCATAAATCCATCTGGGTCTAAACTCTTAGCATCGTTCCTTGCACAGAATCTCACTTCAAATTTAATCTCCTTGCCTTCTGACCATCTTGGACAGAAGCGGATACTGACTGACTAGAGGTGCCTGAGGAATTTGATCTTTGTGGATTCTAATTCTAACTCACCTGAACTCGACCTTCTCTGATGAATATGTGGATTGGTTGTCTAAATATTGCAATGCAGTTGTGGATTTTAAAAACTGATATTTTGAAAGAAAGCACATTCAGAAATGCCTATTTAATAGCCAGTATATTTAAAATACATATTTAAATGTAAATAGACTAAGGGAAAAAGAAAATGGAATAGACTAAAGTCAGAACACATTAAGAGCTGATGCAGACCAGAAATAGGTTCATCTATCTCTAGTACAGACCAGAACTATGCATGACCTTGATAGTATGACCTTTTCTTGACCATCATCAAAATATTTTCCCTGGTGTTCTACTGAACGTCACCTCAGGGCTCATCACATGAGATGACTGATAAAATATAACTAAGAAACAAACTAAAATTCATACTTTGCACTGTCCAAAGTAGTCAAATGTAATCTTAACACTCTTCTTTTGTTTGGTTACCACCAAAATATATGGAATACAGTATACTAATAGAGTATGTGGGTCTAGAAAGCAGTCATTAGCACTTCACAGTGTAAATAAATATTTTATTCTTCCTAAGCATAAATATTCAACTAATAGTTACAAAGAGAAAAGGTTTCTGGGTTTTGGTACATCATTTATTGTGAGTGATTACTGTTTTGAGTAAAAATGTCTAGTTGGATATCTATCTATCATCTATCATCTATCTATCTATCTATCTATCATCATCTATCTATTTATCACAATCATAGAATTGTAGAGCTGGATGGGACCCCAAGGATCATCTATACTAATTTCCTGCAATGCATGAATCTCAACTTAAGCATCCATGACAGATGACCATCCAACCTCTGCTTAAAAACCTCCAAGGAAGGAGAGTCCACTGCCTCCCAAGGGAGGCCATTCCACTGTTGAAATGTTCTTCCTGTCGGAAAGTTCTTCCTGATGTTTAGTCAGAATCTCCTTTCTTGTAACTTGAAGCCATTGGTTTGGGTCCTAGCCTCCAGAGCAAGAGAAAACTTGCTCCATCTTCTATGTGACAGCCCTTTAGTTATTTGAAGATGGCTAGCATATTTCCTCTCAGTCTCCTCTTTCACAGACTAAACATACCCAACTACCTCAACTGTTCCTCACAAGGCTTGATTTCCAGACCCTTGATCATCTTGGTTGCCCATCTGTCCCTATAGGAATTCATTTTGTTAGTTTGGGCCCAGTTCTCCAATCTGTTAAGGTTATCTTGAATCTCACAAAATTGGCTCTCTCTCCCAGTTTGGTGTCATCTGCAAATTTGATGAGCATCCCCTCAACCCCTTCATCCAAGTTGTTTATAAAGATGTTGAACAACAATGGGGCCAGGACAGAACACTTGTCACTTTTTTCCAGGATGACAAGGAACCATTAGCAAAGCACTCTTTGGGTTTGGTCAGTCAACCAGCTACAAATCCACCTAACACTGGCAACTTGCTTACATCCACCAAATAAATCACAGCCATTCTACTTAAATCATGAGATGTTTTTACAGGAATATCGTTCAGCTGAATGGCACAATACATTTGTGTTGTACAATGCTTCTTAGGCTAGCAATTTTATCACATCTCTATGCATATCTGTCTACTTGGAAGCATATTCCTGTAAGTGCAGAAGACTGTTATGACAGAATGTAAGCAAGACAGAGATCATAATGAGTCCTTCTTGGAAAAGCTCCTACCGTTTTCCAGAACTAAAAAGGATAATGTGAGCCATGTGCGGTTCTAATCTTACCTTCCTCACAAAAAGCACATCCAAAACTGTGCAAGGGATGAGTAGCTGGAAAGAACATGGTGACATGACCCTATTTTAGGAGAGCGGGGATATGAATTATGTTTGGGCTAGGAAAAGACTTGAAAAATATAGATGAAAATGTTTTGGGGCAGCACCGTTTGTGCTGGCTATTCAGGGAAAGTTTCTTGGCATTCTATGGGAACAGAAAATGCGGAAGGCAGAATCAAAGTAGTGAGCAAAAGCCTAAGAAGAAATCATATAAAAAACACCCTTTCTTAATTAACATGGATATGTTCACCACACTCAGACCAAAAATGTTTATTGGTTACTTTTGCATGGCTATGACAAGAGAGGGTGGGGTTTTATATGACCTATGCAAGCCTAGTAGTATAAAGCATAATCCTTTGCCAAAAAGGTGGTTGGTGATAATAGGAAAGTAAGTTCTTTTGTTGTATTGGACACAGAACATGGCAGCCAGACTCTTAATGAAAATAGGAAGTCGTGAATATATAACACTGGTTTGGACCTGACTGCAATAGCTGCCAATTAGTTTCTGGGTTCAATTCAAACGGGTCACTGCAATCATCATATGAGGTCTTTCCTAGTGTTCCACCCACAAAATAAGTTTGGAGGATAGTGACCAGAGAATGGGACTTCTCTGTAACAGCTCCTCCCAATGCTGCAACCCTCTTTACTATCATTTCACCATCTGATGGGTGGGGTATAAATAATAAAATAATTGTTGTTGTTGTTGTTGTTTTCCTGAGCATAAGAGCAGCTATAATGATATTGTTGCTACAGTTATTCTGTCATGAACAAATAACTGAATCAATGAATGCAGTTACTTCGTCCAGGATTTAGGGTGTTTCTGTTTACAATTGCAGTTGTTTCAAAAATGAATATTGTTTTAATATGTCTTCATGTTTTGTTGCATTATATATTATAAATTGGTTTGAGAATTCTTAGGATAAAGTGATATACTAAGATAGATCAACCCTAACAACACATGCTGTGGTTCTTGCCATGCAACCCTGCTCCTTCTATGAGGAACTGGGAAAGATGCAGTCATGCCACTCTCATCACGAATCAGGCCTCAGAGAAAACTACACTAAGGTTAACTCACACGGTAAAATTTCATCATATGGTTTCATATGTTACATGACAGTTTAAATGATTAGTGTTTACCATATGAGAGCTGGCCATCATGATTGAAGTCACTGCTATACTTGTCCAGCATGCAAGTGGCTGCCTGCTCACTCTGGCAGGAAAAACCAACATGGTGCTCTCCAGATGTGTTGGACTACAAATCCCATCAGCTCCAATTGGCATGGCTAATGTGCAGTAATGTGGAGAGCACCATGTTGGCTATTCCTGCCCTATGCATACAGCCCAAGTCCCATAAGATTTTCTCTGTGTAGCTGCATGCACATAGCCACATTCAGCAATGAAAACCTGGTGCTCAGGTAATATTACAACTGTCTGGTCTTTCACCTTTTGGCACAAAGATGGCTTTCTTGGATCATTTTTCATTAGGGAAAAAAGTTTCTTCTACATTATGAATCCTCTCCCAAACCACCACTGAGCAATGACCTGAGGAATCTAATGCTGTCGGCAATAAAGTGTGGGTGGAGTGTGAACTGAAATTTGAGGTCAACAAACACAGCTGCCACATTGTGTAACAAAAACATGCCCATTCAACTAAATAGGGTGGGAGGTCTGAATGTTATCTCAAGGATCTCCCCAATAACTCTGTATGTTTGTAGTTTGGTTAGGTCTTGCCCAGGCACAATGGATGGTTATTGGCTCAGCTGATACCTTTGAGTATAGGCTAAAAAGGAGGGAAACTATCCATCCTTTTGTGCTCTGTATGGTTAGAAGGAGAGAGGAAAGGAAAGACTTGAGCTTTGAATTCAGACTGAGGTCAGGCAGTGAGAAGGACGGATGGATGAGTTGCTTTCTGTAAGGCCCAGCAGTGCTGGAAGTTCCCCAAGGAATCTAAAAGAGGAGGCTGATTTTGGGAAATCTGTTGGAGTCAACCAACACTCAGCCTCTCTCTCTCTATACATCTCAACAGAACCACAATTCTCCAGTGATCTCATTCAAAAGAAGCAGGATCTAAATACACACTGGAGTTCACACTGCTTGGAGAAGTGGTGTGCACATAACACTATCAATACATTTTATCTAGGTGATATAGAATATAGTACCTGTCCAGCCATGAAATCTTTGTGGCAGAAATGGGCAGGTGGAAGACCAGAGTGGGATGGAGATCTTGGTGGGGACAGATTGTGGGCAGCAGAACTACCCTTCATGAATATCTGTGTCCCTTCAAAAGAGCAATCTACTTTAAAACAGATCTAGAACAAGAGATGGTGGCTAAAAACAAATCAGCAACACTGTTGTGATGGCCTGGGAATTGGATTCGGATGCTGAACCTGAGGAATCCCAGCCTGCACAGGATTCCCCGCCTCCAGATCCAGCTGAGCCGGGGCTGGGGCATGAGTCTGAAGGGTCCTCCCCTGTGCTGGATCCTCAGAGCAGGCATCAGCTGAGTCTGCTCTGGCTCCTGAGGGGATGGAGGACCCATTGCCTGCAAGTGCTCCATTCTCAGCCCCGTCAGAGGAAGCTGAGGTTGCCTCTGGGTCCAGTAACCCTCCAGCCTCTCCTGAGCTGCAGAGGCTCAGGGCAGAGAGGCGGAGGGAACTAAGTTCCCGCAGGAGGAGTGCTCGCCTCCAGGCCTGAAGAAGCAAGTCACCTGAGGATCAGGGCCGCCCTATGCCTCGGGGCAGATAAAAGCCAGCCAGCCCCAGTCCCAAGTTGCGGAAGCAACATTGTTGGTTGTCAGTTCCAGCCTGATCCCTGACCTGCTTTCCTTCCGGAGCTCCTGACCTCACCCGATGCCTTGCCCTGCACCCAGCTTCGACTTCTACAGACTGCCTTCATTTTGCACCATCGACCTCAGACTGGACTCGGACCTCGCCTCTTGGTTAGCCCCCGGGACCAGCACAACTGTATAAGTAAACCTTCTTTCATTAGAGATACATATTTTACCATTTTCCATAAATGGCTTGTGTGTGTGTGTGTGTGTGTGTGTGTGTGTGTGTGAAAGAGAACCTGAGGTTAGGTACTAAATGGTTTTCATGTTCTATTATTGGAAACACTCCCTGCAGCTGACTGAAGTGTCTCTCATTTTCAACTCGCTGCCATTGGCAAATCTCTGTGACATAAGGCAGCATGCCAAAGTGTTTCTGAGATCCAACCTGCAATCAATGGCTATTCTCTCTGTTTTGGAATACTTTGCTAAACACTCTTCTTTGTGGTTGCAGAAATGCCTTGCAATGGAACGGTTGACAGGACCTTCTCTTGTGGCCTACACTGTGCACTCTTCAAATTCAAAGTTGGCATTGATGAACTAATTGGAAATTCAGAAGCTCATGGTCAGATCCTTGCCCCACCTTGCCATTGATTGTGGTCAGCTGAAGCCATTAAGTCATTTTGCCAAGAAGGAAATAGAATCCTGAGGCTGAATTTGAATCTTCTCATCATCAACATCTTTATTAAAATTGCTTTCATGTTGCAGAAGAGAGAAATTCAATAGGATATCATTGTATTCACCGAATACGCCAACCAACATTACTGCTGTTTTGAAAGCCCAGCATCTGTTTCCTAAGCATTATTCCTTGTGAGGGAAACAAGAGAAAATACATAAAGCATTTGGAGAGGGGAAAGGCCTGCAGATCCATTAAGAAAATACAAGGGATTTTATATTGAACTTTTTTTAAAAAATATGCACACACAATTACACAATAATCACTTGAAATGTTATTTTTTTGGTTACTATTTTTTCCCATGCATTTCCAAAAAAACCTCCACAGCCCAGTGTTACTTGGTACTAAGAACCTCCTTTTGCAAATCAGTTTGTCATCAGGTCACACTTTGCTATTTAGTTATTTTTAGCCCCCTCATTACACCTGGCAATCTTTGCGGTTAAAGTACTGCCATCTGGAGTTGTTAATGACATGCTGATAGAAGTGTAATCACTGGATAACTTTGCTCAGCTTTTCTCCAGGGCATAGAAATTGTGATACACATTTAATTTATGTTATATTGCACTCGTTGCTGGTTGCGCTTATAGTACAAGCACAGTAATCGCCACATTTGGCACTTCGTTCCAGTGCACAGCCAAATGCATTGACTATATATCAACAGGAAGCACAGAGCATTTCAGCAAAATGTTACTGCAGATGAAAGAAAATAGCCATTCAAAGGGGGGGGGGACTATATTTACTTTTTCTTGGGGTTTAATAAGATTTGTACACCAGAATGCATTTCTGTTTATCTTTCATCTCTGCAAAAACCTCAATTGTGTCTCTTTAACCTGTGGAAGGTAAATTTTAGTGGCATTGTCTGAATTGCCTCTGTGATAGCACAGAATGAATTTTCTATTGTGCTTTGAGGCACAGCAATTTATATATCAGGACAGTGAGCTCCACTTTTCAGCAAGGAATTGTTTTGCCTAGGCAGTGGAAATACTGAGCAGTAATTTAAGTATCTTGATGTTTACTTGCTGAAACATTTTAACAGGTAACAATCAAGATCATGTTCTTATTCACAACAAATGGATTCCTGCCCCCCCCCCACTCCAAGTGCCATTATCTGAGTGCCAAAGGAGGGCTGGAGAAATAGGCCTGTAGTTAATGAAAAGGGAATTCTTGAAGACTCTCGTGTGCCTGATGTGCTTTCAGCAAGAGAGCCCATTTCTTTGCTTTTAATTTGTTGATGATGACAATCAAGGCCAACAAGGTATTTTTCTTCCCACCCTTTTGAGACATCTGGGTGACTATCAGCCTTTATGCTAAATCTCGGCTTTATGCGATGTCTATGCTTTGGGGGCAATAGTCATACTTACTGTAGCCATCAATGTCCATGCTATGTAATGCTGTAATATCCTGGAAACTTCTGCTGATTTTCAAACAATTTGATTTTGTTTGTTTTTGAGGTGTGCAATCACAAACTCTGAAATAACACACAACACATCGGAGAGCTCCAGGGGCAGCCAATGAGGAGGGTGTGAGGCAGCAGGAGAACAGTGCAGTGCATTCAGAGTTGGTGGGAGCACTGGATTGGCTCTTTCACTGGGATTGCACAGCACCACTCTCCTCGCCTCTCCTACTATCCCTCCCAGTAAGCACAGTGATGCAGCTGATGGGAGGCCAGGTGCACTCCTTTTATGGGCCATACTCCAAACAACTAGCCATAAATTTAACATGCATACCATATATATGCTATAGCATATCTGCCATATATACTAGGGATGTAAATGTGTCCCAACTTTTGCCTTGTGTCTGTATTTATGCCTTGTTTTAAAAATTCTGCTGTTTCTGAGTTACTCTGGGTGATAGGACAAAGACTGGACCATGGCTTTAGAGATGGGGTGTGGGTGGGTGGGTGGGTGGGTGTGCACGCACGCCGGGGGGATGGGGGTCTGAACTAGACCCCACTTTGCCCATAAAAGGAGCTTCTCCTGGAACCCTGTTCTGACTGAGTCTTAGCATTGTGCTAAGACTCAGGAGATCCTGAGCTGAGGCTCCAATACTTTGGCCACCTCATGAGAAGAGAAGACTCCCTGGAAAAGACCCTGATGTTGGGAAAGATGGAGGGAACAAGAAGAGGGGGGTGGCAGAGGACGAGATGGTTGGACAGTGTTATTGAAGCTACTAACATGAGTCTGACCAAACTGCGGGAGGCAGTGGAAGACAGGAGTGCCTGGCGTGCTCTGGTCCATGGGGTCATGAAGAGTTGGACACGACTAAACGAATAAACAACAACAACAAGACTCAGGAGAAGGTGAAAGATTCCTGAATCACTCCAGTTCACCTTATTATTCATTTACCGCACAGAGCTGATCCATATCCTAAGTTTGCCATATGCCACCATCTATTTCAATTGTTTTGAGTCTATGCTATACATATTTTGATCTTGGATATCCCCCAGTCTTTCACTTGGGGATTTTTTCCTTGAAAGGAAAATGGGAATTAAAAAGAGATTTGCATTTATTTTGTGGGATTTTATTTGATATAAGGTTCACCTTCCCCCTAGATCAATTTTAAATAGCTGTGCCACTGAAAGTTTTAAATATAATTGTTTTTCCTGGATATCTGAGTTTGTACTGAAATAATGTAGTTCAGTTTTACATATACCGCAAAGTATTTGCCTGCAGTTCCTTATCTGTGAACTGCCTAGAAAATCACTGGCGTGTCCATTTCTTTGTTTGCAGGAGAACATAAGAATATCCTCAAGGTTTAAGATAAGATATAGAACAGGAAAAAAAAATAAACAGTGGTTCAACTGTTTAGCAATTTTATAAACAATATAACTTCTGGGCACTGCTTTCTGAACTGTGCTACAAAAACACATATGGTGAACTCTCATGAAAATTTTAGCTAAGTAACCTAATAGCTAAGTGAGATACTGAATTTCTGTGTCTTGGTCTTATGAGGTCCTACTATATGTACCTTGACCACTTCCTCTTGCACAATGGGGCTTCCTTCTTTCACCTTGTGCCCCAAACCCCACTAAAATTTGCTCTGGGGTTAGTTGGGGAACACCAGAAGAGCACATGAGGGAGGAGAGGGAGATCATTCAATTTGGCAAGCTGAATGTTAGTTTTAGCACCATGTTTAATTCCATACCTTGACTAATGTGGAGAGGGTCCCTTTTCTCTGCTTCAGGTAGCAAAATGTTCTCAGGCCCTGGCCACCATAAGAGATCTGGTTGGCAGGAATGTGGGAGAGGACTTTTCTGTGGCAGCACCCTAGTTATGGAATTCCCTCCCTAGAGATGTTACAATGACCTCATCTCTGTTGACCTTTCGTCAGGCAGTATAAACATGCCCATTCTACTTGGCTTTTACTGAGTTTTAATTTGACATTGAAGTTTTAAACTCTGCACTTCTTGGTTTAAATTGCTTTGTTCCAAATCTGCTGCTAGGCCCATTTCACTTGATTACCCATTTTGAGAGGAGACTCGCGCTTGTCCGTAGAGAAAGAAAGCCTTCACAGTAACACCATTCTCCCTTGTTCCTTGGCATGTGGTTCTCATGCGAGATGTATCTATTGGGAAGTGGCCACGGGGCCAGGCAACATGAAAGCCAATTGTCAATCTTTTCCCATTGAGTCCACAAAAACCTACACTTATTCTGTATAGATGTAGACTGCAAAACCAACATCTAAAATTCTCCCTTCCCTCAGGTAGCTTCTTCCTAAGTGGTCCTTTTTGTTTTCTATGTCCTATTTCACCAAGCTTCCCTGGCTACATTATTGTCCATGATTTGTCCTGAATCTTAATAAATAAATTGTATATACTTTGGTGAAGCCACACAGGGACAGTGGCTTCCATATCTCATTTGTCTCAGCCTGGTGACATCAAGTCTCACTGAAAGAAGAAAAGGCTTTTTGGAATTTCTTCTTCTGTTACTCATGCAAAACAGCAGGAGAGTGTGTCTTTGCATATTTCCAGATAGCTAATATTGTCCCTGTGGCTAATATTAGTATGGATTTTAGAATTAAAAGCCTGTGATGGTCAGCAGGACTTAGCAAAAATTGGATCCCTACAGTAAATCCATTGGGAGTTCTGAAGTATAATAGTCTATAACCAGGCACGAGTTATAATGAGAGTTATCTGTTTCTGACATTGTTTGCTGTTCCATTTGAGCTTTCATAGAGAGACTGGTGAAGGCAGAAGGGGCTGCAGCTGAGAGGAACATAAATGATTTAGCGCTTGGGGTGTGAGTTATGAAGACACACTTGGCCTGGAGGTTACAGTACATACTGCAGTTCAGAAAAACTGAGGAGAAGAGTGCAGCTCATAAAGGAATGAAATATAATGAAAAGAGGTGACAGATTGATACCTGTTGGTGCCACAAAATAACAATTGCTTCTCAGGCGGAAGGTGACACCATGAAATTGACAGGTGCATTAAAAGACAAATCAATACCTGCTATCCAAACAAAGTTCATAAGTCATAGACAAGAAGAAAACACTGACTCAGCAAAATGCTACCCATTTGAGCAAGAATAATAATCACATTTTAAAAAGATTGGACTAGTTGACCCTTTGGGTCCCTTCCAACTCAATCATCCTATGAGTTTGATCTACCTAACATTCCTCCACATTGAAAGCTAGCTTGTCCAGAAGAGGACTACATTAGAACATTTCAGTCTCATGAGCCTTTAAAAGGTAAAGGGACCCCTGACCGTTAGGTCCAGTCATGACCGACTCTGAGGTTGCGGCGCTCATCTCGCTTTATTGGCCGAGGGAGCCGGCGTACAGCTTCCGGGTCATGTGGCCAGCATGACTAAGCCACTTCTGGCGAACCAGAGCAGTGCACGGAAACACCGTTTACCTTCCCGCCGTACCTATTCCAGTGGTACCTATTTATCTACTTGCACTTTGACGTGCTTTCGAACTGCTAGGTTGGCAGGAGCAGGGACCGAGCAACGGGAGCTCACCCCGTCACAGGGATTCGAACCGCGACCTTCTGATCGGCAAGTCCTAGGCTCTGTGGTTTAACTCACAGCGCCACCTGCGTCCCTCATGCAGTCTAAAATGGTACAACGTAGAAGAGCAAAACTAAAGTATTAGAGAAAAACCTGGGTAATGATGAAAGAAAACTATTACAAGAAAAGACGGGCCTAGATTTTTTGAAAAAAGTTAAGTATCTTGGAGTGAACTTGTCTGGGAAAAATCTGAATTTATATAAACTATGAGAAATTATGGAATGAAATAAATAGAGATATGGTCAAATTTAAAACTGTCACTTATGGGCCGGATTTCAGTGGTTAAGATGAATGTATTGCCGAAGATGTTATTTCTGTTCCAAGCCCTCCCAATTATAGATAACGTGAAATGTTTTAAAGAATGGCAGAAAGTTCTATCTAGATTCATCTGGCAGGGGAAAAAGCCCAGAATTAAATATAAATTACTTACAGATTCTAAAGAAAGAGGGGGATTTTCCCTGCCAGATTTGAAAATATACTTTGAAGCAGCTGCACTCTGCTGGAATAAGGAATGGATACAATTAGAAGATACCGATGTTTTAGATTTGGAGGGATTTGACAATGTGTTCAGATGGCATGCATATCTATGGTATGACAAGGTAAAGATCCATAATGCTTTTAAAAACCATGTAATTAGAAAATCTTTGTATAATGTATGGATAAAATATATCTCTTGGAAAGGAAGACACCCAGATGGCTTTCGCCAATGCAAGTGTAGGCCCAGAAAAAGTTAAATATGGACACCAAGTGGTTGAGATATTCAGATTTGTTATTGGAGGATAAAGAAGGTTACAAATTAAAACCATTTGACCAAATTAAAGATAAGCTAAATTGGTTACATTATCACCAGATTAATGAATTGTACAAATTAGATAAGAAAAATGGTTTTGCTTCAGAAAAATCTAAGTTGGAAACGGAGTTGTTGGATTCCAAAGTTAAAAATCTGTCTAAAATGTATAATTTATTGTTGGAATGGCATACAAAGGATGAGCAAGTTAAATCAGTAATGATAGATTGGGGAAGAGAAGTGGGACATAATATAATGTTTGAAGATTGAAAAAGGTTGTGGAGGAAAGGGGTCAAGTTCACTGCATGTACAATGTTAAAGGAAAATATAATGAAAATGATGTATAGATGGAACTTGACCCCTGTAAAGTTAGCAAAGATTTATCACAACAGTGATAATCTATGCTGCAAATGTAAAGAAAAGGAGGGTACCTTTTACCATATCTGGTGGACTTGCCCCAAGGTGAAAGACTTCTGGGAAAAGATTTATAATGAACTGAAAAAAATGTTGAAATATACATTTACTAAGAAACCAGAGGCCTTTCTTCTTGGAATAATAGGTTTGGAAATGCCCAAGAAAGATGTTAAATTATTTTTGTATGCCACAACTGCAGCAAGAATTTTATTAGCGAAGAATTGGAAAACACAGGAAGTACCAACAGTGGAAGATTGGCAGATGAAGATGATGGATTTTTCAGAGCTGGCCGACCTGACTAGAAAAGTCTGTGACCAGAAGGAGGAGGAGTACCAGGAAGAATGGAAGAAATTACTTAGCTAAATATGTTAAAATAACTTAATTGGAAAAGCTTGCAAATAAATAGATAGGCTTAGGAGTTAAGTATGTAAGGATAAGATTTAAGATGTTTGAAGTCAAACTAGAAAGAATGAAAGATGTTAAGTGACCAAGTTAATTTTTTGAGAAAATCGATTTTGGAAAACTGTTAAAAATGAGATATAATGAAATTCAACCAAGGGGATTTGAGGAAGTCACTTAATAATGTTACCAAGACCTAAACAGGATGTATGTATGTATGTATGTATGTATGTTTGTGTGTTTTGAACTTGTGAAAATGCAGTGGTACCTCGGGTTAAGTATTTAATTCGTTCCGGAGGTCCGTTCTTAACCTGAAACTGTTCTTAACCTGAAGCACCACTTTAGCTAATGGGGCCTCCTGCTGCTGCCATGCCACCAAAGTACGATTTCTGTTCTTATCCTGAAGCAAAGTTCTTAACCTGAAGCACTATTTCTGGGTTAGTGGAGTGTGTAACCTGAAGCATATGTAACCTAAAGCGTATGTAACCCGAGGTACCACTGTAATTTTTTTTGAAAAAAATAAAATAAAATGGTACAACGTAGAAAAGAGTGAGAACTAGACTGAGTCCCAAGAGGGAAGTCATAAACTGGTGTGCCCCTGGATTAGGTCTGAGAACAGGACATGTTGGTAAGATTAGAAACAAGAAACGTAAGAAACAGGACCATTCAGGGCTGGTTCCATCCCTAGCCAGAGTAAGGCCACAAGCTCAGGAAGCAGATGCTCTAGGCAGAGGTGGCAGCCCCCTACCCTTTCCTCCTCAGACTACTTGCCCTTTCCCTACAGCCTGTTCTACAGCCCTAAGCTAGCCTCCTTCCCTCAAGTGAGGTGAGGATACAATCCCATTAGCAGTGTCAAAATAACATCCAACCGCTAGTTCATCTGGCTTCTGTATGTTGAATGGTAGGAGGAGATACACCATCTTGTCCTTTGCATTAGGCAACAAAATTTCTTGGGCCAATCCTGGGATCATCGGCCCATCAAGCTCGACGTTGTCTGCACTCAGTAGCACACAGTGGGGTAGGATGGCAGAGCTGACCTCAGCTCCTAGCAGCTGGGCCGCTGCTGCATACCAGGAAGGAGGTGGCAGGGAGGTTGGTGCGGTGTAAACACAGCAGCACCAGATTGGCTCTGCACTGCCCCGATCTCTCTGCCACCTTGCTTGTCCCCTTGTCCTTCCAAATAAGCAGCAGTGACTCAACTGACAGAAGAGCGAGTGAGCAGCACTGGCTTGCCACACCATCCAAAATTTTCTACACTGTCTCGCTACGACTCCCGGGGTTTCAGGAATGAGTCATCTCACACAGTGAGATAGTAAGCAACTCACTGGAGATGCAGGCGATGTGTGGAAGCGCTTTCTCAGCAGCTGAGTCTGGAATGTAGTGGAGTGGGCTGGACCTGTGGGCAATGAGCATGGTCCATACATGGAAGGACAGTGAGGAGATGTTTTCCTAGTCTAACAAAATTTGCTAAAGTCATGTTTCTATAACTGGCTTCCTTGATGTTTTGCATCCAATTAATTTGGCAGGGGAAACAATACACTTCAATCAAAGCTTCTAAAATTACTACACTGTGCTCAGAGGGAACCATTCTCAATTTACAAAAGGACTAACAAAAACCCTTGCAATTATCAGTTGGGGGCAGGGTTGACAATATGATGGCAGCAAATCTACTGATTGTATATGCAGCATAATCCTATTTTTCAGGGCAGAGGGGTTAATTGAAGAAACAATTAACTGTATTGCTGCCTGATTCAGAAAGTAAATGTATGCTTGTTCAAGGATTTTATTTTGACTTAGAAGGTGAAGCTCTGGGATTTCTCGATTTGAATGGTGTATGGATTGAGAAAAATCCCCCACCCTCGGGTTCTTGATTGCTTTTAAACAAAGCTTTTAATTAGACTTCTTGTTAAGGCACACAATCAGATAGCTCGTTGTTTTGAATTTGTTTACATAAACCTCTGGCACATTATTTATTTTCTACGGATCTTCACGAGTGAAAAGAGAGGAGTGTCTCTTACAGCAGAAAAGGGCTCATCTGACAGGCACTGCAGATTTTTCTTTTGTGTAGTCTCTCCCTCCCCATCCCACCTCAAGCCAAGAATCAGACATCTTTGCTGTAGACTGGATATAACAGTACAGTAAAATGCTACAAAATAACCTACACCTTCTCATCCACACATGGGGAAGGGCCTTAGCTCATTAGTAGAGCATCAGATTTGCATGCATAAGGTCCCTAGGGCTGGGCAAGGCTCCTGTCTGAAACCCTGAAGAGGTGCTGCCAGTCAGTGTAAGCAATACTAAGTTAGATAGTCTGACTCAGTATAACACTGAATTATCTGAAATTACTTAACAATAAAGGATACTCTCATGTCAGGGCAGGTTCAGAAAGGCAACTTATTTTCATGGTATGCGGGTAAACATCTATTCCGTTTATTACTACCTGGATGTACCAGATAGATTACCAATGACAAAGAGCCAACATCTCTGAATGGCTCAGTTGGTTAGAGCATGGTGCTGATAACACCAAGGTTGCAGGTCTGATCCCCGCAAGGGACAGCTGCATATTCCTGCATTGCAGGGGGTTGGACTAGATGATCCTCAGGGTCCCTTCCAACTCTATGGAGTTCAGAGCTCGGAGACCTGTGGCCTCCAAATGTTCCTGGACTACAGCTCCCATCACCCTGACCTTTGGCCATCCTGGCTGGGACTCCTGAGAGGTGGAGTCCAGCAATAGCTTGAGGTCCACAGTCTCCCCATCTCTGGTGAAGTAGAAGGGTCTTCACAGATAGCTGTAAGCACCACAACCCTTTCCACAAAAAGGCATGATTGGTGGCAAACCAGGAGTTTGTGCAGGCGGTGCTTCACTGTAATGTTTAGAAATACGCTCTGTGTTTTTTGAGTAGTTGTACAATACCAGAATCATACCATAGTAGTTCCCACACACCATAGCTCTGACATATGGAGATCTGGGCTGGTGAGAGGAAGAGTGGCAAGGGGTGGTTCTTGGTCTTGCCCCCTCTGCCATGTTCCCAGCAGTCAGACCCTGCAGCCACCCACATATTAGTGCTGAACTTCTGGTGCAATGAAAGAAAGAAATTCCTTTTGGGAGTGTAACTTTTAAGGAACCTATGCTGAAAATGTAACATTTTTGCTATCTTGCACTGAAACAACAGTGACAACACAACAGGCTTAATTTAAGGTCGATGTCACAATAACCCAGCCTTTCTAGTTACCATGAAAGATGAAGCTATAAATAAGTCTGGTATTATTTCAATGCATCCCTTGCAAAAACACCAAAAGCAACTGGTGGGTGGGGAAACGGCTCTAGAGGAGAATGAAAGATTACTTTTGTGACTTTCCGTCAACCCGCTATAAAGCTAGCCTGATGAATAGAGTCAGAAATAGAGAGGAACAACATTTCACTACCATCTACCCTTCTGCAATAAGCCAGCCTCACTGACATAGGTCAAAACCAAGGGTACTCGCCAAGATGCAAATGTAGATAAGATGTCGTTTACTACACAAGGATGGTGCCTATTGAAAAAACAACCATTACAACAACAACACCTGATAGACTGATAAGAAGCACTTTTAGCAGGAAACTCTGAGCATTGCAATGGTTGCAGACAGAAATCTCTGAGGTCTTTCAAAATGAACTAGTGAAGCAGCATTCTTGCTGTTGAGGCTGATGGCAAACTTATTTAATTTTTAGGCAGGTGTCACAGTTGAATTAAATGGTGCTCTGCATACAATATATTGGTTTAAAACAGCCACGCCTCAGAGTCAGACAATGAGGAGTATAGGTGCACTTCTTTAAAGTGGATGCAAACTAAACTGCTTCTATGGAGTCAGGTGAATCAAGCCACACAATACAAAATGCCAGATACGACTAACATGTGGACCAACATCCAAACAACAACAATAACAACAACAGGTGTAGGGACTTGGAAACTCACCCACAAATACATGCAATCATTGCTACTCAATGTCTCTTGTACCCCGTGCCATTTCCCACCAATATCCACTCTATATGACTTAAATCCTGACTAGGTTAGTTGAACTTGGGTCCCACAGACATTAATGGGACATGTTAATTATCACTTAAGTTCCAGGCTAAGCTAAGTTACACAAGCATTGTCCTGTATATTCATAAAACAATCCAGTGCTTTTCTGCCTATCTGCTTTTAGATACTCCTTCTACTGCACAGACTCATATTTGGTTAATTTTAAACAAGGAAGTGGGGTAGAAATAATAAAACAAAAATTAAATGATCAAACATTTCAGGATGGAGTTTTAGTTCAGGTCTTAGCATAGGTGGTGCATCAGCCCCATTTGCTGGGTCTTAAACAACAACAACAATCATTGCTCAGAGTGACCTAGACCATACCTTAAGCAACTTGTGCATTACAAGGGGAGATTATTGAGGGAAGCCGTAGTAGGCTACTTCTTTTCCAGAAAACTTGTCAGCCATGACTGATCTTCTCATTGAGGAACCTCTTGATAAAGTCAGGGAGATGAGCTAATAGTAAATAAGCATTATGCCATTCTGACATACAACATATATTTCAATGCTATGTAGAGGAAGCGTATTTATTTTTCAGTGGGGCCTCTTTTGGTTTCAGTGAGGGAACTGCATTTCTCATAGGGCTGTAAATTAACTGCAGCACTTCAACTGCTTCTAGAGTGTCAACATTTGCCATTAATACAGGCTTGCTGCAGTATTAATTCAGCAGGTGGCAGCATGCTGCATTTACTGAAATGCTATTTAGAGAAAACAGACATCGCACATGCATCCATACACTTAAAACAGCACTAAACTTAACACCATGTGGATGCCCATAAGGCAAAATATATTCCACAGGGTGGGAAAGCTAGTTTAATTTGCATGTCCCTGTTTAAGCATCTAAGTTCTGGTAAATTCTATTTGCAGTTCCTAACAAAATAACATTTTGAATCAAGAAGTGGTGATTAAGAGCTTTATTAGACCACAATGGAGTGGACGTTTAAGAAGGACTTCTACAAATTCTCTACAAATATGAAAGCCACTCAGATATTACAGTTATATTCCACAAAACTGTGGAAATCAGTTCTTGCTTCTTCTTCTTTAACAGAACAGAACATTGGTCCTCAGAGTTTCATGAAAGTCAGAAAATTGTTGTAGTCTTCAAGTCAAACACTCCAGTGATGAAGCTATATCCTCTTAAAACCTCAGCTATCTATGATGAGATGTTTCAATGACAGGGAGAGAAGACCTAAGGCTAAAACAGTGAATGGTGTTGTAGTCCAATGCCAAGAAGAGAACAAGGTTTTGTAATCAAATAGACTATTCCTTGGATTAAATTCTTCTTCTGACATTGGGCTGTATCCAGTCATGCCCTTCCACTGAAGGAAGACCTTTCAAACCAGTGAGTGGAGGTTTCCTAGAATGGAAGGGATGTTCATTTCAATGCAATTTTTGCTGATTCTTCTTCCTTCCATACCACCCTGTGCTACTGGCCTACAAAGAGGTGGTAGAAAAGCAAGACTGAAATCCTAAACATATTTATCTGGGAGTAAGGCCCACTGAACCCAGCAGAATTTACTTTTGAATAGGCATGCTTAGGACAGTGCTGTAAATTTAGTATTAGTAAATTTAGTATTGTAAAAGTGATATAATTGCCCCCCTTTCTCTTTCTTCTACTTGTCTCTTTAAAATTCTGTTAGCATCCAGGAAAAATATTCCTGTGATAAATGTAAACAACTCTGTTCCCTTCAGGCTATACCTCTGTTATTTTCTTGAAAGAGGATTTTATTTTTTATTTGCTGGAAGCCAGCAAACGGCACAGATTGACTGATAATGGGAAATTCTGGAATCCCAGCACTGATAATATTTGAATGTTTTGTGTTTAATAACTATAGGTTTAAAATTAGCATTCCAAACTAATTTTGCCTGTAAAATGGATGAAGCATTTAAGAATAAGCCTTGATCAATTTTAGAAACATATATGAGCTCTGTAATTTTTAGATTCATTTGGCTGAAATCCTATACCCAATTACCTGGGAGTAAGCCCCATTGGACCTAACAGGACTTACTTCAGAAGTGACACCTATAAGTTTGTACTGTTAATAAAGAATTCCCAAAATGCAATTCAGGAGCAGCAGGTTTGTGCTCACTATTTACCAGTGGGTTATCAGATTGTTTTCAATAGGGGTTGAGTACATAAGATTCCATTGGTGAAACTGTTTTGAAAAAAGTTTTGGAAAAATCACAGGAGGGGATTACAATTAGGAAACTGTTTGAGCACATTATACTTTCCCTAAGGTAGCATGTGAGAGACTTTGCTCCCCAAAGAGTCTACTTGCACCAATTTATATCTACCATGAGGTTTGCCTAAGGTCACCCAAGCAAGTTTTTGTAATAAGTCCATCACTTTTGCTATTCCTCTGCATAGGCTACATAGTTTTAAAAACCAATGGAAACTGTTAGCTTTTTCCAATAACTGGGAAGGCTTTTGAGGTGAATTGTTGCAGAACAATGTTTATCTTAGGACAAGCAGGTGGTTGATGGCATCTGGAGGAGAAAGCCATTTCTCACCTCCATAGAGCAGATCTCAGTGCCGATACTCCGCTGTTCCTAAAAATAAATTTCTCCCTTTGGGAGAAAAGAGGATATCAGTCAAGATCAGCTGCACAAATCCAAGATTTGAATTCCCTCCTCTCTTTTGGTTTCAGTGCAAAACTGCTCTGGAGATTTTGCTGTAAATGGAACTTAAGCTTCTTATCAAATAAAGCCAAATGCCAGCTTTAAGTAACTCCTAGGAGCTTGGTTAACTAGTTTTACAACCGGACCATGTTAAGGAGGAGAGGGTGGAGATGGGCAAAGGACCTGCCTCTTCTCAATGGAGTCTCACAAAAGTCACCACTGTATCCACACACCTTGCTCTGGGCTGATACCTGGGGCTCCATCTTGTATTGCTCAAGGAACCAGATTTGGCCAAGGAACTTCTAGCTGATGATCCCTGCTGTAGGATGTAATTGTTATTATGCTGCCTCTAATCAAACACCTTTTAACTTCATAACATAATGTGCCAATAATTCAGATCTCCTTGATTAAGCAAGGCATCAGATAAGAGGTCTTTAAACACTGCATTTATTAACTCCCTGGATATGTTGAGATTTAAAACTGCAGTTCTTATTGAACAGTATAACCATTTCAGGAAGAAGAGTTTTTGTAGCACTAAATCTTTATGATAAATACAGTACCTAACAGACCTAATAATTGCAGACTGTACTAATTACCTTAAGGAGCTACACTCCAATAATGTACTGAGTAGACAACAAGTCTTCCAGCTTTAGGCCTCTGCTCATTAAGTCAAATTAGTATGATGAATGGAGAAGGTTATTTGGTTACGTCCACAGTTGACAGAGCTTGTTTATCACAAAGGGGGGTAGAATTTAGCAGAAAAATAAAGAATAACTAAGAATTATGTTCCATTTTCAAGCAAAGCCAGCAAAACTATATACAAGGCATAATTTCACTTCCAGTTACAACTGGGATCTCCCAAGCTTCTTCCATCACAACAAATCATGAATTAGGATTTCTGCTTGTCTATAAGAAAATGCCCTTGAAAGGGTGCTTTGTAAGGTGCCCAGGTCTGAAGAGATTTAGAGTGAAGCTGAAACATATAGTCATTCTGTGTAAAGACACCCTTGATATTAAAAGCCTTTGACTGTCTCTCTGGTGATTTGGTAGTACTTGTGGAACAGTGTTCAGAGAAAGTACTTGGAACATGTTGAGAACTCTTGAAGCACTGATTTTATTTACCATCACCTTAATTAAGAACACAGACTGAAAACATGATTGAGGACATCTCAATGAAACAAAACCCTTCTTCTTCTTCTTCTTCTTCTTCTTCTTCTTCTTCTTCTTCTTCACTTGCCCTACACGTTCTTCTCTTTTCATATTCCCAGTCCTCCATTACACCTACAGTCTGCTTTCTACAAAGAATTAGACCCTCCAGGGATGGACAAGGTAGATATTATTTTCGCATAGCGGCCTGAATCTGAAGAGTTTTGGAGTGGAACTGAAATACAAGAATTCAGAAGAAAAGATGCTATTGTCCTGGCTCCCACCCAACACACACAGGTGGAAGGGCACTTACCTAGAAGCAAGCAGGATGTCTTTATTCAGGTAAGTTATGGTACAGGCTCAGCAGCTAAAACAGCACTCAGGAGAAACAATTAAGGAGTGAAGTGCAGAACTGGATGCAAGTGCCAAAGAGATCCCAATAAGTTTCCCTGCTCTTCCTGTCAAGGTTTTAAAGACAAAGTGTGATGTGCTCACTCATGAGACTCTCTTGCCTTGTAGGAATATTAATATTGCAAGCTCACAATCCATCGGGGCAGGTGGGCCTGCTCACATCTGTGAAGGAACGACATGGTTTTTGGCAAGAGGTTTGCGCTCTCCCGAGAGTTGAGAGTTGTTCGGAGACCCAAATTCCCTTCACAGAGCTACAATTCCCAAAGTGATTTAACATGTCGGGCTTCCCCACCCACGAGGCAAGTTGAGGTGACTGCCTCAGACAGCAGAATCAACAGGAACAGCATGTCCCAATGTAGATCTGTATGCCCCCCCTTGTTCTTGATGTAGATCTTCACTCACCCCTTCTTACCTGGTGGGGAGGGTGCCATTTTGTGGTTTGCCTTCGGTATCAAAATGTATTGGACTAGCCCTGTTAACAAGCAATCCACTCTTCCCAGAGAACTGTGGAAATTGAAGTTCTGTGAGGGGAACAGGGGCCAACTCTCAGCACAGTCCCCGGGTGTGCTCCCCCCCCCCACTCCTCTTCCTCTGCCAGTGGGTATCAGAACCAGAAGCTATGGGTTTTTCAAGTACTGATTTTAAATGGAGAAATAAGCAAGCCAATGTAATACTTTCAAGACTAGATTTACTCAGGTGCATCTGCTGTCATAGGTCAGATATGTGTGGGCCCTGTGGCATAGCCATTCTGGTTCTCTCACCAGTGCATTCACAAAGCCTTGTTCTTGTCATTACCTCAATCCTGCCAGGTGGCTATTGCCATGATCCTCCTCACTGACCAAATTATTCCCATATTTATGGAATGGAGCACAATATTACTATTGTGTTATCCCCATTCACTATGGCACTTACAGTCCAATCCTATAAATGTTCACTCACAGGCAAGGCATCATCCCTGATTGGTGGGCAAACGTAGGATGTCCATCATAACCCTTCCTGTATTGTCTGGTTATTTGTTTAATTATCTTCTCTCCCCTCAGGCCAAGTACACATCAGATACGGGTGCCATTCTGCCAGTTTAGCAACAGTACCTCTCCTGTCCTGGCATGATGTGAGCATAGGATTACTCCGTTGCACAGAAAGGTGCATAGCCTTTCCATATATCCACAGGCCTAACAGTTCACATTATTATGAGCACTGTTATAAGCTCATCTTTAAACAATGATTCCCCACCCCAGCGCAATGGGGAATTTGACTTCTAGCAAGAGGTTATCATCCCTTTACATCAAAAGAGAAAGGTAATTTATTCTTGTCAGTTGCCTTCAAGTAGCATGTCATTAAAATGATACCTTTATTGCACATATTCATTTACATGACATCTTAAGTCATATCCATCTGTCAGATGAAACAGATAAAAGAACTAGCTGTCCTTCAAAAGGGCCCTCTTTTTTTACTATTCATAAAGTTCTGTCAAAAATCTTTTTTATTATGAGGATGTCCAACCTATCAATGGAACGGCCACTCCCCAACCCCCAACAATTTCTTTTTTAACAGACTCTTGTCAAAAAATGAAAGCCTCATCTGAAGGGAAGGTCTGGACTAGGATTACCAGCCAAAGACGACCAGCATAGCAGCAGGCACAAGCACTCCCTTTAATGTACTCCCCAAGGGTGGCTTCAGGTAGAATTTATGTGTGCGATGCATTCCATAAGAGTCTGGAATCTCAGTAGCAAGCCATTTTATCTTCAGAAGCTAGAAATAAAAGCAGCATTCTTCTCAATGGCCAGAGAACTTGTTCATTTGTGAGATGCCTAACAAGTCTAAATAGGTTTAAACTGCAATTATAATCCTAACTATATGTGAACAAGCATAGTGCAGTTTTGTGTGTCCCAATAAGTGGGCTGTGGGCACTTTGTGTCATAGCGGCTGGTGTTGTGGGGTGAAGCCATGAACCCACTATCTCAATACTGGCATCACTACAGATTGGCTCCACTGGCGTGTTTATATGGCCTTGGCCTTGCCGCCATCCCACCCTGTGCATGTAGATAAGCACAATACATACATTTTTACACACACTTTCCCCAGCATATGCATTTTTCTGCAAGTGTTTTGGCTGGAAAACTGCAAAATTCACAGCGCTGGACATTTTGAAGGATAACCCTGTTTCAGTTCATATACTGATTTGGAAGATACAAATTAGGTGTGCATTAAGAAGTGTGACCTGAACTGCGTTTCTCCCTCATCCCTAGTCATCACACACAGCTCTGTCCTCTGGAGACTTGCCACAGCTCTCTATCACATACCATATGCACCTGAGGTGCCCACTCTGCTCAATTATAGAGTTGCCCCTGGAGAACCAGCTCTTGTGCCCATAGATATTTCCTTACAAGTTCTTAGAAGTGCCCCCAGCCCTCAATATTCCCATTAGTTCAGGAGATATGGGACTGGACCATCTGTTTCAAGAGATGGCTTCTGCTTGTGCCCTAGGAATTACTATTCTGGGCAAACGAGTAGTGCATTTGATTCAACATTTTGTCTGTCAAGCATTGCCTTAGAAAAGGTTGCCACAACTGAGCCTCCTCATTAGATGTCCTCTTATGTTACAGCAGCCTAAGAGGCCAACAAAGCATATTTTAAAACAAGACAGCCTCTTACAAGTCCTGCATGTGTCCTCCAGATATTGCAATGCCTGCAGTCATTCAGGAGAATGGTGGAAATTCCAGTAACCTAAGAGAATACACTATTACTGATATTATTTCCTGTAAGGGTTGATGATTCATTAGCTGCAAAAGTTCCTTAATCTCACAAATGGCTAAATAGCCTTAAGAACATGTCCCCATGCCAAGGATCAGCTTTATCAGGACAGCACAACTTCAACTTAATGCTTCATTTCTATCTTTACTGCAATCTTAAGCAGCTGCCAGCTTATTCTAGCCACCTTCTGTACAGTAAGAGCAGACTTCTATTTGGGCAAGAATTTATCAGCCAGGCAGAGAGCATTTGATTTACATTGCTCTAGAGGTAAGATGAGTATGGGTTGGAGGGAATGTTTGCCTCTATTAGTTTTCTTGCTTAGTATGATCAAGCAAAGTTGCAACCAACCTGCCTGCTTCCAGGCAGAAGCGAGGAGGATTCTGCTTTTTGAGAGAGGGGGAGCAAAGTGGGGGCATAGTCCAGCCCAAGTCAAGCACTTAAAAGTTCTATTAATTGGGAGAATTGAGCAGCCCCATTTCTCTACCTTTTAATGCAGAGTTGCTTGTCTAAACAATTTCTCCTACAAGCCAGTCAGCTCTGCTCAGTTTTCTGCTGTAAACTGGAACTGAATCCTATGTGCTAAGGTTTAGTCTGCTGCAAAATGTTATGCATACGTGTGTGTGTGTGTGTGTGTGTGTGTGTGTGTAAAACAGAATCCTAAGTATTGGGGTCAGCAAATATCACAAAGAGAATCAGAAAGGGGGCAAAGTGTGTTTATTCCAAATATGATGTTATGGTTGTTAAAAAAGAAAAGACTGGTAAGATGGGAAACTATGGGTGGCATCTTGGACTATTTACACCTTGTAATAACCTGTATAATGTCAAAAATAATTTAATTGACCTATGGAAACATTACATTGCTCACTTCGCAGTATGTTGATTGCAAATAATTGCAGTCTATCCTTTCCTTATTCTTTCCTTCTGTTTCCTGTGCTTTTCCATCCCCTTGTTTGTTTATATATGCCTTTATCTATTTCTGCCTTTTACTCAGATGTATTTATGTTCAGACTGAAACTGAATTAAAAAATTAGAGAAGAATAATGGGATGGATGTCAGCAACCCTGCCCCCTCTTCCCCTCCTGACAAAAATGTTGAACAATTTCCATGATACTTTGTTCAATATTGTTTTATTTTCTGGAGCTATGTACTTTCCTTTGTCTATACTAGAGAACACGTGTAGCCATATAGGTATTTCAACCAGTGGTTTTCAACCAGTGTGCCATGGCACCCTGGGATGCCTTGAATGATGATCAGGGGGGGCCATGGGCTACACAGGCCTCTGTCCCTCTTTCCTTCCCTCCCTCCTCTGATGCCCTCTCATGTTTCTGCCTTCCCAAGGCTTGCACAGCTGTTTATTGCAGCAGCCCTGGCTATAAGCTCTGCAGGTGAATGGTGCATCTGAGAAGCACCTCAGATACCAGCAGCAGCTGCCCAGAGGACTCCCCAGAGGAGAGAGGAGGCTGAGGGAACACTCCACAAGGGAGGGTGTTTGAAAAAGGGTGAGAGGCTGCCAGCTCTGCAGGAAAGGGGTGACATAACTGGGCTACTGAGCCCTACCGGGTTGCCACAGAAAGAATGTAGCTGGTCAAGGGAGCTGTGGATTCAAAAAGGTTGAAAACCTCCAATTTAAACCACTGTTGCCCATCAGCAGTACTACCCCCACTGCAGCAAACCTGCCTGCTCTAAGTATTCCTCATTCCATCTGTTCTTTACCCTATTGACATTGAAAAGGCAATTATGCAAGAGCAGTGAATGTATAGAGGTGGCTTCTTTAATCATGTTGAAGGATCCTAAGTGGGAAGAAAAACAATTGCTGTCCTTATGCAGTGCTGGATGGGCATTGAAAGTATTTGGTGTTGACGCCTTGAACATATTCAGAGATATTTTAAGGTGTGGTATAGATTTCTGTTGTTGTTTTTATAAAAAATGGACATTTTTGAATTACGTTGCTCAAAGTTAGTTTTGTCTCAATTTAAGCGGCTCCGCATAATCGTAACAAATCTTATTGGAAGGCCTATGTGTAGAAACACAAAAGGGATTGCATTTAAGTCATCTTTATAAATGTCTTGCCTAAGCAGTGTTTATTATGCACTCCAACTTTATACAATGCTGATAAAATGACTTATGGCAGCTTTAAATCTGGTCAGGTTGGGCCGCACTTTGCAAGCTGCTGGTACTGCAGAACACACGCTTGAAATTGTCTGGAATAGAGATATAAGTGGCACTTTTATGTACCATTGGCACAAGAAGGTGAAATATTTTTGCCTTACTAACCACAACAGGGAATGTTTATCTGAGGGCCAAATTAAAATAAACACTGAGCTAGATAGAACTCTGGTTTCCTCAGGTCACTAACACCCCTTTACAAGAGGCAGTTGCAATCTGCCTCAGAAGACTTGGGAAAAAGAAAAAAGGAGTGGGGTTTCAAACCTTTCCCCCTTTACTGGCTTTCTGCATAAAATTGCCCCCAGCTGTTTTTCCTCCATGGGAAAAAAAAGATACAAATACCTAGTTTTGTGTTGTTTAAAAAATGAGGGGGGGGGGGGAATGTGCACAGCTTTGACTGCATTTCAATATATATTCACAGGTAAGTTCCTCTGAATTCCCTGTGGAACATCCTCCCATCAGATGTCAATGAGATAAAGAACTACACAACTTTTAGAAGACATCTGAGGGCAGCCTTGTATTGGGAAGTTTTTAGTGTTTGACGTTTTATTATGTTCTTATTATGCGTTGGAAGCTGCCGAGATTGGCTGGGGCAACCCAGCTAGAAGGGCGGGATATAAATAATAAAATTATTATTACTATCATTATTAGGGGTTACTGCTGCATAGATAGGCAGCAAATATATTCATAAGAAACCACACATTGACCATTGTACAAACCACCAGCAGAAAAAAGAGGCAATGAAGATGTTACTGATTCCAGTTGGATTTGGTTTTGTAAGGGCCGCTTTGCTGTTGTTCCCAGTAGATGTAAGCAAATTTGTTGAATTTATTAAGCAGGGATGGACAGACCAGTCTATTTTTGCTCCATGTCAGTTTCACAAACTATTCATTCAGATGTCTGTTCTGTCCTGTCTTCCCATTAATTGGCAGCATTTTTGAAGGGAAAAAACCCTCAATATATGCATTTCTAAACATATTTTCCCCCTAAAATGCATTTCCCCCCCTCCACATCCATGATTGTTTTTGTGTTTGTCTCACAAAATTTGGGGAAGTGCTAAATAAGAGATAATGCAGTTCTGATCCATGTATTAGTCCTGGAGGTGCAGATTAAGTCAGTTCACGTAAAACGGACAACCAAGTGAAACTCTCCTCCATCCTTAATAAAAAGGAGCAACACTTGATAGGCATCACATCAATTTAACCTCATGTAAAACACTGGGTAGTCACTGAATATGTCTATTGCATAAGAAACAAACAGCTTCCACACTAATTTATTCAGCCCATTTATAGACCGCTTATAACCCACAGATCTCATAGCAGTTTACAATAAGGAAAATTCAGTCGCATAATCAAAATACAGTAATGCGCAATTTCAAATGAATGACATTTTTAAAAATCCAAACACATAAGGAATTTTCAAAGGTAACCATCAAAATGTTATATATTCCTAGAGTTAAAAAAGAAGTACTGTAATTTTTTACTCTTTCCTCATGTGGAAGACTGTGGACTCTTCCTGATGAGCTGTGCCTCATTCATTCACATTTTATGTGGGTCCAGACAGTTTTGCCACTACCCTTGTGTAATCAGCCTGTGTTTTGCCATTCCTAGCGATTATCCCACACTCTCCACTACTGTAGAAAATTCTAGTTTTAACAAAGTAATTGAACAGTACCAGAAAGTCCACAGATGTGGAATTTCTCATCACTATTCCCTATAAAAAAGTTCCTTCTGCCTGATTCTTTCTACCTGATTAATTACTTCCTCATTCCACCAATGCTAATCTGATTGGTCCCAAAATATAGAAGTGTGTGTTTGTGTGTTCAAGTCCTCTCGTTGCAAACACAGAAGGAATTTCCATTTCAGATCAGGCAAAAAACAAACAAAATCAATTTATTTATTTTAGCACAGAGAATGTACACCCAAAGGGAAAGTCACTCTGCATAAGCTTCTTTACTATCTCATGTTGGTAAGTGAGCACAACTTCTGGAAATGATTTAATAAAGAATTGCACTAGTGCGGTAACTTTGTTGCAATTCCAGATGCACCAAAAATGGAAAAGTAAAAATGAGACAGCATGAAGAGCCCTCTGCCTGAAGGGGTGCAATATATTACTTGGTGATGGTACCCCTGGCTTTACTGCTAAAGACAGAAAATGCCACTAATGTTATTTCTGACCCCTTTGCCCTCTGATCCAACCGTAGTACATGAAAACTGCCCACACTTCCTCTATTTTGAGTACCATTTAAATACAATTTGCTACAAAAATGTGTATCACGATTAGGAAGCTACTTGATGTCAAGTCAAACCAATGATACATCTAGCTCTGTGTTGTTTACATAGACAGGCAAGCACTGCTGAGATAGAAGCCTCTTCCAACCCTGTCCAGGGATACCAGGTATTAACATGAGGGCCTCTAGTATGCAAAGCGTGTGCTAGAGCACTGAACTACAACTCCTTCAGCCAGTTAAGCACGTTCAGGACACATCTATTTCAACAGGAGAGATTTAGATAGGTGCTTTGCTGCCTAATCCTAATGCAGTGCTAGGCATGCCTCATTGATTTCAATGGCCTAAAACATGCTTAGCTCGACAGTGTGTTGGGTTGTAACTCTCCCACTGAAAGCATATTAATGGAACTTCCAAAACAGCAATACATTTCTTAAAAGTGGCAATAATCTAAAACTACATGAGATGGGGCATTAGATGTACCAGTACTTTCAGAGAATCAATCTCTGGAGAACATGGGCTTTAATTGCTTAACTTGAGCTTTAATTTCTTTGCAAACCAGCAAATTTTTACAAAATGAGAATATTAAATCCTAATGGTGATCATTTTACTTGAACTGATAATTATAATTTCCTCCCCTTTGTAATCTGCTTAATTGGATTCCTAGTTAAGGAGCTGGGATATTGTGTGACTGTTATTGTAGAATAGGGTTTTCTTACCCCTGAATTTGCCACTGGTCATGCTGAACTGGCACGAATCCCATTATCTTTTCCATCTTGTGTAGTTTTTAAGCAATGATTGGAAGAAGAGCTTTTTTTCGTTAAATGGGCCATAATGATCCATAGCTCTGGGTCCATGTAACTTGGCTAATTGTAAAGGCTAATTGCCCATTAACCTTTACAATATAGCACTGGCATTCTGCCATTTTTATGTTTTTTTTTAGTAACTGGTCTCTCATAGTATACTAAAATGGAACTATACAGGAAAGGAGTCATCTACAAAGGCCTATTGTAGTGATTAGCATGTCAGAGTAACGCTGAATGGATCCAGATTCAAATCCCCCGCTCAGCCCAAAATGTATTCAAAATGACCCTGAAGTCTCTCTCTTGACTTCCTAGGTCATGCTGAAGCTGTTTCTGAGGCCATAGTTAATGCTTGTGTCACTCTACATTTTTTTCCTGGTTTCTTATCCATACAAAGGGTGGGGATAATTCTTGGGCAGCTGAAGAAACAGACCCTGCTGCAGAAATCATGATGGGTCTTTGATCTCCCTGGAACCCTCCACCTCCCCTGGCAGTAGCATCACTGCTGTGCTTTCTTTAGTATAGTAAATACCTCTTTAGTTTGTTCCTGATACTGCTAGTATTTTCATTTTTGCAATAGAATTCATTCCTCCCACTCAGGTACCCATAAAAATGTCATAACCTGCAAGAGCTGACATCAGTTGGCACTAACACATTCTTTTAAACATTGCACTGATGACACTACAGTGTTTTTCATGACAGCTTAGGCAATGAACATTTTTCAGCAGCTGTACACTGCCATGATTCAAATGTGAAATGAAAGTTGCACAATATGGTCTCCAGAAAGTAAAGTAACTCTTATCCAGTGTATGGTGTGTGCTCCACATTGCCCTCCCCTTAACCGATAGTCCTGTTTGGGAAGTCTTTTTACACAAAATCCTTGTAGTGCTGCTACAAGCTGGACCACAATGACTTCACCAATCATTGTTACATTGCCACCCGTTTCTGTAAGTCATTGCCTTTATTATTTATTCATTCATTTCTGAAGCACTCTTTAACCCAAGGGTTCCTAGGGAGGTATGCAATATTCAAGATAAAATACAACATATAAGCAAAAAGCATTAAATATCATAAAAACATTACCAATGACCACGTTTAAAAAAAGAAACCAATAGAACTCACCAGCAGCAGACCCACAGCTCTCAGCTTATCAGTCTCCAAAACCTGAAGAAAAGGGGACGTCTTCAGTTTGTTTATTTTTACTCATTTGCAAAAATTCGTGACCTAGTCATAGCCTTTCAAATTTTTCCCAATTCAGGAAAAATTCAGGAGTAATCAACATCAGGAGAAAAAAATTCTCATAAGACCCAAAAACTCATAACACTGTTGAATGACTAATCAGTTTACTCAAATGATCTGCTCGTATATTCTGTGCGGCATGTTTTGCTGGACAAATGGCAAATATCTCCATCACTCTCTTTGACACACTATAAACAAAACATTAAAGAGATTTGCTTACAGGAAAAAACTCATAAAAGAACACATGCTTGTGTGTGAATATCAAAATAAACGAGGACCTTTTCTGGATTCAAGCTATTCATATGAATCATTTTTGATGGATAACAACTCTTGGTTATAAATTCAATTCGGCTCTGTACTGAAGAAATATCAACTCTGCTTGATTATAGCGGCATGCACTTGTCCCCTTGCAACTACAATAACTAGTGGAAAGGGTGACATAGAATTCAAGAATTTATTACCAGCTTTGTATCCTAAATGGCTCTGTGGGCCAACTAAGAGCAGGGAGCTTACTGCTGATCTGAAATATAGATAACTGAAAAGTGTTTAGACTTGGTACACTTGCTCATGGATGAACCATAAAATGGATGGTGATAGGGGGGCAGGGATATTAAATCACTATGGATAAGACTCCCTAAAGTAGTAGATATCCTAGATGTATTTTTATAGTGCAAACTGAAGGATACCAGGCCTGATCCCTTTTCACCCCAATCAGCAGTATTTTTGGGAATCTTCTCACTGCAATAACCTTTGGAATGTTAAAAATATTCATGTCCAATGAATTTGCATAGGTAGATGAAAGGTTGCTGGTGCTGCAACATTTGTGATCATATGCTCTAAACTAAGATGCAGTAACTATGAGTTTCTCAGGACAAAATGATTCGATTCTGAACAGCTTTTTTCAAAAACAGGCATCACCGTTTGAAAACAGAAATAGACAACATGCATTGGTTGCATAATTTGCTTTTTAAAATGAAACATCTTTGGGCCAGTTTTCACAGTGACATTTTGCTCTCTGAATGGACAGTCCCAAAGATCCTGAGCAGAAGCACCATTTTCTCAAGGTAACTGAAGGGGCTAACACAACGTCCTGACATCACACGTGCGTGACATTACGAGTAGCCAGTCGCAGAGCAGAATGTCCTCTTAAACATTGAGGGGGCCAGCCACCTCAAAAAATACATTGGGTGGGTGGTAGAGGGTGAAACTGCCTCACCCTGCTTTAAAATTAGTACCAGCATAGAACTACCATCTTCCCAGCCCTCATTTCATGATCACACCTTAGCCCGTTCCCCACCCCCAATTCTGCTGATGGTCCAAAACTAGCCGGCTTCTCCCTTTTCATGTCTTAATATGACAGACCCACATCCTGTCTCCATGTCCTATCTAAAACTGCAACCTTGAGTCATGTCCTGTCAGGTACCCAATTTCCCACTTGCCTTTACCTTTTTACCTGAGCATTAGTGATGCTATAGATATCAGCTCTGTGATGCTGATCAGATATCAGTAATTTTGCTTATGCCCTCATCCCGGCAACTGATCCACAGTGTCTGCCTTTCAGAAAACTTTTCTATTTCTTCTCCTTCCCGTTCAGTTCAGTTCAGTTAAATCCATCAGCAATTCTATTTAAATGTAAAACTTTTCAAGCAACCTTATAGTAATAAGAAAACCTGAACCTTTCAGCTCATAATACTATTCAGAAGTAGTACATTTAAAAGCCTTACATTCTCCCTCGGTAACTGGCAGTGACTAACAGCTTGGGCAAAACACATCAGCTGAGCAGCTCCACCCTCGCCACTCTGCCGGCTGCTACCGGCAACAGGTCCCTTATGTCTGCAGTAGATTTGTATATAAGTCCTCTGGGCTCAGTTGTGGACATTGTTAATATTGGATCAAAACTGAGATAGCATTTGTCACATTCATGTATGATAACAGTCATTTTCTTACTTTTTGCATAATGCATTTTTCTGATGCATTATGTAAAAGGAAACCTCCTGGGTGCCTCTTCGCCTTTACCACTTGAAGCCTTGAGTCTGAGAAATTTCTGACCAAAAACAATTGGATAGTAAAACTGAGAACTGAAAGGGAGCTTCCAGATCTGATTATATTGGAGCTTAAATCCCTGACAGAATCTTATCAGCATCCAGGTCTGTCTCAGAGCTAATCACATACAATTAATACTTTCACTGTATATTTTTGGACACCGGGATAATTTGTGGAAATAGTCCTATGCTCGGAATTCATAACATGGAGTGCAGTCCTTAGCTATAATTTTCGAGTGTCTGTCTTCCTTCATGCTTTGACATACCACAACAGATATCCTGTTTTGACTTTGAAGGTGGCTTAAAATGTATTGCATGGATTCCATTTCAAATCTGAGAGTACTGTTGGAAAGATAGAGGAGAAGGGTAAATGTTATTAGGGACATATTAATGCATTGGTAACAGAGGCCTGGGCTTTGTGTTACAAGAAAAGCTTTGTTGCGGTTATGAGTGAGAAGATGCTCTCAAAAGACATTACAAACCGGCTCCTGAAAGGCTTGTGAAACAATACATAAAGCTGGCTGCTACCCTAAAGATAGAAAGCTATCAAAATTTAAGTGGATGATATAATTCCACTTTCCACCCTGCCTTGATTTAATTCCCCCTGTTTAGCCTGGGATGCTGGCTGCAAACTTAACTTTTGCAAAAATCACAATAAAAGATGGGCGAGCTCCTCCTTATTCCCTGTGGAGAGGTAAGCCTGCCTGTCAGTCATTGTGACATCTGCTGTGCTAATAGCAAGTACCTTCTCAGTTGATGCACTTGATAGTGAGCAGCCCAGGAAGAAGACAGCTACAGCAGGATGCTTGAAAAAGTGCAAGACACAAAATCCCTCAAGCTGGCAGCACTGTTGATATTCTGTGCTGGCAGACGCAGAGGTTGCGGTGAGATAACCTTCTGTCATCTCTGTGGTTCTCAGCAATGATTTTAATTCTCCCAGTGAATAAAGAACACTGAGAACTCAATGTATTATAGAAAGAGGGTACAAAATATTTAGGGATGAAACAAATGCTGGTGCACATTTTGCAAATCTAAATGAGCCAATAGTCAAATTCAGCTTCCTGAACTTATTTTATCCCAGAATGTATAACTTGATGCTCCACTTCAATATTATCTACATCTGTTAGATGTAGACCTCCAGAGGTCACACATTTTTTGATGCATAAATTTCTGATATATTAGTAACACCTATTAGGTCAGTTTCATTTGCACAATTTATCAACACACTCCCAACACCCTTATCTCTTGGTTACTAGGGAAAATATTGAATGAATTGGACCATGAAGGACTTTTCTGGTTACTTCTTTCCAAACGTAGCCATCAGAATTTATCTACAGATTTAAAAAATCCTAATTATCTAGTTTGTGTCCAAAGTCGATCTCAAGCATTAGGGAGTCTCCACTGTTGCATTTTTATTTCTGAATTTTGTTAAAAATTTGGTGCATTAACCATGTTCAGTTCCTGTGTGTCAACCATGTTCGGTTCCTTTGCTTCCTATACACCTTTCCCCCACTCTGCATTTATGATTTGCAGGTCCTAGGAGTGGGGGAAATATGACTCAGATTGCATTTAAAGGTGCATGTATTCAATTCATGTTTTTGGAAACATCCTTCAAAGCCATCCTTCAAAATTTGCACATTTTTGAATTTTGCAATGCAGCTCTCCAGCCAACTAGTGTAAAGTGCATATAAACACACATATTACTGAAAATAGCAGGCTAAAATGTACTATATTAGGGGAAATGCCAGTATTTCCTTTGCAACATTGGCAAAGGCTGAAAGACTTGCCTTTTAGCAAAATATCTTCTATCTAGCCAGTCTTGAACATCTTATAAAATACAATTTTCCAATCTGCATATTATTTTAAGACGTACTGTATCAAATGTCATAGCATATATACTTTGTGTATCAAAGTACCATAGATCTACACATTTTCCTTGCCCAGAAATCCAATTATCTAATATTTATAGGGGAGCTGAATTTTGCAGTGTCAACCAAACCTAAACATTTCTCTTTCCATCTATCACCTACCGTTTTCAATATCTTCCCCATCTTTAGCAGGTTGCAATGGGATTGTAAACTTTCCCTACTGAGATCCATAGGCCCTTTGAACTTCTGTGAATTATATGCCATGATGTATAGCAGCCAATTGTGTTAGGCAAAGTGTGGAATACACTTTGATGGGGAAGCCTCAAGATAATTTTGACCATTAGCACTCTTGTCCCATGCACAAGATAAAGCAATTCTCTACATGCAGGAGGTCCCAGGTGCAGTCTGTACCATTCACCAGGTAGGGGTGGGAAGGACTCCTCTCTGAAACCCTCAAAAGCCACTGCCAGACAGTGTTGACACAACCCTGTGGCCTCCAAATGATTCCGGATTGTTACGTCCACCAGCCACAGCCAGTATGGCAAATGGTCAAGAATGATCAATAGCATCTAGAAAGCACCAGGTTGGGAATATACTGAGATTAAAGATGGGCCAGTGGTTTGACCTGATATAAAACAGCTTCCCACGTGTCATAAATATAGGGGTTGCTCGTGCGTAAGTTGCCACCACTCCTGGCTAGGTTGCCTTGTTAAACCTTTTCTGTCTGGACAGCCCTTCACTTCGTGGCTGCCTCAGTCGCTAGCAGAATCCGTCAGTGGGTGTTTCTTAAACCTTTTCCAGCATAAAAGCTGTTTGACCCCAAGTCTCCTCCTACTCTCCCTGCGCGGAAGTCTTCTGCGCAGGGAGGGTGTGGATAGCGGAGGACCCGTGCTCTCCCCGCTGGTCTCCGGCGAGGAGTCCTGGAGCCCCCTCGCCGATTCCCCCATCTGCCCCCCTTTATCCCTGGTGTTACGCTGATTTCCTTCCCCAGCTGATGAGCTGCCTCTCTCCCTGCTGGGCCCCTCTCCAGCATCGCTTGAGAGCCTTGCCTCCGCCTCTGGCTCCGATGTCAGTTTCCTGACACCATGTTCCATACATTCAAGTCTATATAAATTCAGCAACATGGATCCCATGCAAAAACCTTTCACTCCCAGCTCTAATTCCACTTTCTAGTTTTGTGATCTAACTTTTGGTAGTCAACTGCAGGATTTTTTATCTCTCTGCATTATTCCAAATTCTCTTTCTCCGTGTGTGTGTGTGTGTGTGTGTGTGTGAGAGAGAGAGAGAGAGAGAGAGAGAGAATGAACATTACATTTTCTTCCTTTTTCTCCAGCCGTCCACAGCATGGCTGCCATCATATCACTCTGTCATCCCACCATCTAGCTCTGCTTCCCGAAGTGTTTCTGTGTCTGGATTTTACCCATAGCACAACTAAAATGGCATTTACTTGCCAGTCTTTGCACAGATGTATGCTACTTCTCAAGGATTACTGCATTTCTTGGCCCTGCAGTGTAAGGAGGTTTTTCTTTCTTTCTTTTTTAAAAAATCACCTGAGGACAATATTTCAAATCCCTTCCAACAGCTGCTGCACTAATTTCAATGGGCAAACAGCCTCCCTCTCAAAATGTGATGAGTCATCCTTCCTCCTAAGGAAGCCATCCGAGCGAGGCAGGGAAATGTCTGGAGCTGCACCAGCATGGAGATGCACCTTTCCCCCACAAAACATTTTTCTATACAAAACTGTGAAATCATCCCAGTGATGGAAATAACCATGCTACCTTTGACTCAAATGCAAAAACAGAAAAGAGTAAAGCATACAGTGCCTCGAATGCCTCGCAAGACGGAAAACCCGCTAGACGAAAGGGTTTTCCGTTTTTGAGTTGCTTCGCAAGATGAATTTCCCTATGGGCTTGCTTCACAAGATGAAAACGTCTTGCGAGTTTGTTTCCTTTTTCTTAAAACCGTTAATACCGTTAAAACCGTGCTTTGCAAGACGAAAAATTCGCAAGACGAAAAAGCTCACAGAACGAATTAATTTCATCTTGCGAGGCACCACTGTATTTCAAATGCAGCAGGACCTGCTTACAAACACATAGAAGTGGGATCAATAGTCAAGGGTTCTCCCCATTCTTTGATTACTGCATTTTATCTAGCACCTCAAGATATTTTTTAAAGATTCTGCTGGTCCTTAAAATTATTTCCTCTTCTCATATTTGCATTGCAAAATCTACAGCTCTTCCAGGAAAAATATGGGCATTCCAGTATTCACAATGCAGCATCAAAAGACATATATTACAGAATGAATAGTGTTTCAAATATAGAATTCACAGAGAATACCATTAAACTGGGATGTGTTTACTTTGTATAGTGCAATCTTATGCATGTCTACCTAGAAGTAAGTCCTGATGTTCAATTGAGCTTACTCCCCAAGTAATATGTCTGGTGCAAGTAGTAAATGATTGCCATCTATTCATATGTACACACTGACCAAGGAGTAAGCTCCACTGAACTCGGTGGAACTTCTGAGGAGACACGCAGCAGATGGCCTGTCTGTAGTCTCAGTTAGTATTCATGCTTGACAAGTTATGGAAAGCCAATTTGTATTATAAAGGAAGAAATTAGTTTTGCAAATGCACCTGCAATTCTCAGTGTAATGTTGCTGGGAGAAAATTGGATTATATCATTTTCTAGAAAACTCTGTAGAACTCCAGACATGGACACAAACAAACTGTCATAAAAGCAGTAGAAAGAAACTCCTTTCACGTCCTGAGAGCCACAATGATAGACCACAAGGGAGGAGACCTCGCCACCCCCATGCTCCTGCAACTTTCACAGGTGTGCCCGGCACACAGGCATTATTTAGGTGATGCCTTTCCTGGTGAAGGTATAGGTGGTGGAGAAGCTCCACCTGATACAGTTATGTTCTCATGCAACTTTTATATCCACAGGAATGAAGTCAGTGACACTAGCAAGATAGAAGGCAAATACAGAGGAAAGCCTCTAAATCAGGCATGAGGGTCATCTTCAGTTTTGGAGAACCTTCTGGTTAGCGGTGGGCAAGGCCAGGGGCAAAAGTGGGCCTTGCAACAAATACATATTTTTACAGTTGTATCAGCACACTAGCTTCTACACACACTCACACAACCCTCCCTGTTTTCCATCCAGACACACAAACAATGTTACTGGACTCAAGAACACATTCCAGACATGCAAAACGACCAATCCCAATCCCAGGTATCCCGCTTTAACCGTGCACCTAATTCGGATGTTTTTAATTTTGCTGCCAATGTTTGGATTTTGAAACTCTGTTCAACCCCCACACATGGGGCCCTGGGTGGATTAACTGCAATTAATATATCCTCACCTACCTATTAAAACGCACCCCACACTTTTCACCCTTAGTAGAAATTGTACACACTCCACTTTTCCCAGTCAGTGCAGTGCTTAACCAGGTTTGGGTCAAGGGAGGCATAGCGGCACTTTCTTATACTTCTTTTTATTTACAGATATACAAGTTGAGCATAGATGGGTGCAAAGCTTAAACCTTCCAAGAGGCAGCCAAAATCCACTGCTTCTACATCAGATCTCTAAGGAGATGCTTACATGACCCCCAGCTTGCTTCAGTGTGTCTCTCTCTGTCTCACTCAAACTGTAGCTGGTCTTCATCTAGACAATATGATCTTTAGCAGAGGAAATGCACTTTTCAGGTATTTTCTAGCCATTCCAAGACTAGCTGTTGAGATCAATAGGCCAAGAAAAGGGAAGGAGTTGGCAGCATTGCTAGAACTATTAAAGTGGTGTCCACAAACCCTCTTCTATTCATACCCCCAATCATACAACAATTTTGTAAAATAAAAGCCAGGAATATCTCCCCACACCCAATAAATATAATCCTTTCCAGTAACTGAAACGGGCTCTGTCTTATTCCCACTTGCGTTGGATTCACTGAGTCAACGTTTTGGACCTTCCCTGATTACAGCACCCCAGCAACATCATCTTATTTCAAAGAGCTGCTTTCCCTCCAGATTCCTAGCTACTTCTCACATGCAGCCAGAGATATATAATGAAGCAAATGGCCTTAATTGAAGCATAAGGGATCCGGGGGGGGGGGGAGAGAGGACACAGAGAAGAACTTGAGGCTGTAATCTTGATTTTCACAGAAGCAGCTAAATGAAATAAAATAAATAAATAAATGGAAATCATGCCATTTGTATCTTTGGGGCTGATATGAAGTGTGGAATTCTTGGCATACCACAGCCTCGTGATGGATGAAAACACAAACAAAATCAATGCCTTAGCTGTTAAAAGAACACATTTTCCCCCAGTAGTGAAAAGATTTGCTATGGGCTGGCAGCTGAATTCTCATTAGTAAATGCATCCCAGTTAATAGGAAGCTTTCTCTGTACGCAAGAGGTAATTATGAAGGCAAAAGTGTGGAAAAGCCCAACAGCCTTTCAGCCCTCCCTGTCAGGTTTCTTACTATTTGATTATTATTTTATTAAGTTCTATATCAAGACAGAAGAAATGGTCATAGAATCATAGAACTGTAGAGTTGGAAGGGACCACTAGGGTCATTTAAGCCAACCTCCTGCTTTGCAGGAATCTTTTGCCCAATGTGGGGCTCAGATCCATGACCCTGAGATTAAGAGTCTCATGCTCCATCAACTGAGCTTTCCCAGCAATGTCATTTTGCATCAGCCATCTCCTCTGAAGTGAATTCAAGTTTGAACTCATGGGCTGGATTTAGACTCTAGCACTCCTGCTTCTTCTTATTGGCAAACAGCTGACTGGCAGAATTCTGGCTTTATAAATAAGGCCTCAACAGGCCCATTTTTAATATACGGTACCTTGGAAATAGCAAGGAAATGAGAGGAACTCAGAGCTCTGATTTTTTAAAAAACCTAAACTGCTACAAGTTCTACATATTCAGAGTTGTATATCCTCTTTGAAGGATAAGACGTCATTTGTTTCATTTTCCTTTGGCACAGTGAAGTCAAAACAGACTGTGCATGTCAGTCAAGTTGCCCCCAAGGTTTTCTGTGTCTCGGTTGCCATGAGGTATCATCATATTGTGCCGATCCTGATGAAAGGTTTGTTGCTGGAAAAGTAATTTCCTATACAGAAGGCTTGAAACCACGCCTCTCACAGTTCCCTGCAATGCATCCCCCTTGAAGGGCATTTCAGTGACAACACAGATCGAGGCAAATTATTGAAATGGGAAATACCACTAGGAATCAATGTTTTCCTTTAGGGAAAAGTACATGAACCCCATCAGTTGAAGGAGAGGAACAGCAGCTGGGGCAACTACAGAGCAGGTGAACTTTTGCCATCTCCCTACTCTGTTTTTGCTGTTGCTTTCCATGTGGGGAAAGGAGAGCCTCTGGGCAATCCACACACCCCAAACACACATTGATGTGCAGCAGCTTAACTTGATGACCTCTGGGTGGGGAGACTTAAAACAAAACCAGGTTGACATGAATTATTTTTGGGATAGGGAGGAGTGGTGTTGGTGTTGGTTTTGTATTTTTATCTCCTGTTTAGTCAGGGAGAGCTTTGTTTTGTTTATGTGTGCTGCCAACATTTTCTATTACTGTTATGGGATGGCTGGTTCACCGCCCCCACACCCCACTGTGTTGTATGAAATATTAATGTTTTATATTATTTCCCCCTCCTTTGATATAATGTATTTATGTATATTTTTTCAGCATAAGTCATTTGGTTACCCTTTGTGTGAGAAGTGACTAAGAATATATATATTGTGTTATGAGATTGTGGGGGCAGGAAGTAGGCTGTATGCGAGACCCTTCTAACGCCTGGATCCAGCAAGTGTTAAAATATAAGCCATGCTAGCTTCCTGTGTTGAGGTTATTGCCTGAGCAATGAGCCATTAATGGAAGGGGGCTCTGTGTGAGAGGGCAAATGGGTGGAGGCACTCCCTCATAGATAGTTAGAAGAGCAAAGCTTGAGTTTAGAGTTGAACAGCAGTGATGTGACCTAGAAGTGAAGCAGCAACCTAGAGAGAGAGCGCCAGAGCAATAATTGAATTCTTTTTTAATCCAAGGCTGTGACTATGGGAGAAACAAAACCCTTTTGTGGTGTTGATGCTGTGAACCCCTCCATCGTAAGCGCAGGTTCTATATATGTGTAAAGAAACCCATATGTCCTAAAAATACCACAGTCTCCACTGTGCTTCATTCCTGAAGACAACACAAGCCCTGGGTCAGTGTCTGAAACCTCTAGAATCTCGCACCGCTCAGACATTGGGGTGGCATGCACCAATACTGTAGGCAAATGTCCTCCTTTAAGGAGTTTTCTTACCACTCCTATAGTTCAGCAGTGTACCACCCACGACCATTTCACTATTGAAAGTTCCCACTTTCAACATTTTCTTAGAGGAGACCATTTTAAAGTTGAGTATAGTAAAAGCTATGGTTTTCCCAGTGGTGATGTATGGAAGTGAGAGCTGGACCATAAAGAAGGCTGATCGCCGAAGAATTGATGCTTTTGATGGTGCTGGAGGAGACTCTTGAGAGTCCTATGGACTGCAAGAAGATCAAACCTCTCCATTCTTAAGGAAATCAGCCCTGAGTGCTCACTGGAAGGACAGATCCTGAAGCTGAGGCTCCAGTACTTTGGCCACCTCATAAGAAGAGAAGACTTCCTGGAAAGGAGCCTGATGTTGGGAAAGATTGAGGGCACAAGAAGAAGGGGACGACAGGGTGAGATGGTTGGACAGTGTTCTTGAAGCTACCAGCATTAGTTTGACCAAACTGCCGGAGGCAGTGGAAGACAGGAGTGCCTGGCGTGCTCTGGTCCATGGGGTCACGAAGAGTCAGACACGACTAAACGACTAAACAACAACAACAACAACAAAACATGGGTATGGAAAGGTTGCCCTGTTCCACCCAGCATAAAAGCGTAAGAAGAGGGCTGCTGGATCAGGCCCATCTAGTTCAGCATCCTGTTTTCACAGTGGCCAACCAGATGCCTGTGGCAAACCCACAAGTAGGAATCAAGCACAAGAGCATACTCTCCTCCTGTGATTTCCAGCAACAGGTATTCAATAGCACTTTGCCATTGAAACAAGCATTTCAGCTTCCTATATTTAGTGAATAATTTTCTAGCTGTTTTGAATACTGTGCTCTGTTTCTTTCCACAATGGCACTTCATTCTTTTGCTCACAGCCTGTAGTAGCCTTGACCCCAAGCCACCATGCATTCAGTCACAAGCACAGAAGCACACTTCAAAAACTTGTTGACCTGTAATGCCCCATTGCTGCATAGCATGGTATTGTCAAGAGGTGAAGTAGAACTGCAGGAAACAAGTGTCTTTCCCTACTGTAAAATGTGACACACACCCACACATGAATTTGATGTGATCCATGTCGCTGTTTTAAACCAAAACAATGTGAGTTACTTGTTACTCTTGCAATCTGCTTTGGTTACATTTATGGCAAGCTACTCCCACAACTAGAAATTATATGAGGAGCTTCACTTCATTTCAGCAGGACCTCAGCTCTTCCACCTGTGCCCTGTGACTTCAATTCCATTATGTGCTCTCTGATCCCAGAATAGCTGCCCACCGTTTTGCAACAGCTCAAAGTCTAGTGTGGGTCACTTAACAGAAAAACTAATGGAACTTTCTGCTACCAGCACTCCTGCCAAAAAGCTGAAAACAGAAAGCTGGAAGTAAAAAGGGCAGGCACAAGTACAAATAACAAATAAAATCCATCTTTGTGATCAGGATTCATTCTGCTTTTCCAATAACAGAACCTCAAGTGAACTTATTTAATAGTCTTAGGTATACAAAAAGCCTATGAAATGTAGATTTAGCTGGACCATTCTGGTTTTGGCTGTGAACCCTTATTTCCTGTGTGTGGTTTTAGACTGCCAAACCACATTCATTAATAGAGCTCGTGCTTCTGTTGTGTGACTCCATGAGATTGTAAATTTTTAAGGCTTTCCTACCATTCCAGCCAAGTATCTGACCTAAGCTGCATTGGTATTTTTGGAAATAATGACTGATGCTCTTCTATAAGGGACAGGTGGCCTGGCAACAGTGATCGGAAGCCATCCTGCAGCTCAATTCATACACTAAAAAGTAAAGAAGGTGATTGAGCTTGCTATGTTTGACAAAAATAGGGTTGCCAACTGCTCCTCAATTCTGTGCCAAATGCTTCACAGTCATTTGTGTGGGTGCTGGCTTATAAACGACATTGCTGTATTAATTAATAACTGTGAATCCTGCAGAGCAGGAAAAGGACAACAGTGCAACAACAAAAAAGCTGGTCCCTTTCTTCTTCGTTTTAAAGAGAGAGAGTACATTAAAAATAGAAGTTTCTTCTGGATGCCAGACCCCATAAGATTCCTTTCAATACGCCCACAGGAAACATTTGGAATAGTTCCCTGGGGATGTATCTCTATACAAATGTTACCTTCTGTTATCTACTCAACTTTCTGAAAGACATTCACTTAAGTTGACTCTAACTAGAATTCAAGAGTCACATAACAAAAATTGACTGCAAGAAGGATACAGCTCCAACTGAGCCATTTAAGAAATGTTTTCCTTCTTTCATTCAACAAAGGACAAGTAATAGAAGGTTCCAGAAGTGATGGAGATACACAGCAGTTATAAGCAGGGGTGAATCCCAAATCCTAAACTGAACTGGGATGCCTTGGATGTATGCTAGGCTTGTGAGATCTCTGTAAGGCGGCACAAGTCAAAGAGTCCCTTTCATGGTAGCATGGTAATCCAGACATCAAAATAATGCTGCAGACAAGCATTTGCTGAAAGAAAAAGCAATGTCTTTGATCCCACCATAGCACCAAGATGGACTGAGGAGGGAAGGGAGAGCAAACACCATGGTGGGCAAAGGGGGAAGAGGAAGAGCTCCATTGACATTGACAGGTCTAGCATGTAATCAGAGAAAATGATTGTACCAGTGCTCTCCTATCCCAGTGTTTTGCAGCTCTGCAAAAGCAAACCTGGCAAGGTATTGCTTTTGTAGGATATAGAGGCTGAATATGGTGAAGATAAAGTCAGAAGCATTGGGACAGATCTCTGTCTAATCACAGAGAAATAGTTGTGAATAACCACTGGCAGCCCCAGATACAGACACATCGCAAATTCCTTTGCATCTTACGAGACATAGCTATTCAAATGAGGCTTGGGTAAGTATGGAAAAGCAATTGGCAGTGTGCATCCAGATGTGCACCTACATCTGCAATTTGATACATGAAGTATAAGTTGCTTCCATTCACAAATCTCTTATCATAAATTATCTTAAACTGAGGTTACAGAGTTGTATCCAAAATTCATCAGTAATGTAATTCAGAGAGAAAGCCATTATCACATAAATCCAAAATACTGCTTTGAAATTATTGTAAGATGGCATCCCTAAACTGGTTAAATAGAACAATAAAGCAAAAGTAGAAACCCACGTATATGCAAAATGTAATTGTGGTCAAATAATAGTTTAACTATAGAATTATACACAAAGGCTGCAACCCTGTATGTGCTTACCTGAGAACAATCCCCATTAAACTCAGTGGGACATAGTTCTGACTACAGATACATAGGATTATTTCGACGGTGTACAGTCATTTATACACTTTGACAAAGCCCCAGACTTAGCATCGTTCAGGGGCATTGTGTATGTGGGCAGGGTGTGGCAGCTGCCATGAAAAAAATGGTGGGCTTTTTTTGCAGAAAGTTCTGGAAAGTTGCCTTCTTTTTCTATGAGTGGTGGCGAGAAGTAGGAAAAATCTCAGAAAATTTCTATTCTTAAAAAATTATTTTGAGATACTTTGGTTCAGCCCTGCCGGGTGCTTTATAAATCATTCTTATTCACAGTTATTTTCATTCAAAGTACGATGGTATCAATGAAAATTAAGGTCTACATGTTTACTAGCAATGGGGAGCAACCCAATGCTGTTTTGAAATGGAAGCTAGATTCCGGATTTTGACTTTCTTCATCCTGCTTCCAGTGAATCCCAAATGGTTAGTGTCTTTGTTTTATCAAGCAAAATATAATACATGTTTATTCTAATACCTGGTATATTACAATTCATTGTATGACAGTGCTGATTGTCGTGGAAGAAGGAAGATAGCCTGTGAAATCACAGAGCGTCAGATGATAATGTTTTAATACAGGACAGGTTTTTTTGTTTGTTTGTTACCCAGGTTCGAGGTTATCTTATGTACAGTGAAAATTGTTGTCATGAAAACTGAGCTCCTTTATCTAACTTTGCAGCCATTAGGAGAACATATTAGTCATATATCTCGCTTTCTCTGCTGCCTGTCACAAAAATACATCATCAGAGAATACTATTGTCAGATACTTTCTATGAATTATTGCAATGGCTTACTACCTTCAGGGTTATATATATTCAGTGGTTGTATGTTGTCCAGATGAATGGAAAACAAAATGGAAAAATAAGGACACTTCTTGCTGTTTCTGAAAACCGAAGCCAAGATTTAGAGGTCAGGGGTGTCCATCTACCCCAGAATTCTCTACACTTGGACTAGAATAGTTCTCTCATTTTCTGTTAATAAATTGAGTGTGGAAGCAAGGCAGCAGGCAATGACCGTAGAGAGGGCCCTGTACATGTGAATGGCACTTCTAGATCATGTGTAAATAGCTCTTTGTGCATACAATCATATATTCAGGAGCAATCTACATATTTTTTTACAAAAATATTTATAAATTTCAATATTACCACTGCCAAAATCACATTTGTGTTCAAATAAACATTCCCACTATTAATATCTTTCTCTTAATAAAAACATTCAGCGATTTGCCTTCTTCCCTTTCCCTGGTTCCTTTGATTTCCTCACCATTCCTGCATATTCTTATATATCCATTTAGATATCACTTTCTCCCCTTATTCCATTATTATATATTATAATAAACAGTCAAAACTTGGTTGTTGAACGTAATCTGCGCCAGAAGACTGTTCGACTTCCAAAACGTTTGACAACCAAGGATCAGCTCCCGATTGGTTGCAAGAACTTCTTGCACTCAAGTGGGTTCTGAAAAACATTCAACAACTGGAGCATTTACTTTGGGTTTTCGGCATTCGGGAACCAAAACATTTGCGAACCAATGTTTGACTGTACTGTTGAAGGTCAGTGGTTTGAATCCGCACAACGGGGCGTGCTCCCGTTGCTCTGTCCCAGCGCCTGCCAACCTAGCAGTTCGAAAGCACGCCTGTGCAAGTAGATAAATAGGTACCGCTGTGGCGGGGAAGGTAAACAGCATTTCCATGCGCTCTGGTTTCTGTCACAGTGTTCTGGTGTGCCAGAAGTGGTTTAGTCATGCTGGTCACATGACCCGGAAAGCTGTCTGTGGACAAATGCCAACTCCCTTGGCCTCAAAGCGAGATGAGCACCGCAACCCCATAGTCGCCTTTGACTGGACTTAACCATCCAGGGGTCCTTTACCTTACCCTAATGCTGCTAGCATTTTTGCTTGTAACAATCTACAGATTTTTAAAATAAATGCGCAAAGGTCACATTAGTGAGCCTGTGCATATTTATTGCCCCTGTGAAATAACACCTGAAAAGGGCTAATGCACCCTTGCCCAACCTTGATCCCTTGATATATATTTTTTTATCTACAACTCCTATCAACTCACATCATTGGCTGTGTTGGTTGGGGCTGCTGAACAGGAGACCCTCAATAAGAAGACCAATAACAACACTTTCCAGAGTGACTAAATTTGGCGATTAGCCCTTCAACACAGAATCTGATGTCTAACAGTCCAATCATCATCTCTTATACGAACTGCCAAAACATCAAAATAAAAAAACTCCAATAGACCGGTTGCTTTCTCCTGATCTTTTTGTACCTCTGAAAAGTGCAACTAATAATGGCTGCCTATTGGCACTTAAAGAAAGTTAGGCTCCATTTTCAAATTAAATTATTTCAAACTCAAATTCAAACACCATTTTCAAATCAATTTTCAAAGAAATTCAGCTCTACCATTTATTGCCTCAACTGGTATCTTCTGTCATAAAACTGTGACGATGTACACCGCATTAAAATTCTATTAGGCCAGCAAATACTGGGGGAAAAGAGTGGTAATGTTTCATGGAGGAAAGGCAAAAAGTTAATGTGTTCTTAAATATTATGCTGTTTTCTCTACATGCCCCTTTTACCAGTTATCTCAGGGGTCAGCAACCTTTTAAAGCCATGGGCTGGTCCACTGTCCCTCAGACCATGTGGTGGGCCAGACAATATTTTTTAAAAAATAAATGAACGAATTCCTATGCCCCACAAATAACCCAGAGATGCATTTTAAAGAAAAGCACACATTCTTCTCACGTAAAAACACGCTGATTCCCGGACCGTCCGTGGGCTGATTGAGAAGGTGATGGGGCCGCATCCAGCCCACGGGCCTTAGGTTGCCTACCCCTGGGTTATCTGTTCCATTGAGGTAGACAAGAATTTCAGTGAATTTATAGTGAATCTATTCTGAAATTTAATTCTGCCATTTTGTTGATCTCCCTGGAAAGTGAATGTGATGAAAGTCTCTTTCTATTTCTACTGAAATACATCTAAATTCCAGCTTTTCGGGATGATTCTGATTTGACTGCTATGGAGGCTTTGAGGGTGAGTTGCAACATTTCTCCGCCGCCTCCCATGGAAAGATTTTAAACCATAATCAGAACTATAAAGGGGGAGAAATTCTATTCAGTTTGCATTTAATATCAAATTTGCTCTTTATGAAACAACATGAGAACCAAAACACAGCCATCCTTTGAAATTTGCACTTAACTTTGTGAACCAACATTTACAAAAATGCATATACTCGTGAAAGTATGCAGAAAAATGAATATTTAGTTAAAATAACTTTTAAAATTGGATTATGTTCAGGAAACTATATCAATGAGTCAAAATTGTTGCAGATATATGGAGAACTGGACTGAAGACTGGAAAAATGAGAAATGGAAAAGAATGAAAAAAGAGAGATCCTTCCATCGATCCTCAAAACAGGCCCAAACAAAATGGTTTCCATATGAAGGCTGGCTTCATGGATCCCTGTGGCACTTGTCTCAGTGCAGCATTTGGGTGCAGCAGCTTAGCCAAAACAGAGTGGAGAGCTGTGAAGAAAAATCCCTTATCCACATGGCTTGAAAGCAGCCTCTGTTTTCAGCCATTTTACCTGCTTTCTGTTGCTTCTTGTTCTGTTTTTCCATGTCTGTAAAAATACCCAGAGAAAAAGAACAACTTTTGGTTTCCAAATGCAACCACCAAGCAGATAATATGACAGCCAGTTCCACAATATGAGCACAAAACCAAACTGTAGGCCTTATGAAAATTATGCTATGTAACTGTGTTACAGTGTTAGATGCAGGCAAAATGAGAATAAAATTTCCTTCTTTGCTTTCATATTTTTTAAGGCTGACAACAATAATCAGTTCTTAAAGGTCAAGCCATTCCTTCCCGAATTCAATTGTCACGATTCTTTTTTAGCTAGGCGAAAGTGCAACTGATCATATCAGGAAATAACACCTATGATAAATTGCTTTTTAACCTTCTGTTCCTTGTCAGCTGATCACAGAGCTCTTTCACAGGGGAGAGGCGATTGCAGGGGTGTGCTTATTTGCTTTCTTACAGGTAATGTTTACTTCTTACTCTGCCTCATGCAAATGAGTTGAACCAATTGATTATTTACGGATCATTTACACTTGCACCCTTCACCAAGCAGTCCCAGGGTAGATTACAAAAATGCCACCATGAAAACAAGTCCAAATGATGTCAAAATCATAACATGAACAGCAGTACAGTGGTACCTCGGGTTAAGAACTTAATTCGTTCTGGAGGTCTGTTCTTAACCAGAAACTGTTCTTAACCTGAGGTACCACTTTAGGTTAATGGGGCCTCCCGCTGCCGCCGTGCAATTTCTGTTCTCATCCTGAAGCAAAGTTCTTAACCTGAGGTACTATTTCTGGGTTAGCGGAATCTGTAACCTGAAGCCTCTGTAACCTGACGCGTCTGTAACCCGAGGTACCACTGTACTGAAGGAGGGAAAATACTGACTCAACCAAAAGGCCTGGGTAAAGGGATACATGTGCCCAGTGCCGTTTTTTCTGGGGGGATGCAGGGCTACACATACCCCTAAACATTTTGTGAATCTAAGTTTGGCCTCATTGAAGGGCAGTATTTCAATATGAGTAGGAAAATGAGAGTACCCCTAAACATTTTTTTATTATTATTTTAGGGGGAAAGCACTGCATGTGCCAGTGATATGAAAGTGAGTCTTTGCTGAAAGTGAGGAAGCAATAATCTGAGGATGGAGAAGACAGTAACAGAAGAAGAAGAAGAAGAAGGACGAGGAGGAGGAGGAGGAGGAGTTTGGATTTGATACCCCGCTTTATCACTACCCAAAGGAGTCTTAAAGTGGCTAACATTCTCCTTTCCCTTCCTCGTCCACAACAAACACTCTGTGAGGTGAGTGGGGCTGAGAGACTTCAGAGAAGTGTGACTAGCCCAAGGTCACCCAGCAGCTGCATGTGGAGGAGCGGAGATGCGAACCCGGTTCACCAGATTACGAGACTACCGCTCTTAACCACTACACCACACTGGCTCTCAATAGGGCAGAGCCACATTCATGACACCAGCGTCACTGCAGTTGACTTGGATTGACTTGTGATACAGAGGACAGTGGTGTGCTTGGGGTTGATCAGATGCACCAGCAGGGCTGCCAGAGTGGTCGGTGTGCACAGCCCTGCTCTCGCCTTCACCCTGCCCAGACCCAACCAGGTCAACTGCAGCAACGCTGGCGCCAAGAAGGCAGCTCCACCCAGCCACCTTGGCTGCTGTTGGTGGAAGGTGCTCCACACTCACTTTGGGTTTGGCCACAGAATTTGCTGATCAAAAATGAGCATTCTCTTAATTTATAGATAGATCTCTTTTTAAACAATAACAAAACTCTTGCCTCAATTGCTTCATGGAATTTGTAGGAATGGTGCATGCTTTTCACACTGGGGGGAAAAATTGTTTTCGGAATCTTGACCTGCCTCACGCTCCTGCTACAGGACAGACAAGGGCATTTGGAGCATTAGTTGCAGTCTAAAAATGATTCCCAAACAAAGTCAAAATATCACTGGCATAGCTACCTCAGGACAATATGTTTAGGAGCTATTTATGTAAGGCAGCCTTAATAACAATGGATAATTTACTGAATGGGGTCCAGCTAATCCAACCCACAGCATTGCCCATAATGTTTAAAGCCTTTAGGACTCCAGGAGGGAAGTATTTTCAGCAATATTTTCATTGGGTACAGTCCAGAGAATGTTAGGCACACTTAAACCCTATTGAAATGAGCAGGACTTAAGAGCTTAGCTGTACACTCAAACTCTGTTGAGTAAAACTTGGTTGAATAAAGCACAGTTGAAGCACTGCTTCAGTATGATTTAACCACTGCTGACTTTCTCTGTGGCTTGCGACACCTGCATAAAGCACAACTACATTTAAACTCCCTGAGTACCAACAACTGAAGGAGATCTGATATGAAAAACAACAAAAACAACAAACCCATTTGCATGACCTCAAGGACTCCTTTACAGTATCTTACCCCCATCTGAAATGGGGATGGAAAAGCTGTCAATTTTGGCTTTCAAGTGTTATGTTCAATTTCCCACATTACTGCATCAATTGGTGATCTCACTGCCCCCCCCAACAAGTCATCACGAAAATTCATCAGTATTTTAGTATGTTGTTGTTTAGTCGTGTCCGACTCTTCGTGACCCCATGGACCAGAGCACGCCAGGCACTCCTGTCTTCCACTGCCTCCCGCATTTTGGACAGACTCATGCTGGTAGCTTCGAGAACACTGTCCAACCATCTCGTCGTCTGTCGTCCCCTTCTCCTTGTGCCCTCTATCTTTCCCAACATCAGGGCCTTTTCCAGGGAGTCTTCTTTTCTCATGAGGTGGCCAAAGTATTGGAGTCTCAGCTTCAGGATCTGTCCTTCCAGTGAGCCCTCAGGGCTGATTTCCTTAAGAATGGATAGGTTTGATCTTCTTAACATTTTAGTATATACCTCTCCTAACTTGAAGATCTTGGTGTGCAATTTCCCCTAATGCACATACTTTTGCAAGCAACTTCCTCAAATTTAATGCATTATTTTTGCATTTTACCAATATATGCACTTTTATGAACACATTCCCCTAATATATGCAATTTTTGAGTTGGAGAACTGCTCTGCAAAATTTAGAGATGTGCAAATTTTGAAGGATAACTGCATTTTGCTTCATGTGGAGCAGAGTTTCCCAAACTTGTAGTCCAAAAACAGCTGAAGACCCAAGTCCCACCCTCCCTAGCTAGCAGGACCAGTGATCAGGGATGATCAGAATTGTAGTCCAAAAACATCTGGAGACCCAAGTTTTAGAAACCCTGCTGTAGAGTTTGGGGAAGCACCAGTTGTTATGTTTTTTTTTTTTAATTATTATTATTATTATTATTATTATTATTATTATTATCATTATCATTATTATTGAATTTATATAGTTAGGTAGGCCTGCATTAAAAAATGAACCAAACTGAATTTTTCCTAATCTGGAAGCTCCCTCGATGTTATAGTCTTGCCTTACAGATCTAAATAACAAAACGCCAAATTCTGCAATGATGGAGGAAGGTGAGGGATCGTGAAGAAATGTTCTCATCATTCTGGTGCTGGAGTAACAGACAAGTGGGATGAGAACAAGAACTTTATGAGAACTGGGACCAGGGGGGTTGCACAGGAGTTGTGCCTTACATTCAGCAGAAGAATGAAACTGGTAGATCAATGTTGATTTTTCCATCACCTTTGCTGTGTGGTGAGAGGAATGTAGCGGTGGCCTCAGGCACAACTGGAATGAGGAAGGTCATATAATTGTGGTCTTCGGTGGCAATTAGAATTTTCCTCTCTGTTGTGGTGGGGTGAACAGTGTATTGGATACTTAGTGATGATCTTGCCTACCTTTGCAAATAGTTGTGAATGGCAATCACTAGAACTAAGTATTATGGGGAAAGACATCTGCATTCCTTAGAAAGGTAGAAGAGTGGGGAACAGGAGGGTATATTGGTGTGTGTACCTATGTATAAAGAGTGCTATTTCACTCTGCAGCTTATTCATTTCTGGCTGGAAGCAAGCCATTTCTCAGACCTTAAAATAACTTCAGAAAATTTTCTGTGCTCTCTATACATTGATTTTCAATGGAACTATAATTGAAATTTATGAATGTGAGTGGAAATACAAAAGCCAAGACAAGCTCCATTTATTTTTCCCAAAGCAAGCCCAAAATAAATATGTGTGGAAATCCTATCTGTACCTTTCCCAGGATCAGATTTGATACTGGGGTTCTGGTTATGGGTGGGATTTCCTCATTAATGACTAAGGTACCAATATTTATTAAGGGTCCAAGCAAGCCAGCTCCAGAGCATTTGCCTGTGGAGTTCCCCACTTCCCAGAATAAATCTGTGACAATAAGGCCTGTCTAACATTCTTTTATAATTAATCTATGAATTATTAAAATAGGGTTGCCATATTTCATAAAGTAAAAACCAAGATACCACAAGTTGTTGGAAAACCACCACCACCCCCCAAATTGCCAAAAAAAACCCCACAATTTTTCGATGGACTTGCCTAAGATCCAGAACAAAGTGCCACATTTTCAGAAATCCGTCCTGGATATTTTAATACTAATGAAAATATTTAAATAATTACTATTTTGTGCTACCTTCTCTATTCTCTGTCCTACAAATTTTCAATAATCCCACAGTGGTCAAAAAAGTGCAGTCTGTTTTATTTTCTGGTATCAATTTGTAGTTTTACTTGTTGGGTGGTTGTTGTTGTTAGTGTCAAATTGTTTCTGTAATTACCTTTTAAAACCTGAGCATTCTCTCTGAACAAGACGATACTTTTTTAGCTCTAGAAAAATGTGCTCAACGCCCCCCCCCCATGGAGTTCTAAACAACCAGTAAATCAGTAGGCTGGCTATAAAGCAAAATCAATGTTCATTTTTATACTTTTCTCAGAACAACATGGATGCCTGTTGAAATACGTGTAAGCTGAAAGTCTAAGTTTTTAAATTTTTACAGACGTGTGCCTCCAGCCATTTGTGAAATCACTTCATTCCACTGGAGCAGAAATAGGCTTCCCCGTGCACTGGATAGGGAATAGCACATGCCAAAAAGATGCTGCTAGCAAATTAATGTGCATACCCCAGCAAAAAATGCCAGAGCACACAACTGGTCAGGAGGGTTCTGGGGGCAAGACTCAGTCCCTGCACCTTCTTCCCCACACATTAGCTGATGGGTCAGATCCCAGCTTTTTTAACTACCCAGTGGACATGTTGTCTTCCTCTACTGTACACATGCTGTTGTACTGGGGCCCTTTAGTAGGAAAGAAAGTTATACCAGATGTGGTTTCAAATACAGTGGTACCTCGGGTTACATACGCTTCAGGTTACAGACTCCGCTAACCCAGAAATAGTACCTCGGGTTAAGAACTTTGCTTCAGGATAAGAACAGAAATTGTGCTCCAGCGGCACGGCGGCAGCTGGAGGCTCCATTAGCTAAAGTGGTGCTTTAGGTTAAGAACAGTTTCAGGTTAAAAATGGACCTCCGGAACGAATTAAGTTCTTAACCCGAGGTACCACTGTACAAACAAGTGGTACTGGGGGACAGTCATGGGAAGGAGACTTCTCACTGAATGGTTGAAAACATCCTTAGTGATGAGCTGGTCCAATAGAACTGTTCAGAGGCACTGTTGAGATATTCCCCACACCATCTGCCATTCCATAGAACTGCTTTGTCAATAGAGCATATCAACCTGACTTTGTGAATGGGTTTCCTACAAGTTCTTAACAGGTATAACTCGGGTGAAAAGAATGCCATACTGCAGAATTCAGAATGGAGCCCAATGTTTCTTTGACATAGAGATCTGAACAAGTCATTTGGGAGCTGCATGTCGGAAAGGTGGGTGTAACATAATGATATTTGAGCTATTAAGGCTGCAGTTCAACACACATTTACTCGGGAGCAATTTCCATTGTAGCCTACAAGAAGCAGATATGCATAGGACTGGACTGTAATTGTGTTTAAGCAAATCAGCTGGAGACTTTTAGGAAAACTTAACCCTGAGATAGTATAGAAAGCTCATATTATCCTCCCTAAGCATTAACCAAAATGAGAGATTAGAGCACGTTTTGCAGTTTAGCAATCTTTTGTATTGCCTCCTTCACAGCTGAGGAGAAGGAAACTCCATATTTACGGAGTCTGAACTGCTAATTAAACGTGCTTTTAAAACGGAGAGCTCAGTTACTCATGGCCAGCACCATAATTTCCCCAGCAACTAGCTAATGTGTGATCTACAAGATTAAAGCCTGAAATGAAAGATCTATGAAACAGACCGCCAACGCTCTTCTTTGTTCCCAGCAGTGGATGTTAAATTATTAAACTAACAAGGCAAGCCTGCAGTGTTAAGCCCTAGTGAAGCCTGATTTATTTGTGACAGATTAATGTAACTATTCAAACAATAAATCAAAGATTAAACTCTGCTTTGTAATATTTAATTAAGTTCTGTGTCAATTAAACTGAAACATAGGTAACAGACAGCACAAGCATGTTTACTTGGAAGTAAGATCTAAGAGTTTCAATGGGATTTACTCCCAGGTAAAAGGGTATAAGATCACAGCCATGCAAAAGAATTATTTGTATGCATGTTGGGGTTAAGCTTTACTTTTTTTTTTAGAAAACCACTAACAATTACAGATGTTAGATAACATGAATTAGGCAACACAAAACTGGAGGAAAAATATAGAGTGATTAACCAATGGGACCCAGTGCTTAAAAGTGATTTTAGTGTAATATTTTCAGATGATTCCATATTTTACATTTTCTAGAAGGATGATGCATTTCCAAGAAAGACTGACACTGAAGTCCAACATGACATCTTCATCTTATACGTACTGGAAAATAATGATAGGATTCCAGCTCAATTTACTATGATTTGGGTGAGACTGCAAGAGATCCTGGAACATTTATTATAACCTTCAAATGTGTTCCATGTGACAATAATATCAGAGGGTTTCCCCATGTGTTTAAATAATGTGTGTACGTAAAGGAGGGGGGTAATGGAGCAGTGTGGACTAGCCTTGTCCCCCCACCCCACAGTTTTCATGTCTGCAGTCCACTCCTCCTCAAAACTATCCACACGCATTGCATGCATGAGAAGTGGCGTTACGTGTGTGAACATATGCGCATAGAGATGCTATGCAAGCGGGGAGAGATCCTGACCTCATCAGACTCAATCCTTGTACTGCGTAGTTACACATGAAGAGCCCTTTCTCACATCTACCAAAAGGCAGCATACCCTCCAACATCCTGCTGATGAAGGAAAGTAAATCTTCGCACATCAAAAGTGTTCTGGAGAAAGAGAATTAAAACATTTGGGGAAAATATATCCCCACCAAACTATCCTCAGCTGCTATAGCTAACTAAAAACAGGAGACTTCATCATAGCCTTAAAAAGATCTACTCTTTCTCCCACAAAATGTTACAAATGATAATTCTATTTGAGCATCCTGATTCTGTCACATGAGTAGTTTGCATAGGTATTCTTCATTTGAACACCTGATGGTATTAATTATACAACACAGCTTGGATATCAGTGCATCATCTCTGATCAAAATGCCCTCCGATGTAACATCTACAATCTTCAAAGCAAGTCAAGGACGTTGCACCATCTTGATGAGCAAACGACCTGAGAGCTTGTCATTTAGAAAATATTTATGACCCACAGATATGTTGTTTTCCTTCTCATTTTAGAATATTTCTACAGATCTGATATGCTGAAGAATTTGAAGCAGAATTCTCCAGACCCATTTCTTTTCCAAAGCAGAAGGCACCTTAGTGAGAGCAGATATATTTTTAAAGTGTCGAAACCAATCTCGTTTTTCATTCAAAGGGTCAATTCAACAGACAAAAGAGAATTTGGTTCCCATTAGATGCACCTTAACGGGGAACCTCCTGAATAATGGATTCACAAGGTTACTGGTAGATGTGGAAGGGCTGTCCCTCAGAAAAGCTGTCTGCTCACAAGGCTTCTCACTGAAGCCTAAGAAGCTTCAATAACAAGGGAAACCTAGCTTCTTTTCGAATCTTACCTAGGCTTTGCACAAGCAACAGCATTTCAGAGAAAGACAGTTCAGTTGTATGCATGGTCCCACTGGGGCTTGCGCCCAGGAAAGTGTGCATAGGACTGTAGCCTTGGAGGTGGTATTTTAGAGCTGCTATTACCTGCAGTGCACACAGTCATCCATAGAACCATAGCTTTGGAAGGGACCCCAAGGGCCATTCTAATCCAAGCCCCTGCAGTGCAGGAACCTCAGGTAAAGTATCCATGACAAATGGCCATCCAACCTCTGCTGAAAAACCTCCAAGGAAGGAGGTTTTCTACCATGATTTCTTAGCAAACTGGTTCTACAAATTTGGGGTGGGGGGAAGGAGACCTAGTTTAGCTGTAGAGCACATAGCCTGTTTTGTTTTCAAAAGGGTACCAGGTTTTAGTCCTTAGCATCTTCGGGCAGGGCTGGGAAACAAGCCTGTTTAATACTCAGAGAGCTGCCTCCAGCCTGTGTAGGCAGTACTGGGCTAGATAAATCAATTTCTGGAAGCTTTCATAAGAACATCCATCCCTAGCACTTCAAGCTGTAGCCTAGGAAAACTGGAACTTGCCTCAAGAAGCACGATCAGTCCTATTACAATACACACAGGTATTTTGCTATGTCTGTTGTAGTCTGAGCCCAATAGTCATGACATCTCACATCACAGAATCCAGACTAGTCTTTGAACCATATTTAAAGTTTTGCATATATATATTTGTTATAATGAAAGGATAGGTGATACACTAGACACAAGCACACATGCCCTGAAATCAAATAATGAAGGTTGGGGTACAAATAAGTGTTTTTAGAACTAAAATAATGAATGCTCAAGTAGTCCTTTAAAAAAGGGGGGCAGTAAGACCTTGAAAGGCTCCTCCTCTCTTGCATCTGAAGGGTGAAATTGATTAAACCAGAACCTGCTTGCAAGCCAATCTAATAAATTTCCCATCAGCCTCAGCCAGCACACTCTAGTCCAACAGTTACTGTCTGGGTGTCCACAGTTCACCACTCTTGGGTTACAGGAAGCAGCTGCAGACAGTGTGTGTGTGTGTGTGTGTGTGTGTGTGTGTGAGAGAGAGAGAGAGAGAGAGAGAGTGTGTCAAGGTTGTACTTCCCCCATCCTAGAATAAATCAAGATCAGCCATTGCCATTCAGAATAAAGGGATATATATATATATATATATATATATATATATAGGGGGCACTGTAAAGCTACAATATTCTACTTAGGCTAAACACCACTTTTAAAAAAATCACAAAGAAAATTCACAATCTTTACATAATTGTCATATAATACAACTTGGTTTGCTCTGAGGTAAATGAGAGAACAGGGTTGCAGTCTAAGGCTTCAGTTTTGTATGCATGTATGTTATATATGCTGCTGAAAGCATGGATACTTTTTTCTGAATAAATATTCATTGGTTTTCTCTATAAAGAATTTCTACTTCATGTGCTATGTCTGAAGAGAGCTGTGCATTGCCAAATTGCCCCTGAATTTTGTCTAAAGTGAAATCTGAGACAAATCTGAACCATCCCGCTCAGGAATTTTGGGGGAAGTGAAAAATATTTTCCCCCCACATTAACGAAATTGAAGAGGTGGGGTGGGGAGTTCCCATCTCTAACTGGGAGTGGGCAGTACTGAATGCTGAGGAAACCCCTTTATATAGCATTGAGAAGCTCACCATGTGGTGGTGCCACAGACAATGCAGGCCATTTTGCCACACTAGCTACCTGGAAACACCCTCAGCAAGCATCCTCTTGGCAGCATGCATGAAGTTTTCTCTTACCTTTCAAACTTTTTGATGGGCATGGAGAGTTAACCACTCAGCCAGGCTCCTAGCTCCTCGAGCCAGCTGTTTCCATCAGAAATTTGCAGTTTGGGAGCCCAGATTCTGCTGCAAAACATCTTCACAGACACACCTCTTCTATCAGTTGCTTCCAAAATCCATGGAAACATGGATTACTACTTGCTCTGTTCGTATATTGCAGCAAGGAGAGGAGGGGAAAGCAAACGTTTGTGTGAGCTTTTGCATTGCCAGGCTGAGCTGAGTGATGCTCTTACGCTCGTCAGTAGCTGTCCGTAGCTAGGGAAACCCCATGGTTTCCTAGCTATAATTCTAAGCTTTCAACCTGTTGCTAGGGAAACCCTGGTATTTCCTAAGCGAAGCGCTGCCTCATTGGTGCCTGGACTCCTTCGGTTCCAATCTGTCTGTGAAATCAACGTAGTGGTGTGACAGAAAGTCTTCCTATGGCTGCAGCAGGATTGAAACCGAGCATGAGACAAGCCGATTCTGTGATGCTATTCTAGGGAGAGGGTCTTAGCAGCAGCCATCTTTGGGGTGCCAAGTTTACCCCATATAGCAACCCCAAGAAGCAAAACAGTGGATGCCTGAAGCATAAAGGACAAAGATGAGCCTTGCTGAAAGCTTTCCCCTCAGAAACAGCCCCAGGTAAGAAATGAGAAAATGGTTGGGGAAGGAGGGGGAGGCTAGTTTCTGCACGGAGACAAAGATTCCTGCTTCAGATCTTGCAGTAGAGTTTTTCTAAATGCAGTAGCTGCGTGAGTTTGTATGTTTTATTTATTTATTACATTCCTCTCCCCACCCCAGGAGTTCAGAGTGGCAGACACTGTTCTCCCCACCCCCCATCCTCCAAATTTTCTCTCACAACAATCTTGTAAACTACATGAAACTGAGAGAGAGAGAAAGAGTAGCCCACTAGGTTTTAAAGCTGAGTGTGGATTGGAACCCAGGTCTTCCTGGCCCTACTCTGACACTAACCACCATGCTAGCTCTCATTAAAATCTGAAACTTTAAAACAAGCAACAAAACCATGTCCAAATGGCACATACAAACTGCACAATCAGAAGAAAAACAGCAGCAGCAGCAGGGAATCAGCTGCAAGAAGAAAAAACCTCAGGACCAAACCACATGTTACATTCAAAAGAAATTTCCTCTTAAGTGTAGAATTTTCCTTTCGCAAAGATCAGGATCCTAATACTGAGCAGGAAGAAGCGGCAATTAATCTTTGCTCTGCTTTGGACTCAATCAAGAATGGGCTTGATCTCAGATAATGGGAGGGAGGTGGTGGCAGGGCACAGTGGGGGAAGAGATATCTCTCTTATACCCGCCAACATTTCTCTGATGAAAATAGGGACGTCCCATTCCATAATGATAACTTTACTATTTCTACCCCACACATCTTACTGGGTTGCCCCACCCACTCTGAGCAGCTTCCAACGTATCTAGAAACATAATAAAACATTTTTAAAAAACCTTCCCTATACAGGATTGCCTTAAGACGGCTCAGGGGTCAGATAACCCCATACCCTCCAACATTTCTCCTATGAAAATAGGGACTTCCTAAGAAAAAGTAAAACACTCCAGGATCAAATCAGAAACTGGGGTGGCTTCTCTAAACCAGGGAGGTCCCTAGAAAGTAGGCACACTTGGCAGGTCTGATTATCTGTTCAATCCTAGTCCAGATTGGAAGGAAAATCCTTCATTAAAGGCAAGCCATGTGATTAACCCAACACATAGTTTGGCCCACTGTTTGATTTAGGGAAAATAAAAAGTTATTTGGCATCAAAGATATCTTCTTCTTCTTTGGCGATCCCTCGTAACCGAGTAAGATTGTCTTCCATAAACACGGTTTTAACAATGAGTCCGTAAGTGACCGTGGAAGCCAATTCTGGATCCACACGTCCTTCCACAGTTGGGACATTGGTTTCCGGGCGGGAGTTGATCACGGTGTGGATTTGCCATGCATGCCTTCCTCCTAGCACGTTTCTCCCTTGCGTCCTGAGTTCGAGTGTCTTCAATGCCCATGACGCCTTTGGTAAAGGCTGTTCTTTAACTGGAGTGCTCACAGGCCAGTGTTTCCCAGTTGTCAGTGTTTATACTACATTTTTAAATATATGCCTTGAGACAGTCTTTAAACCTCTTTTGTTGACCACCAGCATTACGCTTTCCATTTTTAAGTTTGGAATAGAGTAGTTGCTTTGGGAGACGATCATCAGGCATCCGCACAACATGACCAGTCCAACAAAGTTGATGTTGAAGAATCATTGCTTCAACACTGGTGATCTTTGCTTCTTCCAGTACACTGATATTAGTTCGCCTGTCTTCCCAAGAGATGTGTAAAATTTTTCGGAGACACTGTTGATGGAATCTTTCGAGGAGCTGGAGATGGCATTTATAAGTGGTCCATGTTTCACAAGCATATAGTAAAGTTGGTAGTACAATAACTTTGTAAACAAGCATTTTGGTTTCTCTGCGAATGTCCCGGTCCTCAAACACTCTACACTTCAATCTAGGCGATGCTGGATTTCGGCATCAATGTTGGGCTTTGTGGAAAGATAACTGCCTAGGCAAGAGAAATGATCGACATTTTCCAACGTTACACCACTGAGTTGGATTTGTGGCGCTGCAGAGGGGTTATTTTGTATTTGTTGGTGCAGCACTTTGGTTTTTTGGATGTTGAGTGATAGGCCAAGCTTTTCATAAGCTTCTGCAAAGATATTTAGGATGGTTTGGAGGTCAACCTCTGAGCGTACACCACTACGTTGTCATCAGCATACTGAAGCTCTATGACGGAAGATATATATGAGGCCCTCTCTGCAATTGTCACCCACCTAACATCAGAAACACAAAGATCTTAATGCACAGGAAAGTAGACATGAGAAAAGACAACTTTTAGATATCCAGGAGGGCCTGAGCTGCCACAAACTTTAATGATAAGCATTAGCACCCTGAACTGATTTGGGAAGCACCTCATCAGGTTCTGTTTCAGAACAGAACCATGGTTTTGAGCTTTCATTATTTACCGGTAATGAAGTTTGTAATAACCATGATTGGTCAATATTTTTGGTACCTGTGTTTTTACTTTTTAATGGGATGCAGGGAGGTTTGGAGAGGGGTGGGTGGTTGATTGACAAGCATGGAAATAAAGCACTGTTGTTATAAACCTAATGCAACTAACTGTGCAATCCTATATGTGCCAGCTCAGTAACAGCAGAGTCCTATGCATGCCTGCTCAAAAGTAAGTCCTAGGTATGTGTGAATAAGATTGCAGCCTAAAAAGCTGAATCCCTATCATGCACCAGAACAGCAATAAGGTAGGTGTTTTGTGAGCCTCTCTAAGGAAAGTGTTCCACAGTTACCAGTCAGTGGGAATCCCATATAGAGAGAGTGCTGTTGCACTCAGTTCCTGCTTGAGGGCTTCACACAGGTTGGACACTTGTAAATACAGACTGCTGGACAAGATGGGCCTTATGCTCTTTGCTGGGGTGTCACCACCAAGAAGGCCCTATCTTCTGTAACTACCCATCTCATTTCATTTGGTGAGGGTACTGGTAGGAAGCCCTCTACAGAATTTCTTGATGTATAGACAGGAAAATATCAAAAGGTACTTAGTCCTAAATCACAAAGGGCTTTAAAGGAAAATGAGCACATTGAATTAGATTCAAAACCGGACTGGGAGTCTGGTCAGCATAATATTGTCATAGTCCCAGAAAAAAATCCTTTTTAAAAGGCTCTGATGGATCACAGACTTTCAGTGGTATCACTGGTCATTTAGTTAAAGCCTTGATGAAGCAGTTCCCCCTATTATTATTATTACTTTATTGGGTTTTATTGTAATTATTACGATACCTGCCCCTTCCTCCAACACAAATGTAAAAACTGTCTACACACCCCAGCTCTGCTACCCCACCTCCCTCACTCAGATGGCCACAAAGACCATCTACCATCCTAGCTGCTTAGGGCAAGGTAGTTAAATGGGAATCATGTTCCCTGGTTTGTTTGTGGGGTTTCCCCCAACCTTGTAGGGACTACAGATAAACAGTTGTCTGAAGGATTCCATTACATTTCAGATTTAGTTGCGTGAATTATTCGCACCCACCCACCCAAATTTGTTGCCCATTGTTTTTCCACAATAAACAACACCCTCCAATCAGATATTAAACAGATAAATAACCATGTGATTTTTAAAAGACTTCTGAAAGCAGCCCTGTACAGTATAGGGAAGTTTTAAATGATCTGTGATTTATTGTGTTTTTAATATTTTGTTGGGAGCCGCCCAAAGTGGCGGCGTGTAAATAATAAAATCATCATCATCATCATCATCATTATAAATCATCATAAATAAGAAAATTGTTGTTGTTCAACCTCTCCCATTTTTAACCAGGGCAGGTGACATCACAGCTCTTAGTTATTCTCTCTGCCGACATTCCTTGGGATGTCTCGCATGGGATGTCTCTATTTTCACCATTCTTGAAAATAGAGCCCTATTCTCAAAAGCAGGAGATGGAAGAGGGAAGGTTGTGTCTGGATAGTGGCTCTTCAGACTGAAGATGGAGAGTCAGGTGACTGAGTAGTCTTCCATATTAAAAAATAGTAAGAATCCTGAACATACAAAATGATAGGTCAGTGAACAGCATTGTAGCTTAGCCGTTTCACCAGTGTGTTAGTTTTCTGTGGGATGGGTTCTGGCTCTTACTCTCCCCACCCCCCATTCCTTCATGTAAGATGCCATCTGCCATGCAAAGTGGTACAATCCAGACCCAGCTTTATTAACTCATCTGCTCATTGTGAAAGCTAGGCCATAGCTAGGAGTACCCAATCCATGTATTGCCATCTACCCTGGCTATAAAATCTCAATGAAATAAAACCTCTAGTAGACATTGGAAATATGTTGCTTTAACCATTCTGAATGTTAAACCTCATAAATTTAATACACCTGCAGAGTTATTGTGGGAATAAAACTGAATAACTCTTTGTACATTGTCTGAAGAGATAAAAGGAGAAATTGGGAAGGTCCTTAGGAAAGCATTTCTGGGGGAACACTGTATGTGGAGTAGGTGTTGTCTTCTCCTGTTGGGTTCCTTCCAGCAACGCGACATGGATCTCTGCAGTCTTCCCTTTTCCAATAAAAAAATTGTAGCTTATGGAGGGGGCTGTTAGATGGGTTCAGTAGAGGCTGTATGTAGAAATTTATGTAGAATATTGTGGCTTTATCTCAAAAGTTCTGAACAAATGGACTTTGAAACAGCAAAGCACTACGATGATGACAACATTGATCCAGTTCAGGACCCTATTTGGCACCTCAGATCACATTCAATCCAAGTAGACCTGGGCCTGACTTTGAAACTAACTGGGGGCCTTCCATGTTCCTAAGATTAAATAGGTGTTTAAACCCTAGTTAAACATGTGATTGGTTAGTGAGGGGGGAAGGAGAAGTGAGAGTCTCTGCCTGCATTGCCTTCTCCCTCTCTTTGCTGTCAACTCCATGTTGAAATAGGGATTCAAGTCCTGATTAAAGCTGACCACCACTGACCCACACTTTGATATACCCGTATCACTCTGGAAATCAACGGCTGCTTCAACCTGTTCCAGGCAAATTCTGGATTGACTTGGATCAGCCCAATTCAGTTCAGGATCCAGGATTTGTCCAGAGCTGGTGCACAGCTGTGTTATTTACCAACCCACAAATGCAGTTTATTCTGCATTTGAAAATTATCGAATTTCAGTGAAATTCTCATTCACAGGGTGCAGGATTTTTGCGGTGCTTACCTTAATGGTTAAAGGCTTTCAGTCTTTTCTCTCATTGTGCAAATCATCCCCCTGGTGATTTGCTCTCTGCAGCCTACCCAGGTGCAACCTCTGTGATATCCTAGGCTGGACCTTCATGTAAGCACAAAATACTAGGGAGGCTGCCTGCTTTGTGCCTGACCACTGTTTGTTGTTGAGGAGTTTGAGATGAAGCATTTCCATTAAAAGCATTTTAACTTTTGAAGAAATAAATTCAGAAAGATTTTTTAAAAAAAGAAATAGGAAGCATTTCCATTAAAAGCAAAACCAGGACCAAGCCTCCCCAGATTCCCACACATCCATTAAATCCTGCAAGTAGATTTCATGGGGCTTTTTTCAGATGATGAAACATGGGCACCTGGGGAGGCTGAAGAGCACTGGATAAACGTTTAATGTGGGGTGGGGAGGACACATGCACCATCCTCGACAACCTTGTAACAGTAAGGTAAACTTATTCCTGTATCCAAAATGATAAAGAAATGATAAAACACAGAGGAAGAAGTATTTTAAAAAAAATGGAAAGCAGGTTTCAGTATAGCAGCAGCAGCTTATTGCCTCGTTACAGTTATCTGGCAGATAGGCTTAAATGGTTGCAAGCTCTCTGTGTTTTGAAAGTTTAAAATAGTTCCCTCTGGGTTTTTGATGCCAACTCTCTCAATTTTCATCCGCTGACCTACTTATGACCTTTGATGCCTCACATGGTTAACAGAAAGCAAGAGATGTGATTAATTGATTAGGAGGTGAGTATATCAAAGGGACAAAGAAGATTAACACTCATGTAGGAGATTGGTGGCTGCTTTTGAAAGAAGTAAATAAAACTCCCAAAGGACAGAAGCGGTTGGCAGTTTTGCAATGTGTAATGAACAAATTACACTTTCAGCTCATATTTCCTGTAGTGTGCCCTGTTGATGAAAGGCCAAAAAAGTGACAACTTCCTAATTAGTTAACTCTAGGTGACAAATTAAAACTTTCAGAATGAAGTCGGAGAGCATGGAAGATGAAGAAGAGTGGACAGAATTGATGAGAGGCTCTGAGATCCAATTCCTCACACAACTCAGTGAGGAAGAATTACTACCTGCAGTGCACAGTCTTACTGCAGCTCTTCGGCTTTCAGTTCATTGTCAATACATAATTGTCATAACAAATACAAAGTACAAAAATTAATTCTTTAAAAAGTGAAAGAACTGGCAACACAATGAGGAATCAGACTTAGGGATAATATCTAAAGTTAGAGGAGACACATTAAAATGAATGGACACCTGTCAATGGATGTACTCTTAATATGAAATGTATATCATCCAATATGTTGTCATTAAATAATAATCTTATTTTTTTAACTTTGCTTGTCCTTTCTTAAAGTTTTATATAAGTTGGAAGGTCAACTGAACTCAAAGATACAAATATTTCCCCAGTTGTTATTAGTGTGCAGGCGTTGGATTTAAGTGGCTCTTACTGGCCTAGGTAAATATTATAAAATGGAATTAATGATTATCAACCTTTCCAGTGTTGTTTTTCTAGAAAAAGAGGTGCTGGAACTCACCACGAACACCCCCCTTGTTATTTAGAATGACAACGGCGCCCACTTTATACCTCAATTTTACATGTGTTCATTTAGGTCAGTTCCACCCTGCTTCTGCATGGATGATTATCTTTAATCCATATAAAAATGTATACTTAAATCATAGAATTGTAGGGTTGGAAGGGACCCCAAGGGTAATTAGTCCAACCCCATACATTGAAGGAATAAATATATTTTCAAATATATATCTAAATACCAGTATAAAACAAAATAGCATTTTATCTCAGCATACACATTTGCAAAGGTATTGCATTTTACCCTAAAATTTGTATTCTATGGCATCTTGGTATCCCCCTCCCCTTTTAGCTGAGAACTGGAGAAGTGCAAAACTGGAAGGGTAATTTTGTTCCCAGTGTTGTATTAATTTGGCAGGTGTGAATGACATCAGAGCCTCTTAAAGTGTGGACTGGGCAAAATTCCAGTCCATCCTTACTTACAGGTGACTTTTTATTCAGCCCTGACCCACCATTTGGAAATCCCTGACTGGTGCATGGTAAAAATGAAGCACATCTTTAATCTTTACATCCTTTTCACTTTGAAATTTACACTAAGACATGTTGAGCTAGAGGTAGGCTTATTTCCCCTAATCAATATCCCTGCAGCACGCTCTCCTTGCTTCAGACATTTTATGGGTTATTCCTTTAAACCCTTTCATCTTCCTCCTACAAAGAGGATTCAATTTATCAAGTTACTACAAAGTACCATGCAGAATTTTTGTCAGACCAGCTGTATGCAATAATTACATGCTTCTTCCATTGGAAACCATGGCAACTATCCAATAACTAACACGAAAGAGATACTGCAACAAAATATTTCTGGGAATTGATGGGAGAGTGGGTGGGGAGGAGGAGAAGGAATTGACATCCATGGCATAAGAACTAAGCATTACACATTCCTGGCACAAATAAATTCCTGTGGCCAAAACTGTGTACAAATATTTTATGCTTGTAGATTAAATGAAAACGTTGTGCTACCAGCCACCCCAATCTCTGTCAAGTGGTAGCAAGTTCCAGGGGTCTTGGCACTTAACCAGGGATTGTGTTCCTTTGCAATGAGGCATGGTGGAGACTGTGGTGTCATTAAGATATGTGGTTTATTTACATCTGAGTTTAGGTGGAGGGAGTTACACCACAAGGGTGCCTCTTGTTGTTCCTTGGATAGCTTCAGCAAACAGAAGCCAGCCATGCTCCTCAATATCTGTTTGCAGCCTCACCCAGTCAGCCCCACATGGAGTTCCTGGCTCTCTCTTCTTCCCCCAAACCCTTGCTCCAACACAACTCAAGCCTTGTATAAAAAGAGCATCCTTCTTGTGGGGACATCCTGCCCACTGTAACCTTGGCAACTTCCCCCTCACAACTTTGCTATGTCTTTTACTGACTAACACACCAATGGGGGAGGACCTCCGCCTCACTTCTTGTCTGATGCTGAATGTCTCACCTTTGTCAGGGTAATGACTCTGCCATCACCTGTCTTTGTTCTTTGATGGCACCTCTCTAAGTAAAACGCCTGAGGAAGTTGGCTTCTTTTTTAGGCCTTGCTGAATCCATGCATCAACCTCCACATTGACTAATTTTAGAAATTATGGGGAGTACCTGGCACCCAGTAATTTTAGGGGGCCCTTGCTCCCTGCGACCCCCTAACAGCTGTTTTAGTGCAGCCATCTTCTTGTGGTTATAAACTTTGAAAGCTCAACCACTTCAGAAACTGCCAGTCTTTTCACACAGCAGGTCAGTCTAAGATTATGAACCTAGCAGAAAGCCGAGTAGGAATCACCATCAAAATAGATGTTATACTTGTCAATTGTTCATAAAACATGGCTTAGCGTGGTGGGAATGACTTTCTGCAAGCCTTGGCTTTGTATTCCCCACTCCCCTACCTTTTTCTGATGTAGTAGCAAAGAGAAGTTTTTGATTCTCTTTTATTCACCGAGGCTTGTCATGTCATCCGAACCTGGATAATCTTAACAATGGTTTGTCTAAAACAAGGCAACTTCAAATCATAACTTCTAAAGCTGACTTGTTTCCACAAACAACAGTTAATATTAATCACAATTGCTGCACTTTAAACTTAATTAACCGCAGTGAATCAAACATGGAAGCTCCTGAACTCCTCCTCACAGCCACACTGGTGGAGGAAAGAGAAGGCATGAGCCCAAGGTTTGTATTGTAATAGTAATAAGAAATATGAAAGGTGATGAAGTTAAAGATACTATTAATATGAAACAATTATAAAATGAGAACAGTATCTGTTAATATTAAGAGAATGATCATTATAGTTTTTGATCCCAACTGTGATTGCAGCAGCATCCATTGATTTTTTTAGTGTTATTGGATCACTGCCATTTGGGGGAAATTATTTTAATGCTTTTGTAAACAAGAGCACAGAGCCAAGAGAATAGCTGTATTTGTTTTACTGACACGGGCTCAACTGCCTCATTTCAGCCCTGCTCTTCAAATTAAAATTTGGATTGGGTCCAAGGTAGCCAACCTGCCAACTTAAGGCTCACTCCCACTATTGAGAACCATTCAACGCTGGTAATGCAAAGATTGTAAGCATCACTGTCACAAGCAGGTGTGCTGTATTGTGCCAAGGGGAGTTTGTGTTTTGAAACAGGGAGAACGGGACTGCAAGCTCGGCAAGTAAAATTGATTGTTTCCTAGCACTTAGCTTCTGTACAGCTCATTTGTCTTCAAGTAGATCAACTGTGTAGGAAAATCAAAGGCGCCATTCGATGCCACGGTTAATTTGCAAAGGGGACAAAAGTTGAACTTGAGCCACAAGCTTTGCAAGTTCAACATTCTGGTCTGGAAGCCCAGCTCTCAGTGAAGGTGGCCACCAAATAAAAGGACAACAGAGGAAACCAATTTGCATAGAATCTGCCCAGGAGCAAATTTTAAAATAATTACTATCGTTTAAATAGAACAACAAGCCTCTCACTATAGTGGGCAACCTCAAGACTCCTTCTCTCCCTCCCTTCCTTCCTTCCTTCCTTCCTTCCTAACTTCCTCTTTCTTTCTTTTTCTTTTTAAAAATCAAATTGTTATTAAGCTTTCAACAACAAAAATACAGTAAAGGTCAAACTAATCTAAGAGAAGGGAAGAATAAAGAAAGAGCAATAGGAAGTATGAAAGAAAGAAAGAAAGGAAAGAAAGTAAGAAAGAAGAACAGAAAGGAAAGTTGCGTGTCAAGGTCCCCAAGCCACCCCCCAATAATTCACACATCACACATCAATTTTGGTTTGGGTTTTTGGCACGATTTGGGCCACAACTTTATTTAAATACACACAAGTGAGTGGTTGCTTAGGCATTGGTTCCGACTATCTGTCCTTGCCCAGGGACAGAACTGACTTCCGGATTCCAGCGGAAGCCAGTGAGGGAAGCAATTTTCGGGAGAAAATGAAGCTGGGCCTCAGTCCCTCACTTCTCACCCTCATGCTCCTGGTGGCTTGCACGGCCCAAGTCTGATGCCAGGGACAAGGATGAAAAGAATGACAAGCCCCTGGATTCCTTTAATGGAATTCCCTTTCCGCACCAGCATTGGAGGGGTAGGCACTTACCCCTCCACCAACCAATTTGAACCAATGCCTAACCGCCAACCTTACAAGTTGTGACGATTTGCTACGCAGTAGGCAAAAACCAAATGGCACCAGCCAATCAGCTAAATGGACAAAATTCCTACCAGGCCCCTGCCTCAAAGCAGACGACCCCATGACAGGCATAGCAAGGTCAAGTGAGCAACCCCCCCCCAATACAGGGAGGATGGGCAGCTGATCCGGTGCAAGCAGCCAAGAGGACGCCCAAAGTGGTGCGTCCAATATTTAAAACCTCTGACCCCTCCTTCAAAATTGGCAACAAGCAATTCTCCCCAGCGACCCAATTAACCAATTCGCTGCCTGGGTCACTCCGCAAATCCGCCCAGCAACACTGGGGTGGCTTGTATCCCCCACCGCAACACGTGCTCTCTGCTAGGGAGAACACGTTGAAATGGTAAAAAGGACTTCCAACTATCCATCTCTGTTATATATACAATAGCTCTTCAAAATAGTCAAATGTTCAGTCCAAATTAGTATTGCTCCACCTCTGCTAGGTGATTTTCCAGTCTTCATTCCGAGGTGCTTCAGTTCATTTAATTCTTTCAGTGCAAGACGTCCAAGGAAAGTTTTACAAATAAAATTATAATACTCTACAATAGTTCTCCTCCTCTCCAGCATCACAACATTTCCTCAAGTATTAGGAAATGTTCAATCTGTCTTTTTCCTCCAAGACTTCTTCACTGTGTTTTTGTATTAGAGCATCAGTCCATAATTATTTGATTATTATACAGTCGTCAATCCACACCCAAATCTATCTATCCCATGTCAACCATACTTCTCTGCCCTTATCTTTCCTACTTTCCATCTTCTGTTTTTCCATTCTTTTACCAGAGTTACTGAAAGAAGCTTGCCATCTATTTCTTTCAAATTCAATCCAACTTGTACACAGATTTGTCCCCCCCCCCCAATGCTTTCTGTTTCAATTCAGAGCATTTTTTGTCATTCCATCCCTATCTGCTGCTCTCACTTGCTTAATCAGACGTGGACTGGACAACCCTTCAGACAGAAGATCCTCAAGCTCTTTGACCAGAGAATTGTCTTTTGTACTGTAGTACATATAGTCATTATATCTGCAGTTATAGTGGATGATGGGCTTAAATCCCTGCATGTTTCACTCTTGATTGCTACAAAGAATTCCACCTATGTAATATTCTCTGTGGGCATGGCTACCTTCCTATACATATGACACCTGGAAGAACTATATCAATTTATTCACTGGAGAGAGCGCAAAACAAGTTTTTGTGCAGACTCTTGTCAGTCCCTACCTCTACAAAAATAACACCACTCTGTGCAGAACTGGCTGTAATGCCCATTAAAGCTGAAGCCCTCAGACTAGCTCTGCTTTTTTGGTTTAAAACTACTTTTAAGCATGTATCAGAATCCCTCGTGACAATTTGGGAAGACATGACCCCAAACTCATGGAATCATGAAATGCAATCTGCTGCCATGAGGTTAGGACTCTCTGCTTCCTTTCTTGTGACGCAGGGTTTTGAGGAAAGCTAAAGAATTAATACTCCAAAGGTTTCAAGGCGCCGAGATGCAATCACAAACTGCTGAGATCAAGATCTGCCAATCGAACAAATTGTATGCTTTTTTTATTCCATTGTACCCATCCCTGCCAAGATATCTAGCAGATTTGCCCAATGTTAAAATGAGGGCAGCCTTTACTCAGGCAAGACTGAATGTCCTTCCGTTAGCAGATTGAACTGTATGACATAAAGGAGTTCCTAAGGAGGACAGAGTTTGCCAGTGCAACTCACTGTCTATAGAAGACATAACTCACGTACTCCTCCAATGCCCTTTTTATAACTATCTTAGAAACGATTACATCCATCCATTGTTAAGATTGCAGAAGGGAAGGACATCTCTTGCAAAGACCTGTTTTTTTGCTGTCTGATGTGGAGAGGTATATATCCTTTCGAGCATCCAAATTTCTTGCAAAGGCTTTACAAATTTGTGTAATAAAAGGGGGAATGGGAAATGATTTATCCTGTAAAGGTCGGGGAGTAGAAATGTCAGCCACTATTCGTAGTTGAATTCTTGTTATTATTTTCATGTGTGTAATGGCTGTTCACTAGAGACAATAAATTGAACTGAACTGAACTGTATAATTTTACATATGGTTTTAGTAATAGTTTGATATTTGCTAGGGTGATGGAATAGGCTGATATTAATGTTGGCATTGTGCATCCTAAATATTGGAATGCAGAATGATTATTCTTGCTCTAGGTCAGTGGTATAACATTTGCACTGCATGGAAAAGGTTCCAGGTTCAATCCATGGTACCACCAGGCAGGGCTAGAAGAAAGCCCTTTCTGAAACCCTGGAAAGTCATTGTCAGTCAGTGTAAGCAGTATTAAAGTATTTTTAATCTTTGTTGGAAGCTGCTCAGAGTGGCTGGGGAAACCCAGCCAGATGGGTGGGGTACAAATAATAAATTACTACTATTACTAACATAGATGGACCAATGATCTGACTGAGTATAAGGCAGCTTCTGGAATGAACCTGATTTTTAAAAACAAATGTCTTATATACTGTTTACACTGAGTTATATCTACAAGAAAAGGGACGTGGGTGGCGCTGTCGATTAAATCACAAAGCCTAGGGCTTGTCGATCAGAAGGTTGGCGGTTCGAATCCCCATGCTTGGTCCCTGCTCCTGACAACCTAGCAGTTCGAAAGCACATCAAACTGCAAGTAGATAAATAGGTACCACTCTTGCGGGAAGGTAAACGGCGTTTCCATGCGCTGCTCTGGTTCACCAGAAGCGACTTAGTCATTCTGGCCACATGACCCGGAAGCTGTACGCCGGCTCCCTTGGCCAATAAAGCGAGATGAGCGCCGCAACCCCAGAGTCGGCCACGACTGGACCTTTACCTTTTATATATACAAGGCGGCCTTTAGCCAGAACACTAAAAATGCTTTTCGCATTTCCTGACACAGCAATGTGAATGATTAAAAACCTACTTTGGTTACAATGTATATTAATGGCTCCTTTATACTCTCCGCCCCACATTTACATGTGCACACAAATAGCAATAAGGAGTTGGAAAGTGTTTTTAGCATTATGTATGATAACATCCTGCCCCTGCTGTGTTGCGTTTTTTTATGAGAAAAACAAACACAGCTCTAAGTTCTTGACACTTGCAATTTGTCAAGAAGTTTCCTTGTTGAAATCCATTTTCTGTTTTTCAATCCCAATACCAGGAAAAGCACTTGGAGGAAAAATAAATGATGTCCTTTCCCATATCCTTTTGTTGTCGTTGTAAAGACACATACTTTCTCTTGCTCACACACACACTAAAACATACCAACATCTCAGTGTGTATTCAGTATAAGTTATGTTATCACAGATGCCCTGCCTTCCATTAGCATGGTTCCCAGAAGACCATCTGCTTGGCTTTTCAAAAAGTGATCAAAAATGTATTTCCCACCCCTGCCCACTCTTTCTAGCTAGACAGAGGACCCCAATGGTGTGTGAGGTAATGCAGGAGTGAAAACTGCTGCAAAAAAAGAGGGAAATGTGCCAGTTCTCTCACTTCAAATCAGAGATTGATACTCCTTCATGGGTGAGTATTTGCATTCCAGTTCCTGTTGTGCACACTGCTAGATCATGTCCCCCAAATTAAGTGTAAAATTAATATAACTAGTGAGCTTTCTTTCTTTATCCTCTGCTTAAATATCAGAGGGGCCTTCAGCTGTGACAAAATGTTTTAAGAGGGTTATAAAATGAGTGCCACAGAGCAGTTAAAGTTACCCAAAGATGGCATTTGGCAGGTGCCAAAAGCAAGTGTGTTGCATTAGTCTGTCACTTACAGTTTATGTGCCACTTACACCTCCATTTGTCACCAGCTAAATCCAACCCACTTATATTGAAGGTGATTTGGTTTTTATCTATGTGTTGACTCTCAGTATGGGACAGTTACCTTTCCATGTCAAAAAAACCCACACACACAACAGGATAGATGTGAGTATTTGAAATACTGTCCTGATCATTGTGTCAGCAAGTTTACTCCATGTAAAGGAGGGTTTATTTTTTAAGGTGTTTAAAAATCAGCTCGCACAGCTGACAAGATGCAACAAATATCATTAACAGAAGGAATTTTGGCTGGTGTACCATTTCCTACCATTGTAGCTTGATGACAGCCTTCCACTAAAATTTCCTAAGGAGACAACAGGAACACTGATCTCAGTTGCATTAGGTCATCTGAATATATTTATTCCACAAATCTCTTGCACAGCTTTAAAAAGGGGGTGACATACCCCATCCGTATGTATGTGTGTGCTACAAAGAGATTTAAGATGATGATGTGGCAAGCTTGCGTTGTTAACCAGTCCTTCCCATCACTACTGTTCCACCATAGAAGGCAGCCTCCCAGGATGTTTTTGTTTGTATGTTTTAAAAAAACAGCAGAAAGAAACACACAGCAGTGTGCAACCTGCAGTTTGACACTTATAATGTATAAATTGCACATTCCACTCTGTTTATATTGTTTCTGGTAATTCAAGATCATAATTTGCATTTCAATCAAAATCACTACCCACTTTTCACTATTCAAATCATGTTCCCTTTAAGCCATTTATGCCTAGTGACAGCAAATTTAAAAAATATATACAGATGTTATCAATGTAGTTCTAGCTTAGAAACATTTTATAAATCGTGTCTTGAGAAGAGAGCAGAACTTATTGATTACTCATCTATATCACTCTGTGCACCTTGTGGCAAAATGCTGGCTTCTGAAGAACTTTGTTCACCACATGATATTATCTGTCATCCATCTTAATGCCTTGTGCCAAAGTGTCTGTGACGGAACAAAATAAGCACCTGATCACAATTCCGCTCCACAGGTTTTGGCGTAAATATAGGAAGCAGGAACAATGCCACAATCCAATGGTATTGCAGGCAGTGCCTATTCCAACATTACAAGCAGAAACAAATGCTTCCTCTCACAACAAATTCTCTACTTCACTGGAGCCAAGAAAATGGGATAGAAGAGCATTGTTTGAGTTCTTATTGCTGTGCTCATCAAAGAGATTGACTCTCCTCCATCAGCAAGATGAAGCACTTCTGTGGTAGGTGTACTCTTCAGACCAGCTCTTCAGCAGTTCTAGAAAATTGCAAAAGGAATATAAACGTGTATTTCTTCAAGAGCTAGTCAGACAGGGGAAATTAAACAAGATCCCTCAAGAAGCCGAGAGAAAGCCAAGGGAGAAGCAGAGAAATGGAGAGCATCGCCAAGAGGAAAAAAACAAGGATGCATCTAGATTGAGATCCATGATTAGGACCACTTTTCTTTAAAATATATAAATAAATAAGATTAATAGCAGCCATATGAGGGAGCATCAGATTAGAACCACTGCATGGATAGAGCATTTAATCATCGCAATGTTCATGATCAATTCAGCTAAGAATAACAGCTACAATTTCCGCAATGTCCAAGAGCAGCTTCAATCCATGCATGAGGAACATTTTAAATGGGCTAAAATCTATTCAGCTTTTAGAAAGAAATGGGGAACAGGAAGAGAGCAATTGATCCCCCTGCTCCCTCTCTTAGCAAAGTAGTGGGATTAGAGGGGTTAAGGGCCTCAAGTATACAGCTCTAGCTTGGGATGGGGACCAGAACCATATGCACGGGGTAGCATTTATGTCACATGCATGTAATAACCATTAAACAGATTGAAGAAATTGCCCTTTTGTCCCATTTGATATCAATGTTTGGTGCAACCTTCTTTTCCATCTTCTTCAACCATTACTATAAATTTAAATTCTAAGAAAGCTCCCTGACAAATACTATGTCTAACATGATTCATTTCAAGACTGTCCTGGGCCAGGACTTCCGGGTTAGCGCCTCCGGTAATGGTGGATTTCCTCTGACCAGGAGGAATCCGCTTCGTGAGAACTAGGGTCTGGACCGCCGCGGCGAGGCGGAGACCCACCAAAAACCACAGGCGGGAGAAGCCTGTGGACGTGGGATTCGGCTGGCACCTTTTGCTCCTCCCCTACTCGCGGGGAAACCCTGTTTTGGGGATCTGGAGCGACGTGGGGTGAGTGGCGTGGTGCTTTGAATCGACTGCTTTTTTCATGGAGTGAAGCCGCATTGCTGTTGCTGGAGAGCGCTGACTTTTTCCTGTGGACAATTGGATTTTAAACAACTGCCCGTGAGTAGAATGGAAAATTGGATTAAGAAACTTTTTAATTTGACACCGAAGCGGGAAGGTCTAAACAGGAAGTCCGCCTTCCGCTTTTGTAAATAGATTGAAGCAAAGACATTGCAAGCTAGAGTCTGGAAAGCCGTTTGTAAAGGACTAAATTTTCACCACTTAAAATCACTAAACCCCCCTTGGAAGTAGGAGAAGAGGGGGGAATCTTTTTAGACTGTTTAAACCTGCAGAAGAGAGAGTAAAGAAAGACAAATTTCCACCGTCTTGATCCTGGGAGCGGGGTGTCAGAGACAGACACTTTGGGGAAGTTCATTGACTGTGGACAAAACGTTTTTGACAGATAGTGAAAAAAGAGAAACATATTGATTCCAATGTTCCTTTTTGCATTTAAAAGGAACGAAATATCTGGGAAATGAAAGGAACTTTGTTGCTAGAATCTGCTTTTAAAAAGACGGATACAAATAGAAATTGTTTCCTCTAGAGGGAGCTTGTGAAACTGTTGCTGGAGTCGATCTGGGGAATTCTACAGCTGTAGAGATAAAAGATCGTGGGAACTAGACACCGACCTTGAACAAGAATGTGCCCAGAAGAAGCTTTAGTGCTTGCTTTTTGCAAGACAAGTGCTTTACTGGAACAGCTACATGAGAAGATGGATTTGATGACTGTTGCAGTTGGAAATCTTGGACAAACAGTGAATACTTATATAGTAAACACTCAGGAATCAATCCAGGAATGTGCTTTGACAGAGCAAGTGGTGAAGAAGATAAAAGAGGAGGTAGTTGCTGAACCTCAAGTACCAGAAATGGAGAGAGCTGCGGCCTTGCAGGAACATAAGTTGCTGTCTTTGACGACTGAACCTGGAGAAAGTCAGATTTGGAGAGATGGAGTACTGTTTGGTCTGGAGATGGGAAGTTGGATAGACCCCCCTATGCAGGGATGTTTTGACTTTTCGGATCTGGCTTTGGGCCAGGAGGAGTTCGGAGTTGTGGGGGCCCTCAATTTTGGAGGGACTTTGAAACATGCCTTTAAATATCTTTTGGATTTCAGTGTCGACTATGGAGAATGGGCTGACTTGTCGAGAAGGGATAAAGATATTGTCAAGTTGGAGTCTCCCCGAGAGAAAGGAAGGAAATTAAGAATAAGATCAGCAGAAGATAAAGTAAAGTGCAGGTATAAACATGAAGAAGAGCTGCAGAAGGGACATGGAAAGGACTTAAGAGTCTCGGATAGAAGGTCACCAGGTTGATGGACTAGATGGATGGAACAGAAAGGACTGACAAAACCCGAGAGCAGGAAGAAGAGACGACGGATGAAGATTGGAAGAAAGTTTTAAAAATTCATTTAGAAAATCATTGTAAAATTAATGAGTATTAGAAAAATGTTGGAATGAAACTATTTGGCTTTAGTAGAAATGTTAAAAAGAATTATGTATAAATATGTTTTGTTAAAGAATTAGGTATAAATAAGATTTAAGTTTTAAGTTTTAGGGCTTTTTATGGTAAGATAAGGTTAAAATAGATTAAGGTAATTTAATGACAGAATATTGTGAAAGATGGAAAGGATTTGCTGAGATAATTAATAACTAGAATACAAAAAAGGGAGGTGTGAGGAGGTCGATGAAACAAGTTAATGAAAGATAAGGATTTGGGAATATTGGATTTGCTTTTAAATTTTTTGTTTATTTTTGTTTTGTTTTTTTGAATCTGATGTATTGTGTGTTTTGTTTTTCTTCTTTTTTGATTTTTGTTTTTATTGACTTATATTGTTTAATCTCTTTTTTGTATACCTTTTTTTCTTTTATTTTTTCTTGCTTTTTCCTTTTTCTTTCTGTAATTTTAAATTCTCAATAAATATAATTTAAAAAAACAAACAAACAAGACTGTCCTGGGCCAAATTCTCAGTTTTCCACTATATGGGCTCTGGTTTTTATCACAATGACATCAGTTCACACATTCCCTGTTGGATTCAGTCCATTTCCACGCACATCAGTCAATTTAATATATTGCTTTTACCACATAATGTTCTTTGGTTGCTGACAAATTGCATTTCTAAACATGTACACGAGGTCTTCTCACCTTTTTGAACTTGTCAATATGCAATGTAACTAGGCCTGCTTTAAAACATTAGAGATGATGCATAGGAGGAAATAATCCATCGTGTTCTCTCTTTTTTCCCTATTGACTTACTGCCAATTGGACAGTGTTATTAACCAATTTGGGATTTATTATGTTATGATGAGAAAGCGATCAAGTATCTGGCCACATTCTCTTACAAGCACAATATAATCATAACTCAACAAACAAAAGAGGACTAATTAAGCAGAGGTCGTTGATCTTGCATAGGAGTAGCTATTATGACATGTAATCATACAAAGCACCAATGAGTGACACAGAGCCATACTGTTAAGATTTACTGTACAGAGGAGCATTAACGGGGGGGGGAATTAAATTACTAGAAGAGGAGAAAATACTTCGCCACTCTTCCAGGGACAGGAATTATCTGCTAGCAAAAGGAAGAACACATCTTTCCATTCTGATATATAATATCCCAGCCTCTTCCACCCCACCCCCCAAAATTAAAGGCTGCTAACAATAAAAGAAAATGATAAAACAAATCCAACCAAAATCATAAATCAAAGCATTAGCATAAAAACCAAAACCACAATAAAAAGTACAAAACAGCCAGGAAGTCGGTACACTGATGGATGGAAGGAACATTGTAAAAATCAACATTCTCCATAACCCATTTGCTCGAGGTACTTTGACCACTTTCCATGCATCCGCAATGTAACCATTAGCTTAAATGTGATTTAAATAGGCAGTGTAAATGTTACTCTTGGGAATTCATTGCCAAGAAGTCCTATTTGGCTGAACTATTCTGTTCTTGATACTTCATAGACTGGGTGCTTTCAGATTGTTGCAGGAGGAAAGGTAGAATTAGGAATGTGAGAGCTCTTGCAGTGCACATATATTCTTCTGGAGTGTTAGACCAACCCGATAAGTAGAACTGATATTGAATTCCATATATCTTTATGTGTCATTTCTCTCAGAAGAGATCAAGCTCACAAGGAGGCTTAAATTTAGCTCCCAAAGGACAATAAGTCATTTAAACACATTCTAGCTCAAGCAGTACAGGACATTTAGGCAAAGGTGATTAGCATGAAGTATAAAAGAGAATTATTTGTACAAGGGGGTGAGGGTGGGGTGGGAATTCAGGGCTGCAATCCTATTCACAAGGAGTGACCCGCCTGCGGCATTCCAGATGTTGGACTCCAACTCCCTTCAGTCCCAAACAGCATAGCAAACAGTCAGGGATGATAGCAGTTGTAGTCCATAAACATCTGGAGGGCCATTGGTTAACCACGCCTGCTGTACACACTTGCCTGGGAATAAGTCCCTTGGAGCTCAATGGGACTTACTTCTGAGTAGGCATGTATGGGCATGCACAGTACCCTAATCATACTACAGTTTGCTCCAATACTTATAAAATTATATTAAAATTTTAAAATCATGCTGAAGTATATGCTGCATAAGACTCTGAGATTATCCTCAGAGTACTGTTCAGTTCAGACTTCTAATCCAAGTTTATTTGGCCGGGGAATATTCAGAAGGTTGGAAGGGACCTTGTAGTTCAGATGTCTGTAAATCAGATCTCCCTTTGTAGTGCAAAATGCTCTGGACTCTCAGAGATGCATCATGGTGTAATTTACCAGCTTGTAGGGTTGGCCCTGTGCCAAGTGTGAAGTGTTTTAATGCTGTGCATGATGGGAAATCAGATTTAGCAGCAGGGAGACCATCTTCCTCTTCAGTTTTGCAGATGAATTCCCTAACTGCCAATGTGGGAATTGTCAGAAGGGCGGTCCCACGTGAAGGTTTCAGTTAACAAAATGTAAATTAAATAGGTAGCGATTCACTGTGTGACCTTCTGCTGTTTTCCCTGAACACGGAGACAGCTGTTCATGAAAACTCAGGCTTAGGTAGGTCTCAGTTTCCTTATTTATTACAAGCACGAGGAACCAAACAGACTGACAAGAAGGTATGTGTTTTCCCAGCAGAGGGTGGAATTCCCCCTCTTTCCT